CATGAGAGAATGAGAGTAAAAACAAGAAGATGAATAATTTCTTGGAATTACTATGAAAATAGTTTCTGATCTTGTGGACATCTTGAAAGGATCTCCTAGGGATTTTCAGCCCGCACTTAGAGACCTGCGGGTCTAGAGTATTGACAGTTTGAGTTATTTGCTCCAGGTCACACATTTATTACATGTGTCACTGCCCTAGGCTTCCTCTCTATTGAGGAATTAGCAATTACAGTATTCTTACACAGCACTTTCCTACTAATCATGACTCCTTGGGGACTCACCTTGTCACAATGCAGAGTTTATAAACATGATCCCAACACTATAAGGCATTTTACCACACCCAGGCAGAACTCGGACAAGGCATTCCAGTTCTAGTTTTAAAAATAAACTGTAACACACTCAGGCCTTATGTCACAGATAAACATTCACATGCCACATGCAGCAGAATATTCCCGCTGTATTAAAGTAAGTGTGCTTATAAAATATTACAAAGTGTCGCTGATTCAGTGCCGTGCCCTCGGCAACTGCTTAACTTGCCTATTCCTAGCTCAGAACCTCTACAAAGAAAATGAAACTGGCAAACTTACAAGATACTCTGAAATGAATGGACCTTGTACCTCCTAAGTTATCAACTAGATCATGTCCCCATGAGGAATTTAGTCCAGGTATATCACAAAGATTCAGGGCTTCAGAGGACCTTCAGGATCATCACTCTCTTACTGATCCCAGAGAAATGAAATTATTTGTCCAAAGTCACTGAGGTTAAGTGTCAGTGGTGGGATCTGAACCCAGCTCTTCTGACCCCAAATCCAGTGGCCTTCTTATACTATCAAACAGTCCCCAAAGAGGACATTTAATAGTGCTGACTGAAAATTGTTTTAAAATATTTTAGTGATGTGAATGACTTATTATGCATAAAGGTACCACCAGGTGAAAAAAAAAGGCTTCTGGAGCCTGGTGTGAGCTATTTTTTTAAATGGGGTCACAGGATCATAAATCACCAGTTGGATAGGGCCTTAGAGGCCATTCAGTCCAACCTTTTCATTTTTCCAAATGAGGAAGCTGAGGGTCAAAAAAATTAAAAGCCTTGTCCACTACCACATAGTTCTCCCTGAGAGGCCAAATTTGAACTCAAGTCCTTTGACTCCATATCTAGTATTCACAAAGCAATAAACTGTTGTACTTGACTCAAAGAGCTTCAATATATTAGCTGATTAGAAATTCAATAGTTTAATAGAGAGAAGAAAAATAATTCTGGTGACCATTTCTGTCTATTTTTATTATTCAGTCATGTCTGCCCTGTGACCCCATTTGGGGTTTTCTTGGCAAAGATGCTGGAGTAGTTTGCCATTTCCTTCTCTAGCTCATTTTTATGGATGAGGAAACTGAGGCAAACAGGGTCAAATGACTTGCCCAGGGTCATACAGCCCACTAAATGTCTAAGGCTGGATTTGAACTCAGGAAGATGAGTCTTCCTAACTCCAAGCCAGTATAGCACCACCTAGCACTCTTTTCTGTCTCTACTCAATGAGGTTTATTACAGTTGACTTTATTAGTATGTATGCCTTGTGAAAACAAGGATTTCTTATTATTCACCTCAGAGGTTTGTTGAAAGTAAGGAAAATACTTTTTCATCAGTGAAAATACGTAAATAAGGGCTATTATAATTATTTCAAAGGATCATAGAATTACAGCTGGAACCTTAGAGGTCATCCAGAGAAACCCCTTCATTTTATAGAGGCGGAAACCGAGGCCCACAGAGGTTAAGAGGCTTTCCCAAGGTCACACAGGTGGCCTTGAGCCACTCTTCTGGCTCTCTCTGTGTGCTGTATTACCTGGCATACTTTCTCCATAGTGCTCTGAATGTTGTGTTTAATAAATGTTTGTTGAACTGAACTCGAACACATCTAGGAAATCCCCACTTGGTCCCTGCTTGGGCACATGGGATTAAAAAAAATCAATTTTCCTATTCTTAATGAGATCAAGGAAATTTCTGAACAGGCCGAGTGCCCAAGAATACAGGTTCAAGAAGTCAAGTGGCTTTAAAGAATAAACTTCAAGGGAAATAAACAAGAATTAAATCATCAGGTTTACCACTGGAAGGAAAAGGAAGCCAAAGTTTGGTAAGGCTCCTTCCTGAGAACAATTGAACAGAGAACCTCCACTATAAACTGCTACTACTCAGCAAGGAGAGAAGCAGACTGCTCTTCCCAACTCAAAGGACACCAGGTTCCTAGATTCTTCCTGCTGAGCTTGGTTTCCTTGGGAGGTGCTCACAATAAGTTCATACTCAGTAAAAGAAGGGGTCCAGGCCGCGCGTACCTGCCTACGGGGCCTTTACAAGCTTTCCTGGAGCTGTTGGTGACTGACTCATCAAGACAAACCCCACAATCTGGAAGAGCTTCCTTGTGGGAGGAGGGCTCTTAAATTTGCAATGCCAAGAAATCCCTGGATCCTTGGGCAGAATGGTCTAATGGAAGTTAGTGAAGGAAAGTCAGAAGAGATATAGGGGAATTTATTACTCTCTTTATTAGAGGGAGCGGTTGAACCTCAATTTCCTCAGCTACAAAAACATAGTAGTACTTGCCCTATCTTCCTCACTCGGTGATTTCAGGGCTCAAATACTATAATGTACATAAAAATACTTAGTAAATAGGGATTAGTAATTAATTTTAGTGAATAATTGGTGTTTAACTAGGAATTAATAAGTTAAAAGGGGATTGTATTTGCAGACAAAAGACCTGGGTTTAAATCTTGGTTCTCTAAATTACTTCACTTCCAAGCCTCAGTTTCCCCTTCTGTAAAATAAAGATAATTGACCTAATTATTTCACAGAGCTGCCATGAGAAAAGTGCTATGTAAATATCATATGTAATGATAATTTACTATATAAAGGTAAGTTATTATTGTTTAGATTAGACATGCTACAACACTTCTAAGCTTTATGGTTTTATCTGTGTGGTACTCCACCCAAACAGATTTCAGTCCTATCTTATTCCAACTCCACCTTGCTTCACAGCAATGGCGAAAAACCAACATGGGAAAGGAGAGCCTTCTGATGATAAACTTTTCTGAACACGGTGCCTAGGAGCAGACACACAGCCATCACAAGCGTCCATGCTTGAAGCCTGTCTAGGTCAGAAAAATCTACCAAAACACTCCAGTATCTTTGCTAAGAAAACCCCCATGGACAGTATTGAAATGCTAAAAGATATGACAGCAGGTTGGCTTGCCACGGTCCACAGAGTCACAAAGAGTTGGATACCACTGAACAATATATGCATATACACCTACATATATTTGTATTATATTTACTTATACGTGCAGAGACAGCCTGGTAAGGTAGAGTAGGCTCACGAACAGGAAGCCCTAGGTTTGAAGTGCTACTTCTGAGCCACACAGGCTGTGTGACCACAAGCAAGGGACTTAACCTCTCATGCCCTAAGCTACTCGCTAAGACTGTAAATTTCAGAGAAGAAGTCAACCTGCATTGAGAGAGAGTGTCTCTTATAGGGAATTCCCCTATGAATTCACCGGTCTAGGACCCAACCCCCTTGTCTAAGCCAGTCAGAGAAGTTCCTTGAGGGGAAGAATTTTTTTTTTTTGTAGTTTCTGTATCTACAGCACACAGCTCTGTGCCTGGCCTAATACAAAGCAGATGCTTAATAAATGTTCCTTGGTTGATTGCTTACAGTCAAAGGACTATAGATTTAGAGTTGCAAGGGATCTCTGTGGCCATGTAGTCCGATGCCTCATTTTACGGATGAAGAACTGAGGCCCAAGGACAGTGACTGGGCCAAAGTCACACTTGAATTAAATGGTAGATTGTCGTTTAGTCGAGTCTGACTCTTTGGGACCCCATCTGGGGTTTTTCTTGGCAAAGATCGTAGAGCAGTTTGCCATTTCCTTCTCCAGCTCATTTTACAGATGAGGAAACTGAGGCAAACAGGGTCAAGTGATTTGCCCAGGGTCAAACAGCTTGTAAGTGTCTCAGGCACATTTGAACTCAGGTCTTCTAGACTCCAGGCCCAGCACTATATTGAATGCACTATCTAGCTGCCTCTCCTTGGGTAGAGCCAGGATTCAAACCCAGGTCCTTCAACTCCAAATCCAACATTCTTTCCATGTCTAAAAGTCAACTCTAAAAATCCTATGGTCTTGTAAGTCTCAGTTTCCTCATCTGTCAAACAGTAAGACTAAATCATTTGTAAAGGCTGAGATATATTACATATTATTTGGGTGAACTTCAGCAAGTCAATCCAATCTTGGGCCTGAATTTCCTCATTTGTAAGAAATAAGGAACCTAGACTCCCAGAAGTCCAAGCTTCTTCCCAGTTCTGAATCTTATCCTAAGATCTCTAATATCCCTTTCCGGTTCAAGTTGCTATGATCTCTCCCTCTCTCCCTGCCCCCACTAGCTAAGTCTACTTCCCAGTCCTGACATGAGTTAGAATCCTGCCTCTGACACTTACTATCTATGTGGCCAATGACTTAACCTATGTTCCTATTCATGTTCCTCATCTGTCAGATGGGGATAATGATAGTACCTACCTCCCAGGGTTGTGGTGGATAATTGCACCTATCTCGCAGGGTTGTTGTGAAGCTGTGATAACATATGTAATGCACTTTGCAAGCCTTAAACCTTGTAATAAATGCTAGCTATGATTATATACATATATGCTTCATATTATTATTAAATTTATCAAAAGTGTATTAAGGAGTTTACAAATATCCCACTGTAGATCGACAAGTATTAACTCTATCAGACAGTCTAACTCCTTTTTCAACCAAAGGCCAGGCAATCCGCAGAAAAGCCCCGGAAGGCTAGCAAGGGAGAAGAAGCAGGGAGTGCGATGTTAGCAAGCACGTAGCTGAGTACAGAGGACCGGCGGCCCGGGACTGGAGAGGTCAGCGCGGATGTAGGGGGCTGAAAGGCAGGGAGCGCATACAGTAGAGAGAAGAGAAAGTCGGGGAAGGGGGCGGGGGGCAGCTGGGATTACCGTGTCCACCGTGGGTGCTGGAGGAGGTGGAAGGTGACGCTGCAAACACACCGGTCTCCCTCCGTGCCAGCCAGTCCAAGTTAGACTGCGCTTAGGGCGCGAAAGCAAAATGGGCAGCGGGGCGGGGCCGAGGCCGGCCGGGGGGTGGAGCCCCGCTCCCCGAGGGCCCTGTGGGCCCGCCTCGTCCTACGTGGCTCCTGGGCTTCAGCCGCCGCAGGGGTTTGGAAGGGCGGAGCGAGCTCTCCCCAGTTTCCTAAGTTTGCAGCGCCGCGGACCCCGCCCACGTCCCGTGCGCGCGGGGAGGTGCCTGCGAGCCCCATTATGGAGCCTTTCCGGGTCTTGGGGCCCGGCAGCCCGGAGCAATCTGCCCCATTTCTTTGCATTGCTCTTACTCAGGTTTTCTTACCTGCCTCGCCCGATTCCCAGAAGAGGCGAGGCTCCCGCGCCGCATCTCCACCTTTGCAGTCCAGAGTCAGGTGTTTCCAGATCTAAAATTCCATGATTTATGATCTAGGAAGAATTGGAGTGAGAAGGCCTTTGAATCGAAAGAACCTGTCAAGAAGGCCCTAATTACTAAACATTTGTTCAGGGCTCTCTCTGTAACAAGCTAACAGATTGAGGGGCAGGGTCCTTCCAATAAGCAGCCTGGTAGCCCACCAGATACAACTCCATCCATGCGTGAGCATTTATTCTGTATGCCTCCGGTCTCAGCTTTGCCATGTACACTCCAACTTGGAACACTGTAACTACACCCTCCTCTGAGACTAGTAGAGGAGCAGGAAGAATCCCTCCTGAACTTCTTAAATCCTAGAGGTTAAAGGTCACTTTTAGTATATAGTGTGGTGGGAAGTACACTGGGTATTAGTAAAGTAAGACATAGTTGGTTGAATGGCTGGATCCAAAGAGCGTTTATCAATGGCTCCATGCCAGTCAGCAAGGGTTATTCCAATTGCCATGCTACTTGTCTCTAATGGTTGATTCTGTCTTATTTGATATTTTTTTGCTAAAGATTTGGATGAAGATGTAGAAGGTATGCTTGTCAAATTTACAGTTAATGAAAACCTGAGATGTACTGCTAGTACTTTAAATGACAGAATAAAGATTAAAAATGATTTTGATAGGTTTAAAAGAGAGACCCAAAATAATGAAGATAAAATTTGTAAGTTCAACATTTAGGTCCACAACACCAATGCAAATACAAGATGGGGGAAATCTGGTGATGATGTAGGTTGAATGGAAGTGCAATATGAGCTAACTGTGATATGGTTGTTAAAAAAGCAAAAACAAAACAAAAAAACTCTAATTAAATCTTAGAATTCATTAATTAAAATATTTTATTATTAAAAAGGTAATAATTCCATTTCTTTCTGTTTTGGTTAGACTGCATTTAAAGTGTTGTTTTTAGTTTGGGGTACTGCAGTTTAAAGAGGGCATTGACAAAGTGTATGTAAGCAAAGGTGACTAAAATCATAAAGAATCTATAAATCTTGGTATATAAAAATATTTGAATGAATTGAGATATTTACCCTGAAAAGAAGTCTTGGTGCTAATGGAAATGGAGGGAAACCAAGTTTGTAAAATGTGAATTGTGGCTAGACAAACTAATAAATAATCATTTGTAGGAACAAAGAATCTAGAATCTAAAAGGAAAACATAAAAATAAAAAGTGAGAATAAAGGGAAAATAGCATTTCCACACCTCAAACTATACTATTACATAGTAATTATCAAGCCTATATTATTTTTAAAAAAATAGAAAAAAAATACGTCAGTGGAACTGACTACATAGGGAAGAATTGGAAGGAATTGAACTTAGTGAGCCAGTGTTCAATCAAATGGAGAATATAAATTACTTGGTGAACTTCTTATTTGATAGGAATTATTGGAAAACTGAAAGCATTTTGGTGTAAATTAGGGTTAAACCAACATCTTATGTGATATAAGCTCAAAATGGATTCATGGCCTAAATATTAAAACTCACACCATAAAAAATAAAAAAAAAATTAGAAAAGAGCCAGGTCAGGTACCTTTCATTGCTATAAGTAGGGAGAGAATTCTTTTTTTTTATTGGAAAAAAGTACATTTATATAAAAAGAAGTGAATTCATCCTATTTTGAGACATGCTTGAAAAGATGGCTTAGAAATAATAAGCTAAACTTTTTTCTTTTTTTGTTTTTCTTTCTATTTTTTATTAATTAATTTATTTTGATTTATCAACCATCACTTCCATAAGCTTTTGAGTTTTAAATTTTTCTCCCCCTCCTTTCCCACCTCCCTCCCCAAGATGGCATGCAATCTGATATAGGCTATACATATATGTTCCTATTAAACATATTTTCACATTAGGGATGTTGTAAGTAAGAATTAGAACCAATAGGAGGAACCACCAAAAAGAGGAAACAAAACACAACAGAAGAAAAAAAATAGCAAATAGAATGCTTTGATGTACATTCAAACTCCATAGTGCTTTCTTCGTATATGGATAGTATTTTCCATCATGAGGCCTTTGGAGATGTCTTAGGTCCTTGTATTGCTGAGAAGGGTGAAATCTATCAATATTAGTCATTGCACAACGTGGCTGTTATTGTGTACAATGTTCTCCTGGTTCTGCTCCCTTCACTCAGCATCAGACCATACAAGTCTTTCCAGGTTTTTCTGAAGTCAGCCTGTTCCTCCTTTCTTACAGCACAATAGCATTCCATTACATTCATATACCACAACTTGTTCAGCCATTCCCCAATTGATGGGCATCCTCTCAATTTCCAATTCTTTGCCACCACAAAAAGAGCTGCCATGAATATTTCTGTACATGTGGGTCCTTTTCCCATTTGTATGATCTCTTTGGGATATAGCCCTAGAAGTGCTATTGCTGGGTCAAAGGGTGTGCACATTTTTATAGCCCTTTGGGCATAGTTTAAAGAAAGAATTCTTAACAAGATAAGGGTGATCATAACAAATTAAATTTCAATTAAATGCAAGTGAAAAACTTTTGCATGAACAAAATCAATGCATCTAAGTTAATTAAGGAAGTGATTGGTAAGCAAAGAAAAAAATCTTTGTGTCAAGTATTTCTGATAAGGTTCTGATTGAAGATATATTGGAAACTGACTCAAATATGCAATAAGAAAAGCCTATCAAAGGATATGAACAAATGATTCTCAAAAGAAAACTGCAAGTTATTAACAATCATATTAAAGATTGTTCCAAATCAGGGATACATTTGAGAGAAATGCAAAACAACTTTGAGGTTCTTTACCTCACACCTAGGAAATTGGCAGAGATTACAAAAGATGGAAATAGTCAATGTTGAGGGAGAGAGTGTGGGAAAATACTGTATACACTAGTGAAAAAATTGGTATATTGGAGCTGGGAATTGGTCCAGCCATTCTGCAAAGCAATTTGGAATTATGCTAAGAAATTAACTAAAATATCCATAGCTTTTCATCTAGAGATCCCAAGTAAGTCAGTAATACAAAGTAAGGTCTTAAAGATCCCAAAGTACTTACAGCAACACTTTTTATAGTATCAAAGAACTGGGAACAAAATAAAAGCTCACCAATCGCAGAATGATTAAACAAAATTTGGTACACAAATGTTATTGAACATTACTGTGCTATAAAAAAAGATGAAAATAAATTAATGGAAAGTGAAGTAAGCAGAAACAAGGAAACAATTTATACAGTGACTCTAACAATTTAAATAGAAAAAAAATAACAAAAATGAAAACTGAATACTGAAAAAATAAATGAACAAGCTTATCTCTAAAGAAGAGTTCTAAGAATGCACCTCTATTCCTTCTTTATAGAGATAGGAGACTATAGATGTGGAACACTGCATTTAATGTTGACTCAAGTTGACATATTTTTTAGTTTTGACAAATAATTTTTTTAAAAATCCTTTTTTATTTCCTCTAAGGGATGGCTCTCGGGGAGAGGATGGAGGAAAAATGATGTTAAAAAAAAAAACAACACAAAAGATATCAGTATTTAAAAAAAATAAGTTGCTATCTAAATATGTTTTTATGCTGATGGCAGTAAATCTACTTTGACCATGTCCCAGTTTTATGAGGGGTTTTAAAAATAGAATTAATGATAGCTTAAAAACGTTTTTAAAAGACCATGTTTGTTTAATTCAGTTCAATAAGTATTTATAACAGGGTCGTTATGTTCTAGTCACTGTGATAAGCCTTAAGATTCCAAAGAGAAAACAAACAAAAAAACCACAACAACAAACTCAAGTCAGTCTCTGCCTTCAAGAAGCTTATATTCTAAACATAGCAATTATCCTGGTCTTATGATTCCTGAATGGGGGTGAGTTTAAGACACAGACACAGTTATGATACCTGATGTTTATGTGGTATGTTAAGGTTGACAAAGCACTTTACATGTGAGCCTCAAAACAACCCTATGAGATAAATGCTAGTATCATAATCCCTATTTTACAAATGAGGAGTCAGAAGCTCAGAAAGGGAAGTGACTGGTCTATGAAGACACAGACAGTTATCAGAAGTAGGTTTCAAACCCACAATGTCAAGTGTATCGCTCTCCACAACTTCGCCACTACTCTATTTGACCTCAGTTGTAGGGCAAAAATATTCAGTGATAAAGCCAATATTCATTTACCTTTGTGATTCTGCCCTAGTGAGTTATTTACTATATTGGAAGTGCCCAGTATGGGAACAGACATAAGAGTAACTTTTCTTCCTCGATGGTCTTATGAAGATAGATTGTTATCTCTTTAAAAGCTCTTTTCTTAGCTAATGATCACAGCTAGAATTAAACAACCAAAGGTGAATGCAGAATGGTCACCTCCCAGGATTTGGTCATCCAGACAGGCATGATGCTGTTCATGAGTTCACTTTTCTATTTAGAGAACCATGTCAGCTAGAAATGCCTCTACCATCCCTTCCCCCAGCATGCGTGTTGACAGAGGTGCCAAAATAGACCCTCTGAGTAAGTGGCAGCTTTATAAGCCATCCAGCTGCTGATTTCAAACCAGAAAGTCAAGAAAGCAAAGGAGGTGGTTGGATAGAGAAAGTTAACACAGGCTGGTGACCACGAAGGACAACAAGGAGATTCAGCAAGGGGCCTGGGTACACAGTGGAGTTGGACAGCTTGACGAAAGACTTATCCTTGGATTCCTTGTCTGTTACTTATCTTTTCCCCCCTTCTTCTGACGCTAAGATGAATGTGCAAGCTTGTTCTCGGTGTGGGTACGGGGTTTATCCTGCTGAAAAGATCAACTGTATAGATCAGGTCAGTAGATATTTCTTTGGTCTTTGAGGAAAACACCAGGGATGTGAAATTTATTTTTTTTTCTCCCAAGTAAAAACTCATGTGCATTTTGAAATGGTGACTTTGGAAGAGGATAGATTTCCCCATTTTTTTTTTTTGCTTGAGTCTATTTCCAGGGCAGAAATATAACTGTCTATATCGTCTCGAAAGAAAAGATGCTAGTCTTTTAACTTAATATATGGTAGCTTTGTTTTTAACCCTCTCTCTTGCCCAAACCCCAAGGCTTAATAACTGAGTTTTGCTTTTAGTCATATCTGAGTATATGGAAATTATGGAATCTCCCTTTCTCTTTTCTGTATGGTTTCTAGATATGGCACAAAGCTTGTTTTCACTGTGAGGTCTGCAAGATGATGCTAACTGTCAATAATTTTGTGAGTCACCAGAAGAAGCCTTATTGCCATGCGTAAGTGTGTTTGTGGCTTTCTCTGTTCACCCCCATCCTTTTTTGACATCCTTTTGAATATTTTTTTGAGAATCACTAAGAAACCACTTAAAGAAATTATATCAGTTCTAAAGAAAAGCATAGTCTTTCAAAAATATTCTCATAAATATAACTTGGGACACATCTCAGAATGTGTAGCTTAATGCATTCTAAAAGAGGTCCCAAGTTCTACTGTGGAAATATGTTTAATATGATTGTACATGTATAGCCTAGATCAGATTGCTTGCCGTGTTGGGGATGGAGGAAAGGGGAAAGGGAGCGAGAAAAAAATTTTGGAAGTCAAAATTTTATAAAAGTGAATGTTGAAAACTAAAAAAATAAATAGATAAGAAGCTGAGGTCTGAAGTTCAAATATTTTGGAAAACAAAAGATCAAATTAACCAGATAAAGGGCAGCATCGCCCCTTAGCTCTGCAACTTCATACTTGTGTGACCTTGGCCATGTCACGTAAAGGTCCCTAGGCGTTGATTTCCTCATCCCAAATGAGAGAGTTGGACCAGATGACAGACATCTTAAGTCCCTTCTAATTATAAATGTGACCCCTAAGTCTGAGCTGTGGAAATGGGCAAACTCACTTAATAGTCATAAAATATGAGTGCTAGAGTTCTGGAAAAAAATTTTGAAAATGTATTTTTTTTTCCAGAAAGTTTTCATTTTATAATGGCCATTCCCTGTTAAATAGGATTTTTAAAAAATAGGACATATGAGAACTCGGTGTTGCACAAAGAGCACTGGACTTGGATTTGGAAGACCTGAGTTGGAATCCTGCCCTGTCCAGTTCCTGGTTGTCATTTCTCTTTGGGCTTCAGTTTCCTCATCTGTAAAATGGAGGGGGGTAGAGTATTTGAAATCATCAGTTCTGGTCAGCTCAAAGTTTCTAAAATTCTAGAATCAAAGCCTAAATTATAATTAATTTAATTTCAAGATATTACATTTTTCGAACATGAGCTGTACATTTAGATGCTTCATGATCAGTAGTGTTGGGCCAAGGTGATTTACTGAGAGATTAGCACTTTTCTAACTTCCTGTTGTATTTTTTTTTTGTATTTTATAGACATAACCCCAAGAACAACACATTCACCAGTGTGTATCAGAGCCCATTAAATATGAATTTGAAAAAACAGTCAGAAGCAGGTAGTGAGGTAAGTAACTTGATTCTTTGTTTGGAAATCATTTAAAAAGAGAATGACCTCTGTATTTAAACTTACTCTGCTTTTGGGAACCTTCTCTAGACTGGATCTCATACCTTTTCTCCACACTAACACATTTATGTATTTCTTGAACAAGTATTGAGCTTTCTCTTTGTTGGTACCTCTCCTTCCCCCCAACTTCATGGCTAATATTCAGTGTGCTTACCTATTGAGTGATAAAGAGTAAATATTATTTGGGCTTCTATACAACATAATTGGTTTAACTAGTTTCATATCCTTCTAGCTAATTTGATAATTAACTTATTCAATGTAGTTAGCATACTACAGTGCTTAATGAATACTTATTAAATAGAATTGCTTGTTGATTGAACAAAGGGCATATAGATTGACTTTTCTTATCAATGAAATTTTGTGTGTGTGTGTGTGTGTGTACTTTGGGAGATCATTCAGATAACTTTAAATCTATAATTCCCCAGCCTGAAAACCATTAGCTATGTTGACGGTCCAACTCTGTTTTCAGAGCTCAGGGTAGAAATGTGTGAGACCTTCTCTGTCTATCCCGTAACTAGATTGAGTTTTCTTAATAATGATCCTTCAGTCAATAAACAAACATCTACTAAATACTTATTATGTACCTATATGCTTGTACGCTGGGTCTATATCTGAGTTTGTTTTTTTTTTAACTTTTTAAAAAAAATGTTATTGACAGTGCTACAGAGTAGAGTGGAAATATTAGTCTCAGAATTGGCATCTCGGCATTCTAATACAAGTTCTCTCATTAATGAGCTGTGCAAAACTGATTTACTATACCTTTCTAGGCCTTAATTTCCTCATCTCTAATGAGAATATTGAACAAGGTGATCCCCAAGAGCTTTCACAGTTCTAGCATTTTATACTTCTCTACAAAAAGTGTCTACAGTTCGGATACTTGCTAGTTGTGTAATCCTGAGAGAGTCATTTAACATCTTTGACCCTCAGTTTATGTATTTGTAAAATGGGGTCAATCAATCAGTAAACATTTATTAAGTGCCTACTACACGCCAGGCACTGTGCAAAGTGCTGGGATAGAAAAAGAGGCAAAAGACAGTCCCTGCTGTCAAGGAGCTTGCAGTCTAATGGGGGAGACAGCGTGCAAACAAATTTATGCAAAGCAAGCTGCATACAGGATAGATAGGAAATAATTAACAGAGGGAAGGCACTAAAATGAAAGTCTAGCGTCAATAATAGTACCTCCCTCAAGAGATTGTTGTGAAGATCAAATGAGGTAATGGATGTAAAATATTTTGGAAATGTTAACGCACTATGTAAATATAACGTATCATTATTATAATTATTATTATAGCTAAAGAATAAAATGTATTTCCCTTTTCCTTAAATAACTAATCGTTGCTCAGTCATGTCTAACTCTTCATGACCCTATGGACCACGATGTCCAGGGGGTTTTCTTGACAAAGGTATTGGAGTGGTTTGACATTTTCTACTCCAGTGGATGAAGGCAAACAGAGGTTAAGTGACTTGCCAAAGGTCACACAGTTAGTAAGAGACTGAGGCCAGATTTGAATTCATTGCAGGCCCAGTGCTCTATCCACTGAACCACCTACCTACCTTTTAACGAATTACTTGATGGTATTTAGCTGTTCTTCCTCCTAGTCCCCAAACAGGTGAATGATCTAAAAGTACAAAATTATAGATAAGGACTTGCTCTGAATTCCTTCCACATATTGCCCTGGACCTTAGACTGATTAATCTGGATGCCACCTACTCTCCTTGTGAGTAGGGCGTTACAGAAAGGTTCCTGAGCTCAGCTCCTGGTCTGTCCGTGGGAATAGCACAATACCCTATTATAGAGTGTTTCAAAACAGTTTTATGAGTTGTTTTGTGTCATCTATTTCACAACTGAGGTAGAACATTTTATACAAAGGCTTGTGAAGAAAAATAGCCCTGGTATGTCAGTAGATTTGGCTATTGACGTTTAAGGATAGCTACATAAGAAAGAATTTGGATTAGTGATAGGATGCCCATATATGTAGTTTCAAAAATCAATCTATCTCCATGGCATATAGTGCTTTACATTTTTAAAAAAAATTGGAGATGCATCTTTGTAGTCAATGTGTCATTTTTACCATTAATATTTTAAAATTTCATCTTTGTTCATTTTAAGATCTTTTTTCATTTTTCATTTTCTTTTTATTATGAACTTAATCAGCAAAAAACACAAACATTCCAGATAAAAAAGACAGCTACAACATTTTACAATGTATATATATTTTTAAAATGAGAGATGTATTTTTAAAGTCATCTTACTATTTTTTTACCTTTCACATTTCCCAGGGGAGGGAAAAATAAGCTTAACAGTATATTTGTTTTTTCCTCCCCGACACAGACAATTCAATTCTCCATCATGATTTGCAAAAAAAATCATGCATTATTTGCTATCCTTTAAGGTAGTGATGGCTTCACTTTCTTTTAATGGTGTATGACAGACTGTACTGGAATGAGACAGAAATTACTACAGGTTCTATTTCCACTCACAGGCTGCAATCTGAGAACCTCAGGAGAGTTGGGTGTAAACTGAACGATTGGCTGCTGAGATCATTTTCCCTTCCTTTACCAGGAGAAAAACAAACAAATATCCAACAACTCAGTCCCTTTAGAGTGCCTGAATATTTAGATTTTTCTGCACCTTGGGATAAAGTACGGTTTAAGTTTTTTACACCTTTGAGAGACTTTGAGGTAGTTGTTGATGCAAGATAGTATTAGCAGTTGTGGGAAGGGAGGACAATTTGAGTTATGATTTGAACCAGGTTTATATATTTTTTTCTGTAATGGTTCCTAAAGTCATAGAATGTTAGAGATGGTAGAGATCTTAGAGGTCATTCAGTACAGCTACCTCACTTTCTTTCTCTTTTTTAAAAATACACATTTACAGGGACAGAATGATGTCCTTAAATCTAGTTGGTAGGTACAGGCATAGTTTTGAAAACATAATTTTTATTGATATCTTTTGGTCTTTGCATCATTTATATTTTCCTATGGACTCCCTCTCCCTTCCCAGAAAGACGTTTCTTATAACAAAGAATAAAAAAGAAAAACAACAATTAAACAAAACTAACCAAGACATTGAAAAAATTTGACATTGTATGCTGTGTGCTTCACCTGTAATCTCACACCTCTGCAAAGAAGGGGAGGAAGTGACTTTTTATTTCTCTTCAGGGCCGTGTGTGGTCGTTATAGTTTCACAGCATTCAGTTTTAATTGTTTTATAGTTGTTTTTTCCATTTACACTATTACAGAAATTGTTTATATTGTTTCCCTGGTTCTACATCCTTTACTTTGCATTACTTCATGTAATTCTTTCATGCTTACTCTAACTTCACCATATTCATCCACAACTTATTTAACATTATCTGCCCAATGGAGTAATAGATATACTTTTAAAGAAGAATATTAAAGTCTAGTTCCCCCCTTCTGATCTGAGATGGGCCTTATTGAAGTTGCCTTAATTATAGCATTTAAGAATGTTTCTCCTTACCTTAAATGCTTTGATACTAATTCTCTGTATCCTCCTGAGAAGTTTTTAGGGGGAAGACAGCTGAACTCTACTGTTAGCTTTCTGCTGTGGCAATGAACAGTGAAAAAAATCTGCTTTGAACAGGACTGGAACTTACTTTGTTCAAATGTCTTTAATACTTTGGTCTCACTTAGTAGTCATTTGTTTTCAGATAGAGAATGCATGTTAGTATCTTTCTGTCCTTTATAGGTCCTGAAAAAATATGGGAGCTTCTTAAAGCATCACGTTAAATGGTATCCTAATGGCATCAGAAGTAATCCTAATACCAAACTAGAGTGAATTTGGTTGGATGAGATTGTTCTTAGATTATAACTTCTCCTAGGGTTCTATAAACAGTGGGTACTCAAGCAGTGTTGACTAGATGAATATGGAAGGTCCCATTTATAGTTTGGGATTCCTTTTCACTTCCACCAAAGTTCTATTCCTTATTATTGTTCGGGGGTTACCCTAGGTTCTCAAAAGGTTTGGAGCACAAGTTGTGTCAGGCCCTACTTGAAGCCTTTCTAAGCAGGAAAGGTTTTAGGTACCAGGTGCCTGCATATGAACCATACTGTTGTCCACAGACTGGCCTAGCTAAGTCTGAAGAGACTCACCACCAGAAAGCTGGCCACAAGGTGCTGGATTTTTCAAGAAGATAGCAACTCATGAAGGTTGTCCCCTAAGGCGCAGAGGGATTGTGACCTCTATCTGTGATGAGGCAACCCAGTCAGTGAAATTATGGATCCTTGAAATATTTCCCCTAATGTAAAAGGCATCATAGTTTAAGCAAAGTCTAGCCCACTCATTTACTTTTTCTTGAAGTCTTCCCAAATTCCTCCAGCAGGAAGTGATTTGTCTCTTATAAATCTCATAATACTTTTTGGCCCTGGCCTGTACTTTATTTTAATTTGTATTATTTCATGTACATTCTTATTCTTACTAGATTAGAAAATCCACGAGGTTGGGGATAATGTCTTACTCATATTTTTGTCTCCCCCAGAACGTAGTATGACATATTGAATATAATATATGCTTAATAAATGTTTGTTGAATGAATGGTCTTACTATGACTCTGTAACTTTGGCTATGAACTAATGATTTTTTTTCTTCTCTCTTGGGAACCTTTCTGACAACAATTAGATGAAATATGGAGAAGATGGAGAACAGTTTAAATCTGTTTTTCACTGGGACATGAAATCCAAAGATGAGACAGCTACACATAAGATGCCAGAACTGGCCAATGAGGTAAGATAATAGCAATAAGAGGGATTTGAAAGAGTCCGATGCTATTCAGATGTTATTTTTTTTGTTAAATTAAATTTATTTTTTGTTATATTTTTAAGTTTTGAACTGTCTTCCTCCCCCCCCCACACATACACATACACACACATACACACGTGTGTATATGTAAAACAATGCTATGCATACTTCTATTTATCAGTTCCATAGCATCTTCCTTCATAGGTCCTTTGTAGTCGATTTGAGTGCTTATAATACTCAAAATAACTTAGTTGTTCACAGTTATTCTTTGAACAATATTGCTATTAGTGCATGCAATGTTCTCTTGGTTCTGCTCATTTCACTCCAGTATTTCATGCAATTCTTTCATGTTTTTTAAAACCAAACTTCTCATCATTTCTTAAAGCACAGTAATATTCCATCACAATCACTTACCACAATTTGGTTAGCCATTCTCCAACTGATGAGCAGCCCCTCGATTTCCAGTTCTTTGTCACCATAAGGAGAGCTGCTATAAATATTTTAAAACATATAGATTGTTTTCCTTTTTACCTGATCACCTTGGGAAGCAGACCTAATAGTGGCATTGCTGGGTCACAGGGTATACACAGTTTTATAACTCTTTGGACATAATTCCAGATTGCTCTTCAAAATGGTTGGATCAGTTCATAGTTCTACCAATAGTGAATTAGTATCCTAATTTTTCCATATCCACTCTGACATTTGTCATTTTCCCCTTCTATCATTTTAGCCAATCTGATAGGTGTCTAGGTGTAAGATGATATCTCAAAGTTGTTTTAATTTGCATTTCTCTAATCAATAATGATCTAGAGAATTTTTATATGACTGTATATAGTTTGATTTCTTCATTGAAAAACTGCCTGTTCATATCATTTGATCAGTTTTCAATTGGGAATGACTCATATACTTATAAATTCGACAAGGTTCTCTATATATTTGAGAAATGAGACCTTTATTTGAGAAACTGTCTATAAAATTTTCCCCTAATTTTCTGCTTTCCTCCTAATCTTGGCTATATTGGTTTTATTTGTACAAAACGTTTTTTATTTGTTGTAATCAAAATTATCCATTTTATATCTCACAATGCTCTCTATCTCATTTTTATTCCTAAATTCTTCTCCTATCCATAAATCTGATAGGTAATATGTTCTATGTTCTAATTTTTTATATCTCTCTTTATATCTAGGTCATGTATCCATTTTGACCTTATCTTGGTAAATGGTATAAGATATTTTTTGGTCTATACCCAATTTCTGCCAGACTGCTTTCCAGTTTTCCCCCCAAAATTTTTTGAACCAAATAGTGAATTCTTATCCTAAAAAACTTAAATCTTTGCATTTGTCAACAAAGTTATTATAATCGTTAACGACTGTATATTATATGTCTGCTCAGTTCCACTGATCCACCTTTCTATTTCTTAGACAGTACCAGATAGTTTTGATAATTACTACATTATAATATAATTTAAGATCTAGCACTACTAAACATCCTTCTTTTATGTATTTTTCATTAATTCCTTTGATATTCTTGACCTTTAGTTTTTCCAAGTGCATTTTGTTATTATTTTTTCTAACTCAATAAAATAATTTTTGCCATTTTAATTGGGATGGCATTGAATAGGTAGATTAATTTAGGTAGAATTGTCATTTTTTTTTTATTCTATTGGTTCTGCCCACCCATGAACAATTAACATGTATACAATTATTTAAATCTGAGTTTCTTTGTATAAAAAGTATCTTATGATTATGTTCATGTAGTTCCCAGGTTTGTCTTGGCAGGTATACTCCCAGGTATTTTATATTGTCTACTGTTGTTTTAAATGGGGCATTTCTTATTACCTCTATCTGCAGGGTTTTGTTAGTGATATATAAAAATGCTGATGATTTATGTGGGCTTATTTTCAGACATTAGTTATTGTTATCATTACAGCAATTTGCTTTTATACATCTTCATTTGGATGGCCACTACCATGCTAAACCCAATATGTCCAAAATTGAACTTGTTAGTGACTATAGAGATCACCTCATCCTACTTCCTCATGTGTAAGATGAGAAAAAGGAGATACAGAGAGAGGTTAAGTGATTTGCTCCAGGTCACAGAACTAGTTATTGGCATAACTGGAATTAAAACCCAAGTATCTTTAATCCTACTCCAAAGCCTTTTCCACCAATGAGTGGTTCTCATTCTTTTTTAAATATGAAGATCTCTTTCCATCATTTTTGCGGACCTCCTCACATAAAAATAGTGCTAATTATTATCTCTTGATTGAGAAAGTTCACAACGAAAAGAACAACTATGAGTTAATAATGCTTTTTAAAAGTAGCTATCTACATTTGAAAAAAACATGTATCTATTATGACTCCTTTTGTATCCTTTGCAGTAATACAGTGCTTGGCATGCAGTAGGCCCTTAATAAATGTTTATTGATTGGTCTATGTGTGAGGCATTGTTAGGTCAGTCTATAGAAGGTGCGCTTGTTTATTTATACATTTATAGACTTCCTTGCGAAGACTTCATGATCTCCATTATGGAAACTCTCTCCACCGATGTATATTGGCAACTCATCTATACCAAACAGGCTTAGAGAGTAGTTGCACAGCTAATGCATATCAGAGACAGAACCTGAACATAGATCTTGCTGCCTCCCATGTCAGCTCACTGGCCGCCATACTATGGACTCTTGAATGCGGTGGTGCTTCTTGATATCATTGTTTTCCTGGTCAGCTTTATTTCCCCACCAGGCTTCTGAAATCCTTGAGGGTGGGGACCACCCTACTTGTGTAGCCACCCTGTAGTTGTTGTTGTTGTTGCTTAGTCGTTTTCGGTCGTGTCCGACTCTTCATGACCGCATTTGGGGTTTTCTTGGCAGAGATACTAGAGTGGTTTGCTATTTCCTTCTCTGGCTTATTTTATAGATGAGAAAACTGAGACAAACATGGTCAAGTGACTTTGGTTAAGTGGATTTGAACTCAAGAAGATGAGTTTTCCTGACTTCAAGATTAGCATTCTGTCCACAGTACCCCCTAGCTGCCCCCTCCCCATAGTACTTATGCCATTAGGAATGTATTTTTCCTACAGTGCTGCAATGAGGGTTCCTACCAATGACCCTGAGGCTCTATGACGTGAATATAAACCTTTTGAAAAAAAGGAAAGAAATATTAAGTTGTGTCCAGTATAATTACTGTTTGTTTGTTTTGTTTTGTTTACATTCTAATTCTTTAAATAATGACACATTGGTGTGGATATCTGTTGTTACTCAGCAAACCAGAATATGAAGTTATTTATACTACCTCAACATTTGACTATTCTTGATGAATGGGGATGGCAACTCAGCCATCATTTTTATCTTGGGTTGACAAAATGAACAAGTGAGCCAGGGAGTGGAAAGGGAAAGAAAGAGTTTACTTGATTTTTTAAAACTCTATTTTTGAGGTAGTTAGGTGGCCCAGTGGATAGAGCATTGGGCTTGGAGTCAGGAAGACCTGAGTGAAAATACAGCCTTAGGCACTTACTAGCTGTGCGACCTTGGGCAAGTCACTTCACCTATCTTGCTCAATTTCCTTATCTGTAAAATGGGGGATAAGAAGAGCACCTATCTCCCAGGGTTGTTGTGAGGACAAAATGAGATAATATTTATGAAGTACTTTGTAATCTTTAAAGTACCATATAAATGCTAGCTATTCTTCTTTTCCTTTTAGAAAGCTTATTGGGCTACATATGGTGAGGGGAATTCTTGGTCCCCTGGAACTCTCCCAGACCCTGAAATTGTAAGAATGGTTGAAGCGCAGAAGTCTCTAAGTGAGGTAAGCAGGTTAGAAATCTCCATTTTCTATTTGGATGTTACCTTCCACTGGGAACGTTGGCAAGTGTTTATAGAAAGCATTCTATCTATCTATCTATCTATTTATCTATCGGTATGTATGTATGTATGTATAAGTATATATATGTGTGTGTATATATGTATATATATATATTCATTGATAAGGTTTCCTTTAAACTCATTTATAACTTACTGTGCTGAGCATTGTAGAAGTTTTCTCTCCATGATGAGATCCATCTTCCCTGCATTTATATTTTTCATTTAAATCATGACATAAAAAGGAAAATTTGCTAAAGATGAACACTTATTCATCCTAGATTCTCCAGCAAAAGGTCCCACAGAGAAAAAGAGAGCAGCTTTCCACAATGGACATTACTTAGAGTGATAGATTTATATATATATATACACATATATATTTGTATATGTATATATCTGTCACACATACATATACATACATATATATACACACACATACACACATATACATACACATATAAATACATAGATACATGTATACATACACATACACAGAGAAGATGGATCTCATCATGGAGAGTAAACTTCTACAATGCTCAGCACAAAGAGTTTCAATGCAAATGAGTTTAGAGGGAACCTTGTCAACAACTTTTTACTTCCTGCCTTGGAAATGTTCTTATAGCAGAAAATGAATAGGTCTCTTGTTTTGTTATCAGTCATCATACAGACATTTAAATGAGCCAGAGGCAGTAACTTAGGTCAGAGCACTTTGTCTAGGATTTGCAGTTGGCATTAATTTTAAAAAGGAAGGCATTCAATAGCTAAAGGTTTCATTAACACTGTAGCATTTCCTAGTTCTTGCATCCTTCTTATTACTTGTGCTTTGGATAACATTTTCCATTTTCCCATTGCTTTATAAGGACAATTTTACTTGCCATAGTAATTTTTCTTTATGGTATCCATCCATGAGTACTTCCATCCATGTATTCAAAAGGTATTTATTAAGTGTATACTCTATAAAAACTATTATGGGAGAAAGGCACTAGGAGAAAGGCAAAGATTAAATAAGACAGGATCCTGGGCCTCAGAGAGTTTGTATAATCTAATGAGGGGGGGAAGAGGGAGATATGGCCTGTACACAAATAAATATTATCTTACAAAAATGCTCAAGTGACATTTAAGTGTGGTGTAATAGAAAGAGTATTGAATTTAGAGTCAGAAAATTGGAATTGGAATCTTGGATTTGTCGCTTACTACCTGTATGAACTTGACCTCTCTTGTCCTCTGGTTCTACATCTCAAAAATTAGGGAATTAACTTAGCTGGTCTCTAGGGCTCCTTCTAGCTCTAAATATGTGATCCCATAATTCTATAATGCAAAGTAGAGTACGGTAAATGCACAAGCATAGTAGAAACCAAATGCTTTCTGTGAGGTCTAAGGAAGAAATGATAATTTTTAGTTGGTAGAATCACTAATTGAGATAACATTTGAGTTTGAACTTGAATAGCATATAGGATGTTAAGAGGTAGAGCTGGGTAGAGGGAGAGGAAGGTGATGGCATCCCAGGAAGAGCAAAGAGTGTCAACAAGGGCACAGAGGTAGAAAAAATGTAGAATCTGTATTATTATACATTTTAATTAGCTGTCATTTGACATTGTTTCGGTCTAACCCAAGTATTCAGAAGCCTATGAAGAGCAGAGAGGCAAGGGCAGTTTTCCAGCTATGATCACACCTGCTTACCAACGAGCTAAGAAAGCCAATGAATTGGCTAGCCAGGTAAGTTCCTCCATATTTTTTAATGTACTTCAGTGGATATGTGGTCACATCAATGTGGGCAATTCCCTCCAGTAATGCAGATTACATCCCATTATTCTCTGTGACTCATACATTTTTAAGAGGGTTCTAAGAATCACACACATTTTAAGCTGTCTAAAAAAACATCTCAGCTGTATTCAGCATGGATTAATTTATTCTCTATGCCACTAAAATAATCCTAAAATGGTGGATGAATTAGTGGAAACATAGTACTGTTTCATGGATATCAAATTAAGAGGTAGGAGACACAATCTTGAACAAATTTCTTAATTTTCTGGATGCTAGTTGTCTCATCCATGAAATCCATAAAATGGGGACAAGCATGCTTGTGTTATGTATAGAAAAGATGTGGTCTTTTCTAAACCTATTAGTCTATCAAATGCATGAGACCTGGTGAACTCCTGCTGGGTAGTACTTAAGAGATTGGCACAGCTGCTTCCACTAGCTTAAATAACCATGTCAGACTCCTGGAAGACAGGTCAGAGCCATTGCATTCAAGGCAACACCATTATGGATGTTCCAACTATTTAGTCCCTCTCCAATCAGTCACATGTGAGAAATGAGCGCTATTAGAAGTTTGGGAAATGGGCACAACCTAAACTTTGTGTCTTCTTCTTCCATCAGGTGCATTATAAACGTGGGCATGATGAACGTGTTTCCAGGTTCACCACAGTGGCAGATACCCCTGATCTCCTGCATGCCAAGGCTAGTGGACAGCTTCAAAGTGATGTAAGGACTAGAGGCTGAGACACATTTATTCATATTTACAGTTTATTTTCCCTGTCTCACCTAGAAGGGGAAAGAGAAAGAAAGTAGGAGGAAATTTAATATGGTGTCTCTATTTCAATCTTTATGAAAATCTGAGAGTTTACATGCTCAGACCGTCCACCAATGCAGCTCACAATTCTTCTAAACTTTAGTAGATGGACTCCATGAATTGTTCTGGTAAAAAAATTGTTATATGTTGGCCAACCCACTGGTGATGGGCCTCCTCTCCTTAGCCAGTTTGGTCTTCTAGCAGTATACATTACCAGGTCCCTAAACATAGCTTTTCTAGATGTCAGACCTACTAGAGCTTGTGGTCTTTTGGCATAGCCTTTTAGACCCCAGAGTCCCTTCTGTGTCATGATAAATCATAAAATAGGGCTTTAATGTAGGACCATGTGACATGAGCAAGTCACTTAAAAAACAAACCAAAAAAAACCCAAAACAAACCTCTCTGTTCTTCAGTTTCCCCATCTGTAAAATGAGAAAGTTGGACCCAGTGACCTCCAAGGTCTCTTCTAATTCTAATTCTGTGATTCTGTGATCCAATGACTGTGCTTATATTGGTGGGAATTTTCTCTAGTAACATATTTGTTTCCATAGTCATATTTTTTATCTGTCACTTCACTTTGCTTAATATTTTCTTTAAAAAAAAACAAATTACATTTTCAATTAATAAGCATTTATTTTCTTTCCTCACCTTTCCCAACTCATTGAGAAAGAAAAATAGAAAAACAAACTCTTGTAACAAAGATGAGTAGTCATGTCCAAAAAATATATGTATAATTCCGCATCTTGAGTTTATCACCTTTTTATCAGGAAGTAAGGAGCTTTCTTTATTGTAGGTCACTGGAATCATGGTTGGTCATTGCATTGATCAGAGTTCTTAGTCTTTAAAATTGTTTTCACAATGTTGTTATCATTGGATATATTGCTCTCCTGGTTCTGCTTGCTTTACCTTGCACAAGTTTATGTAAGTCTTCCCAGGCTTCTCTGAAACCACCCCTTTGATCATTTTTTGTGGTCTCTTATTATGGGATTCTCATAGGCAAAACTCCAGATAAAGTGAGTTTAGAACAGCATAATACAATACAATAAAATACAATAAAAAAGAGTACTGGCACAAGAGAGAGAGGGAACCTGGGTTTAAGTCAGTTATTGGCTTTGTGACTTTAGACTAGTCCCAATCTCTCTGGGCCTCATTTTCTATATCTGTAAAATAAAGATAGTGATACTTACATTTCCTTCCACACATGGTATGTATGGATGAGAACCTGTGAGTGCTTTTCTAGGTAAAGATGATATGAGATAATATGTGTGAATGTGCTTTGTAACTATAGAGCTCTAGAAAAGTGTGAGAGGATCATGATCGTTCTCACTCATGTAACACTTAGGTTTACAAAATGTTTCACATATAATACCACGTTGGAATTAGTAGAACAAGTATTCTTATTCCATATATATATGTGTATATAATATACATACACACACATATAAACATTTATAACAGATATATGTTATATAAAGTATACATTGTATGTGTAATTCCACATATATGCAACACACATCACATATATTATATATAAAATATATAAAATTTGATGCACATACATGCATATATATCTACATGTATATATATATACATATATATATATATACTCATCTTTGTTAACAAGGGTTTTTTATTTTTCTTAATTATTTGGGGAAAGTGAGGGAAGAAAATAAATGCTAATTTATTGAAAACATATCTATCTCTATATCCATGATAAACCTAAGGTTCTGAATGTTTGCCTAGGTTCACAAACTAGTAAGTTTTGGAGTTAGGACTTTGATGTTGGTCTTTTGAGTATAAGGCAAGAATTTTCCACTATTTTTATTGTTCAGTTGTGTCCCACTTTTTATGACCCCCTTTTTGGGGAGTTTTCTTGGCAAAGATACTCTAGTGGTTTGACATTTCCTTCTCCATTGCATGAAGGCAAATAGAGATTAAGTGATCTGCCCAGGGTCACACAGATAGTGAATGTCTAAGGCCAGATTTGAAATCAGTTCATCCTGACTCCAGGCCCACTCTATCCATTGAACCATCTAGCTGACTCTATATAGTTTTCCACTAAACCACATTGTTACTATAACATCTGCAAACGTAATAGACTCATTAAATATAAATTGTTTTTATTTATGCATTAAAGCAAGTTTCCAAGGAGTGCCATCTAGTTAGCCTAGTAGTTAATTATTGTCATCATAGTCTATCTTGTTGTCTTTAAATTAAAAAAAAAAATCTCTCTTTGATGCTACAAGTCATTAAAGCATTATTTCTAGAAAAAATTTCCTTTTTGTATAGCCTCCCTGCTCCATGGTGCAATTACCCAGATGATTGTGTTATACTATGAATAAGGCTAAAGGCCTTCACTGTAAGATTAAGATGAAACAAGGGTGCCCGTTGTCACCAATATTACTGTAAGACAAGCTCCAGGCTCAGTTTTATACCGTTGCTTTTATTTTAGCTTTGATCCAGGCCTGGGATTGAGGTCTGTGTCCTCCAAATCCATACCTAGTAGAAAACGAGATAGCAGCAAGTGGTCCTCGGATTCTCTTGTTTTTTCTCTTATCTGAACTTTGTGTCACCCTTAGTATCTATCCCAGTGCTAAGTCCACAGTGGTGCTCAATAAATGTTTGTTGTACTAGGTGCAGTACATGGAAGATTATGAGCAGCAGAGAGGAAAAGGTAGCTTCCCTGCCATGATCACTCCAGCCTACCAGATCGCAAAAAGAGCCAATGAGCTAGCCAGTGATGTAAGTATGAAAAGGAATGTTTTGATGTCAGGAGCTCACAACCAGGAAGTACGCTTGCTCCAAGAACCAGTGGGTCTGTGAATCCATAGCTGTACCGCATGTTGTCATTTTTATCTTTATTTCACATCAATAAATTATAATAATAATGCTTATATTGTTGATGTTTCACTTGTACCTACTAGGAGCAACTGTTTCTGTGGCCTTTCAGAATGAAATTTGACCTTCTGTAGTGACTTTTTTTTAATCATTGTATATAGTTATCCCTTCCATATCGCAGGGGTTAGGGGCATGGTGTCCCTATGATCTGGAAAATCCATGTAAAATTTTTTGGCCCTCCCTTCGTACCAGAGAAGAAGTCTGAATTTTCTTCTTTTTCTTTTATGGGGTGTTTATAGTACCTTATTTTAAAATTTGGGTTAAGTATTTGGTCATGTACTCTGTGTCATATGCTAGCCTTCACGTGTCATCTGTGGCTTCTGCAAAACTCCCCAGAATTTCCATTTAGTTTCTTGTGCTGACTTACACTATATCAAAACTGCAATGAGGAAAGTCACAATGATGAAGAAATAACTGTACCTTCTCACCCAGGTGGCTACTAAAGTACAGCTGCTATCATAAGGGGAAAAGGAGTCCACAAATTTTTTTTATATTAAAATGGCATCATCATCATCCTCAGAAACCAACCAATCAATAAGCATTTATTAAGTGCTCACTATGTGCCGGGCATCATGCTAGTCAATCACAAAAGTGGCCTTTTTAAGAATAAATGCAACTGATTGATTTCTAGTCCATGTAACCCAGAGCCAGGAAACATCTTAATTTCATGGTTATTAAGCCATATTAACTACATTTTATTTAGCGTCTGATAGGCAACATTGTGTAGTGGATAAAGAACTGAACTTTGGAGTCAAGAAAACCTAGGTTCATACCTTTTTCTGACAGTTGTTAGTTGTATGGCTCTGGATAAAAGTCACTTAACTTCTCATACCCTAGGCATTTTTTTTGTTAAAGACTTTGACATGCAACATGGCATCTGGTGGAGGGAATTTCTATGCTAGATATTTCCTTTATAAATGAGATCACAGATCTGGACTAAAAAAAAATGTATCTGTTTACATGTCTTCTCTCTTCCATTAAATCATAAGTTCCACAAGAGTAGGGAAAATTAATTGCTTATCTTTGTAACACCTCCATTATCTAACACAAAGTATCACCCAGAGTCAGCACTTAAGTGTGTTCTGAATGTTGAATGGACGAACTTGGTTATGTTGGGAATCTGACTCTTCAGTGTCCATGACATTTTCCTGAATTTGAAGCAAGAAGGATCATCAGGAGATAATTTTATTTTAAAGCTTTAAGCCTGGTGTATGGTTTGTTCATGTTGCCTTCGTGCAGGTTAGATATCACCAACAATACCATAAGGAGATGAAGGGGAAAGCCAGCCATGCAGCTGCTGGAGCTGAGGGCCCTTGGGCAAAGGAATATGGAGATCAATTTGGCCAGGTATGTAATCATGATTGCTTACTGCAGGTTGGTTTGTTAATACCTTGGGAATTCATTAATTGGACTCCAATTTTGAGGTACTCAGTCATTTGAATGGGGGATAATCTGCTCTTTGAAAGAAAGGTTTGCTAAATACATAGTTGATGAAAATATAATCACACAGGATGTGTTTAGCCTACCTAAGAGAACAAGCTATTTTAAAGACATTTATAAAATCTGCAAATATAACAAACTTTTAAATATAAATTATTTTTATCTTTTCATTAAGGCAGGTTTGAAGGAGTGCTAATTAGCAACACCTAGCTAGCCTAGTTGTATGCACTAGGCAGTAATAAAACTACATTGCTTTAAACTTGGTCTATAATTCAGGTGCACTAGGGATCATTCCTTGGGCAAAGAGCAGTGCTGCATAAAGCACTGTATAAAGGATGAATTATTCAGATCTTTTACCCAGCCTCACTCATACATGAACTGAATCTGTGCAGTGATTACAACAATTGGGATGCCATTTGAAAGATAATCCTTGTTTTTCCAAAGCCCTGTATCTTCTTCTTCTGGAAAAGTGCATGGCTGTTTTTGGAAGGTTGTATTTTTGATTTTTAAAGTGAGAGAGATAGTTAAGGAGAGAGAGTGGGAGAGAAGGAAGGAGGAAGGAAGAAATATGTTTAGGAAGAGGAGGAAGAGATAGGGCTATAAAAAAGAAGTTTGATTGATGTTTCTTAATTAGCCAGTACTGCGTTGTTTTGGTATCAGTCTTCCTGGCATAGGTATGAAAAAGGAACTAGAAATAAGAAACTACAAACAAATCATTCCTCTTTGACTGATAAAGACCACTTGATCATTTTTGGTGTTTGTATATACTATTAAAGTGTGTGAATGTGTACATACATATGTTAAGGCCTATTTGCAACTATTCTGTTATCTGAAAATTGATAGATGAGATTCAGTGAGGTGCAGAGATAAATGGTGAATTCAACACTTAAAAAACAGTTTCAATTATGTTTTTTCTTAAATCCAAGTAGTTTTAATGAATTCCAAAACAGCAGTTCAAGAATAAGTTAATAGAAGTCTCAATCTGTTTTTAACTCAATGAAAAAGTATATTTAAAAATCAATTTTTTTTTAGAAAATAGAAGGTTTGTTTTTTTTTTTAAAAAACTTACTGTGTTTTAAAAAGATTTGAATCAAGTGATTTAGCTACATCTTGGCTGGTCTTACCTATGATAGAGATATAAAATGTAACTCATATATGCAATATATACATATATGTATGTATATATGTATATATATGTACATGTATATATATACATATATATATATATTTGGGCAAGTCATTTCTCTCTGGGACTCAGTATGCACTCACATACTTTTTTATGAAAATTTTTTTTATTTACTACATCTGAAAAGAATGCATATACAAAGAATTGAGACATGAGAAAAGCATTGGTTTCACACTAATGAATCTATGAGAATTAGGATTTGGGGAAGGTGAACAAGATTCCCTAGATATTTAAAAAATTGGAAACTGCAAACCAATAGTTTTCTTATAAAATCTGTACACACGCACACATGCGCGTGCACACACGCACACACACACACACATACACACACACGTGAAGCACAGCTTTTGTCTCCTAGCAATCCTAGTAATTTAGTCCTTTTAGATGGGCTTCTCCAGGCCTCATTATAACATACACGGGAACCAGAGGAAGCCCTGATTGACGGAGTCATCGTCCACATCCAGCTGTTGAGGGCCCTCAGTAGAGTGTGATCCCACTTACTGTGTGCCATGGTGTGATTTACCACGCTCCGCTGCTTCACAAGAAGAGCCAGGATAAAAGACACACGGAGAGAGAGAAGCTATACATATCTCAAACACTTAACATGTCACGTTATTCACTCCTTCCTCTATGGGGTAAGCAGGTGTCTTAATCTGACTGAGTATGGTACATAGGGAGTGAGGTGTCAGCACTTATGTAAAATGGCTAGAGTGGTTTACATAATTCATACATTGACAGAATGTCTATAAAAGAAAATTCTAAGGGAAAGGGTAGGGTCAAATAGTCTGCCTGAAATATCCATTGGATTACATTTCAGATCATCATCTGCCAACTTGAAGTTTCCTTTTCATAAACACGTACTAAAATTCAAATATAGCTGCATGATGCAGACTTTCTTTTGGGAAGAGATGTAGTATGGTGGACTGAGGACTCAAAACACCTAAATGTGAATCTTGACTGCACCGTTTATTAGTTGTGTGACCATGTCCATACCCCTAAACCACTCAGCCTCACTTGCTTCCTCTATAAAATGGGAATAAAGTTATTAACAGTAGTAATAATGATAGCTAGCACTTATATAACACTTTAAGGTTCATGAAGCATTTAGTTACTTGAACTTTATCACAACCCTATGAGGCAGGTGCTACTATTAACTCCATTTTTACAGATGAGGAAATTAAGACAGAGGTACATAGCAATATGGGCAGCTAGGTGGCTCAGTGGATAGAACACTGGGCTTGGGATCAAGAAGACTTCTCTTCCTCAGTTTAAATCTGGCCTCAGACACTTACTAGCTGTGTGACCCTAGGTAAGTCACTTAACCCCATTTGCCTCAGTTTCCTCATCCATAAAATAAGCTGGAGAAAGAAATGGCAAACCATTTGTATCTTTGTCAAGAGAACCCCAAATGGGGTCACAAAGAATGAGACATGACTGAAATGTCACAATAACAACAATATAACAATATACTTTATACACATGTAGTAATGGTTCTCCCAAAGGGAGACCAGCTGCATCTTCCCCTCAGGGTTCTAGAGGATCGAGGAATAGCGGGATGATTCTTTAATGCTATTGTCTTGAGCCCCTATTTTGGAGTGTCCCCCCTATTGTTAGCTATCAATAATGATGACTGTTATCAGAAGGTTGTTGAGCTAATGTATGTGAAAAATCTTTGCAGTCATAAAGTATTATATAAATGTGAGCTGTTATTATTATTATTCTTATCACTTTCATTATCTTATATTATTAATGATAAAAATCAATGAATATAGAGGCCAAATGTCAATACATGCATCTGTGTAGCTCTACTAATGATTAAGTATAAATAGCAAACACACTTGGAATAAGGTTATTGATGAGACTAACAGGGCATCCTAGTAATGACTCAGATCTAGATGGACATAAGAAGATAATAACCCAATAATAATGCAGAATCTACAGCAAGACGTAGGGCTTTGGAAAATGACATAAGAACATAACCACGAGGACTTGTGAGAATGTAGAAGATGTGTTATTTACCCATTGGCACTAGATATAAAATTTTGGGTGCTCATGACATACACACCACTCCCAGTAGAATATAAGATCTTTGAGGGCAGAGATAGTTTCATTTTTGGCTTTATACCCCACTGCCTAGCATAGTTGCTGGTACCTAGGGGGTACTTAAAGAAAGCTTGTTGGATTACATTGAATTGGAAAATAATATTTATCCAATATTATCTCAAGAATATTTTCTTTCAGTGATTTTTTTTGCAAGTACTGCACTAGTATGGGTTTTGATAATGGTCTTTCATCATCCACTCATTCTGTGAAGTTAGCATTAACAATTAAACTTCCCACATGTCTCAGCAGGACTATTCAGAAGAATATGAAGAGGCCAGGGGAAAAGGTAGCTTTCCCGCTATGATCACACCTGCTTATCTGAATGCGAAGAAAGCCAACGAACTGGCAAGTGATGTAAGTAGAAAGTGGAGGAGACCGAAGGGCAACAGAATCAATGAAGAAATGGGCTTTTTCCACCAATGTCCTTAAAGAACCTTAGGTAATGTCAATGTTGAAAATGAGAGGGAAGAGGAAGGTGCCTTGGACTGGACTGCAGGGGTCTAAGGTTCTCATCTTGGCTCTTCCCTTCGTAATTCCCTTTGTAATCTTGGGGAAATCACTAGACTTTGGCAAGCCTCAGTTTCCTCACCTGCAAAAATTTAAAAAGATCAGATGATCTCAAAGGCTTCTTCCATGTCTAGCAGTCTCTAATTCTATGAAACTGAAGTAACATAGATACCTAGTCCCCAGTTTCTATGTTGCATCCAGGGACACTTTGGACATTATTTGTTTTTTGGAGGTTATTGGTAGTTTCCTGCTCCAGTAGGAATTTGTGTAAACAAACAGGATAATTGTGCTTCTGGTCAATTTGGGCTCATGCAGATGTTGAAACATGCATGCAGACATGAAATGGCTTCATATGAAATTCAGCACTGTGGGTGAATATCTGATTGGGTAAACACACGTACTGGGCATCTGATTGCACTGGTAAAGCCTAGTCAGTAACCTGACTGCCTCATGAAGTCTCAGCCAGCTGGCATTCCTCAAAAGACAGGCTAAAATTAAATTACACATTCTCCAATACCCAATGAAGTGCTCCATATAAATCTCTAAATGCAAAAGGTAATCAGAGGCAAATCATCTCTGTTTCCATCTTCCATATCCTTCTTTTGAGAGAATCACCAGGATGTCAAATCTTATTGCAGTCTATTGTTTATTAAAGATAAAGAGGAGTTCCAAGCATTGAGCCTCCTTGCTTATAGAACCATTGGCTATGTTACCCTTACTCTGCCTTCTGGTGAAGGGAGAAGTCATGAAATTCACATCATTTAGTTTTGCCACTCATTGATCCTAAGCTGATTTTTACCTTCCAGGGTGGAAACCTTCCTTCCATCTATATAGCCATTTGGTATAGGTTGACTGAATATATATGGAAGATACTCAAAGAGAAAAGAGAAGGGTAAAGTAGCTAACTGATAATCTGAAAGTGAACACATACTATGTAGCTTTGTGTCAGATTCAGTAGAGAAAAATTTTGCTGTAAACTAATTATGAGGCATTTTCAGTGAAAGTGGTGATCTCAGATCTCCTTTGTTCATCATTTCTTTCAGATAAAATACAGGCAGGATTTCAATAAGATGAAAGGGGCTGCTCACTATCACTCACTTCCAGCCCAAGACAACTTGGTCCTAAAGCGTGCCCAGAGTGTGAACAAACTTGTCAGTGAGGTGAGTGAGGAGGGAGTTGCCTGTGTTTATGGGCTTACCAGGGATGCTGTTACATGGCATGGGCAGGGAACAAGATATTCTGATGATCAAATACTCTGGTTGATCTATGCATTATGCATAGGTTAGCAAATTTTTAAAAATAGAATAAGACACAATGCGTCCAACACTAAAACTCTTATACACATAATTGATTCCTTGATGATTCAAAAGGCACCATGCAGAGATACCTCAAGATTATCAGCATAAGTATTAGTTACTGTTGTACTGTAGATGTGGGGGAAATGCCATATGGAACATTTATTGAGGTTTCTAGATGTCAGACACGCTAAGTTTTCCTGTAGCTTGTTGGCTTTGTATATAGTAGCTTTCAAAGACAAGGTATCAAATTCCAAATGTTGGTCATTGCTAAAACCCAGAGGCAGGAAAATGTTCTTATTCTCAATCACTATATAGATCCCAATGAGTACAAATAATGAATCCCCAGAAATGGCCTCATGTACTCAAATTTGGACTATTTGAAGTTAGAATTATGTTAAATGTGGTCATTGGTTCCAGCCCAGTGGAAATATGTAGTGAGAATTCAAATAATTCAACCGCTTCAGAGTATTCTTTATTCACATTCATTGGAACTTAGCTGTATGCACCTCTTATCTGAAGTGAGAAAGAGTGTTGAAAGTACTCATAATCCTGGTGAGCATTAATTCGGATTAAAAAAAAGACTTGAAACTATGCTGAGGGCCCTTCCCCAATTCTAGCTTCCAGGGACTATTTCTTTTATAGGAAAGTGTTTCATAAACACATAGATCTGAAACAGACCTTAGAGACCTTAGGGGGTCCAACCCCCTCATCTAACAGTTTAGAAAACTGAGGCTCTGAGAAGTGATTGCCCCAAGGTCACATAGATAATGGCAGAGATAGGGCTGGAACTCAGATGTGACTTATACTCTGATGCTCTTTCTTACTACTACTCTACAATGCCTCTCCTTAGACTTAGTTTCAAGTATTGTTAAATAGACAGCATCCGTATATTTAGAACACAGTGAGGTAAGAATGAGAAGGGAGTTGCCTGTGTTTATGGGCTTATCAGGGACACTGTTACGTGGCATGGGCAAGGAGCAAGATATTCTGATGATCAAATACTCTGGTTGATACAGAAGCATTATACATGGATTAGCAAATTTTCAAATTACAACACAGGAGATGTATGTTGCAGGATTTGGGGGAAGATTTTTCCAAGATTATGCTTTAAGCCCTTAAAAAAAGGATAAATTACAAGCATGTATTTCATAATGTGTCACATGAAATGGAGCTGCGTTTCCATTTGTAAGAGAAGGGCACCAGGGAGTCTTCAAATTACTTTTGACCATGTGTTTATCTGTGGAGACAGATCAACTGAGACTCTATTAATGGTAAGAGGACTTCATTTGGCCTCTCCACTACCCATAGTGATTTGGGGTCAATTTAATAACTATTGCATAGCATTTCCCATTCTGCCATCCAGGGTTTCTTGATCAGTCATAAATTAGAAGGAACTCTCCTAATCTCTTTATGGTGTCTAATCATTATCTGTTAAACAGTTGCAAAAATTTTTCACTTGCCTCGTAGGAGCCCAAGACAAGTGTTTGAACTAGATAAAAATTTGGAGGGGTTCAGTAAGGAGTGGATGATTAGAGCTATATTGATATGGAGGGGTGAGGAAAGCATGCTTATTTAAAAATTCTTTTAAAATCCTTTAACTTTTGGGTTGAAAATTTTCTAAGTAAGTCATTCTCAATTCCTGTAGAGGCTGTAAGGGCCACTTTGGGGTTTGGTTATGTTGTACCTCATGATACTTTGGTTTCTAAGGTGGAGTATAAGAAAGATCTGGAAAATAGTAAAGGCCACAGTATTAACTACTGTGAGACTCCTCAGTTCAAGAATGTCAGCAAGATCTCAAAATTCACCAGTGATGTAAGTTGTCAATGCCTTTATGTGTAGGCTTTGTAGCTCTTGTCTTCCTAGCTTCTAGGGATACTAATATGCTTCTGTTAACGTGAATGTATATGTATGTTTCAGATAAGCATGGCAGGAACGTAGGTGGCTATTGAATGTAGTAATCACTACTGACAAAATGGATTACGTAGAATTAAATTAGAGTGATAACTAGCTATTTTGATGCTGTGGTTAAGTAGCAGTAAACATGTCCTCAAATCAGTGGTGGTGAGGGAGACCCTGACGCTATCTGTTAGGGTCAAGTAGAAACTCTCTTGAGGCCACTGCTGGGGAGGCCCTATTTGGAGAAGGAACAAGGCAATACTGAGTGGGGAAGGAGTTCTCCTTGTATGTGACTGTGGGGGAAACTCACTATTTGATAATGTCCTAGTTTAATTAATTATTCTTGGTAAATCATATGAGGCAAATGTAATAAAATTCTACAAAAATGAAAATAAAATGATCTTTTTAAGTTGCATAATCTTTTAAACTTATTATTTAAATTTTATACCTTCTAAATTTCCATTCTTGAGGGCAAATTCCCAGTTGCCTTACCCTAGTTTCGGCTTTGTGTACAATATATTCCTGACCCGTGTGAAAGGATGTAATAAGTGTACCTCAATTCTATACATGATTTTTACTTGATTTTATTCTATCACCTTATTTCACTTCATCATAGACTTTAGAGTTAGAAGGTACGTTAGAAATAATCCAGTTTAACCTACTCATTGAGTAATCCTTACTATAGTATTTTTGACAGAGGGCCACCTTTTTTAATCCCTTTAGAGAAAGGGAGCTTGATGCCTATCAGCACCGCTTGTTCCACTAATCAATGGTTGTATTCATTAGTAAATTTTCATTTATGTTGAACCAGAATCTTTCTTTTTGTAACTCTATTATATCTAGTCTACCTTTCCTCTCTTCCCACTGGTTCTAGTTTGCCTTCTTCTGCCCATTGATTCTAATAGAGCTAGCTGGGAAATATTTTAAAATGGAACAGGAATTTTTTTTTTTTTTAGATTGTTCTGAAAAGCAAAATGTGTTACTATGAGCAGTGATCATTAATATCATAAAGATTTCTCAAATGCCTACTTACACTTGTACAGTACAGAGTGATTAGGAAAGATACAATTCTTGCCCTTCAGGGAAATAGACCATTTACTTAAGTAGATGTGTTTGGGCCATGTTTATTATTATTTGTTGTGCAAGTCTGCACATGTCAGTCTTTTGTTCAAGAAGCTTCAATGATTTTTTGTTCTCTCTGGGATTGAATACAAACTCCTCTGTCTGGAATTTAAAGCACTTCACAATCTGTTTTTACTCTATTCTCTCAGGCTGATTGCATAATCCTCCTTGTCAGGCACTTTTACATTCTCACCAAAGTGACCTGCTTCCTGTTCTCATCTAGAATGTTCTATCTCCCATCTTGATACCTTTGCCAGGGCTGGTCCTCATACCTTCAATGCTCTCTGTCTGTCCTATATTTGGGAACCCCAGATCTCTTCAAGATTCAACTCTTTATTCACTCATTTGTTAATGTCCTTTCTCCAGAAAATATTGTATATATATTTTGCATATATATGTGTTTCTACTTGTTTTTGTATAGGTTGTTTTCCCTAGTAGAGTTGAAGCTTCTTAATGACTGGGCCTTTTTTTGGTCATTGTATCCCCAATATATGAATATATGATATATGATCATACATGATATATGATATATGAATGCCACATAATAGGTATTTAGTAATAAATTCTGATGGGTTGAATTGAATTTGGTCAAAACCCAAAGTTTCTGATTAAAAACCAAGTTTATATATATATGTGTGTGTATATGTATGTGTATGTGTGTATGTATATATGTATATATAATATAGTTAGAGATATATAGATATATGTAGATTGATAGACATCTAGATTGATAGATATCTGCATAAAGATAGAGATCTGGATAGGTATTTGTATATCTCTCTATATAGATATGCAAAGAGATATGCAGATATGCACTTTATCTATATAGAGAGATATACAGATATCTAGCTAGCTAGCTAGTTATCTAACTAGTTATCTCCAAACTTTGTGTGTGTATGTATATACACACACATATACATATATAGTATGTATTTTGTGTATATATACACAAAGACTCACCTATGTAATACTGATACTGAAAATATATGTGGGTATATATACCCACATTTATCTATGCTTTTAAAAAATGCAACCATCAAGAAAAGAAGTGGCTTATAATGCCTTGTTGCAGTGCTTGGAACTGGACCTTGCACATAGTAGCTACCTATAAATATTGACTCATTTGAGTGACTATAACCTGATTAAATGCTACAGGTCTTTGCATTGGAAGAAGAGAATTGAAAAACTTCTGTATTTTCAGATGAGGCTTAAAAAATCCAATTTTCTTGACTTTAAAGAACCTATATTTTTCCCTATATGCTTGCCAGGATGTACCAGCATATCAGCCAATGTTCTGCTGTGTAATTCGAATTCTGAGTTAAAAAAAAATGCTATTCTAAGCTGTTATACCAATGCACTAAAAACAGTTTTGGTGCATTGGTGTAACAGCTTAGAATAGTAAACACCTTAATGAAGTTATATTTTATCATTTCTTTTTTGATTTTGAGACTGAAAAAATGAGGATTGTTTTTCTTGTACTACTTGGGTAAGAGAATGATGAAATTGAATGGTGGGTGCCTCTTTGCAGAATAAATACAAGGAAAATTACCAGAACCAAATGAAAGGCCACTATGAAGGTGTTGGCATGGACCGGCGTACTCTACATGCCTTGAAGGTCGCAAATCTGGCAAGCAATGTAAGTGTTTTTTTTTTTTTGTTTTGTTTTGTTTTGTTTTTTTGGGAGGCCAAACTGGCCAACACAGAAAAGTATTTCATGATATTTCATGGAAGGGGAGGAGGGAATTTTGACCAGTTTTCTTTTATACTTTTTTTTTTTTTCCTATCAGATGAATTTTAAAACTGACCCACTTATAACACCATAGCTTTAAAATGAACTAACCCCTAGAATGTAAATGTTATTGACTCTGTTTCCCAAAGGATTTTTATTAATTTATTCAACTTTCAGTTCATGTAGGAAGTGTATTGATACTAGTATTCCATAAAATAAGCTGCTATTAAATTATTATGCATGTGGTGCTAAGTTGGGGATATAGTAAGAGGGTGGGGAGGGGAAGGGTCAGGCAGTTATAGGTTTATAGCTGGAAGGGGTCATAGAGGTCATCCAGTCCAATTCCCTCATTTTATGGATGAGGATACTGAGGCTTAGAAAACTTGTGACCCTCCCAAGGTCACATAGTATATATATCAGAGGTGGGATTTTAATCAAAATCCTTTGACTCCATAGGTAGTGCTCTTTCTGCTATGTGAGATGTATCAGACATAAAAATCAACTAGTATTATGTCAATTGAATAGAAGAAATAGGATCAACTAGTGTTTTTTTGTTTTTGGTTTGGTTTTTTTTTTTTTTTTTTTTTTTTTACCATGCAAATAATTAAATTTTCTTACTGGGTGATGACCTTGAACTCACTTTGGTGTTGGTTTTTATTATGACTCATAGTCAAATAATTTATGACTAAGACTTTCTCCACTCCCCAAATTTGCTGCTGTTGCTTTCTGTGTGTTTCAGATAGCCTATAAATCTGATTATAAACACGACAACGTTGATTACAACTACCCAGCGACTCTTACTCCTTCCTATCAGACAACTATGAGGCTCATTCCCCTGAAGGATGTAAGTTGATTTCCAAGATCCCCTTTTGCTTTTGTTGCTTGTTTTGTTGTTGTTTAGACATTTTTCAGTCGTGTCCTACTCTTTGTGATTCCTTTTTTGGCTGTTTTCTCGGCAAAGATATTGGATCGGTTTGCCATTTCCTTCTCCAGTTCATTTTTCAGATGAGAAAACTGAGGCAAAGAGGGTTAAGTGACTTGCTCAGGGTCACATATCTAGTAAGTGTCTGATGCCAGATTTGAACTCAAGAAGATGAGTCGTCCAGACTCCAGGTCCAGCACTCTGTGCACTATGGCGCCACCTAGCTTAATATTCCTCTAGTGGAGATGAGATGAAGCAACAAACTTGAATATTTTAAGGTGGTCGATTGAAAGAAGAAAATGTAAAAGTTTATAAATATCAGAAAGTTAGTGTCTGGCTGATATTTTCATTGTCTTATTATAACTTTGCTCTACTGTCTTATGTTCCCACTGTTTCTTTTTCTGGACAACATTTTAATTTATCTGCTGGAAACAGATAACTTCTTTGCTGTAAAACTGCTTAGAAAAGGTTGGGTACTTTTAGCATGTCCCTTGTGGTGCAGAATCCTTTAAAACCAGCAGGTTTATTTAAACATATGAAAATCCAGAATGGAGATCTTCAAGTTTTATATAGTCAGGCCACATAATAGCAGGGCTTGTTATCATATGGATTTAGAGATAAACAGGAATCTCAGTCAGGTTACTTCCCACAAATCTACCTGCTATGTGCTGGGAACATCTGATAGAATAGTAAACCTCGAACATGGTTCTTATTATCAATTTGTATAGAGACAGGTGGTGGCATAGATAGAAGATTGAACCTGGAGTTAGGAAGACCTGGGTTCATGTCTTGCCTCAGAGATTTACTTTCTGTGTGACCCTGGGCAAGTCAATGACTCTCAAACTCAGTTTCTCCATTTGTAAAATGAAGAGGTTGGATTTTATGGCCTTTAAGGTCCTTTCCAGATCTAAATTCATGATCCTATTATCCTGTTTCTGTCTCCCAATGCTAGCATTATAATCTTGCTGGACAAAAATATGAAAAAAACACAACTCCCTTTATTGCATTTCTGTTCTCTTAGTTGTAGTCAGAATTAAGGGTAGACAGGCCAGGCAGCTGCCTCGGGCACAATACTCAGGGAGCACAATAAGGAATATTTTTACTATTCCTTTTTAAAATGCATGTATTTTAATGCCAGAACACACAGTTCTTTAGCTCTGTGTGTATTATAGAGTAGACTCAAAGCTTCATATGGACAGTATCAGCCAAGGAACTCAGTTTTCAAATGCGGGATTGGGGTACAATTTTGCCTTGGAAATTCTAATACCTTGTCCCTGTTCTGTCTCTGTCCCAGAACCATGAAGGCAGGCTAAAGGAACAGAAATGGGAGTTAAATAGAGGTACTGAGTTAAAGGGAATTCCATTTAGAAGGACTGTCAACATTAAATGTCATTAAAATTAGACTTCACTCTATGGCAAAGAGCCCCTTCAGAACCTAGATTGAAGCAATATACACGCATTTCTGATGTCGCAAGGAGGTGATTAACTGTGCTGACTGTTAATTATGTCCTACAGTGAAAAATAATTGTGATCTGCTCCATATTTAATGCCTAGTTATCTGGCAGGCATATGCAGCTTAAAAATATATTTTTCATTACATTTAATCTTGCAAAACTCAGAATCCTAATTCACTTCTTATGAGACGATCATTTCTGCTACTGAATTAATATGTTAGGAAACTAGCATACGCTAATCTCATTAGTGCTTGACATTGAAATAACTTTATTTTTTCTACTTTTCCTATATCCCAATCTCAGACCATGCAAAAGCTTTATTCTGAATCATTACCTAAAAGTCTAATAGTAATTCTATCATTCACTTACAAAGGTGGCACAGGACTATTACTAAATCATTGATAGATTGGCATATACTTTGAATTATTTCTAGTACAGGTATTGCCACCTTACAAATGAGCTGTGTTTTAGAAGTTCCTTTGCAAGCTGGTTATTTGGAACATTGAACACAGTTTTCCTAGATGCCTAGACTGACCCACAACAGCTTCTTGAAGCCATAATGCATGTGGACTGTGGCATTGGTAGAGCTTGGAGCATGAGCCATGCCCCAGAGAAGGGAGAGGGTGACAAGGAAGACCATTTTTCCCTATTTCTTGGTTCCCAGGAACAGAACTTGGCAAGATTTTTAAAATTTAGGCATTCTTCAGCCTTCCTTTCTGCTCTCTTCTTGCCTCTCTCTGTGTTGCCCTGAGCCACTCCATTTCCCCCACTGGGTCATCCATAACCTTGTTTGTCTTCACTCTCCTCAGACTTTAGCCAGCTGAACCAACCCCAAATGCAAGGCAGCAACAGTAGGAGTTGGTCAGTCCAGTTGGTTGGCAGAACATAACTCCTATCCCTGAATGCAGGTTCATAAATTTATTCATAGACCAAGAGGAATGCTGAGAAATGATTCTGGGATGATCCAGTGGATATAAGGGGAAGAGACATTAGAAATGTCCCCAAGTAGAGCAATCAAAATTTCATTTCCCTTTGGGAAAAGTCAGGTCAATTATGTTCATTGGTTGTGATTTTTTCTCTTTTTCAGTGTACATAGCCTTTTTATATTTTACAAAGTCTATTCTGAATTTTGTATTCTATCTCCAAGAGTTATCCTGTGCCTCATTTTAGCAAGTCAAAGAGTTAATATTTACTTAGGACTACCATCCAACAATTAAGTAAACATAGTCCACCTTATATGAGAACAAGCTGACTTCTTTTGATGTCTTCTTTTGACCCAGGTCAACTATAGGCAGAACATTGACAAATTGAAGTACAGCTCTGTGACCAATACTCCGCATATCGTTCAAGCAAAGATCAACGCACAACAACTCAGTCATGTAAGGGGGATGCCGCTGACCACTGAGTTATTCCTGACTCTTGGCGGCCAACTGGGAACATTGTGATCACCTTTGTTTTACTCTTCTTTGTCCACTGGGCTTTTGGACACCTTGAGATTCTCCCTTGATAATCAGCCATGTGAACAGGGAGAAATTGATGTCATGTTGCTTTTCACAAACTCAGATAACTCCCATTTTTTATAATGCTTTCATGTTTGTAGAGTGCTTTATATGATGTTTTCTAATTTGATCATAACAGTAATCCTGTGAAGGAGATGCAATTAATATCCCCATTTTACAGATGAATAAACAGCTTCAGGAAAGTTAAGTAATTTGCTCTAGGTCACATGAGTAGCAAGTGTCTGAAGTATGATTTTTATCTGGCTGATCCTGACTCTAAGCTCACTGCTTCGTCTTTTATGCTTCCACTGAAGGAATGGCTCTGATTTTTTTTTGTAAAATCAATCAAGTCACTCAATCAATTCAATATCTCCTAGAGGCAGCTGGTGGCTCATTGGGTTGAGCAATGGGGCCTGGAGTTTGGAAGACCTGAGTTCAAATGTGACCTCATATACTTCTTAGCTGTGTGACCCTGGGCAAGTCACTTAATCCTGTTGGCCGTGGTTCCCCCAATTTTAAAATGGAGATGATAATAGCACCTACCTTGCTGGGTTGTTGTAAGGGTCAAATTAGATAATTTTTGTAAACCTCTTAGCACAGTGCCTGGCACACATAGTAAATACTACATAAAGATTAGTTATTATTATTATTAATTATTATTATTATTATTAAATGCTTAGCACTGTGCCTGGCACATAGTAGGTGCCGTATAAATGCCTACTTTGTGCCTAGTAAAGTACTAGGTGCTACGTAAATATAAAAGTGTAATAAAACCTCACATTTATATCATGCTTAAATGTTTTACAAAGAGCTTCTCTCACAACCTTCCTAAGAGGTAAGTGGGGTGATGATTATATAGAACATTTCAATAAATAGAGAAATTGTTACTTAATAATAATAATAACTAATAGCTTACATTTTATAGCACTTTCTTTGTGCCAGTCATAATAATAATGAACAGTAATACTAAAATACCCACAGCTTACATTTATATAATGCTTTGAGGTTTACTTTATAAAGTCTTTTTTTTTTTTTGAGTCATTATCTCATTTGATTCTCCCAAAGATAGCCCTATGGAATAGGTAATGAAAACATTTTCAAATCTACTTTTAAGGCGAAGAAACAGAGTCAGAGAGGTAGAGTCATTTGTACCCAGTCACGTGGCTAATATATCTAAGCGCTGGGACTTACCCTGATCTTCTGCTCCAGTCCCAGTGTGCCTTTCACTATTGGGCTGCTTTTGTCCTCATGGAACTTTCTAGCAGCAGCGGAGATGCGACTAATCATGTGAAGTTCTTCAAACTCTTCTGACTTCTTCAGTTCCTTTGGTGCAGGCCTGGGAGCCCAGTAGGTCTGGATTCATGCCCCGGTTCTGTTTGCCATAGTCCAGTTTACCCACTGACCTCAGGCAAAATACTTTTACTTCTCTGAAGCTCAGTTTCTTTATCCGTAAGAACAAGTGGGCTATAATGGTCTCTAAGGTTTCATCTAGCCTGAATCTTCTATGTTCATTTTTTTTTTGGTGATTTTAGTTACCATTTGACTTCTCAATCCTGCCCTTTTAAAAGTATCATCATTCACCAAATTATAGAGTCATTTTGGAAATGCCCTCCTCCTCCTACTCTTTCTTTTTTCCCCTCTTCCTCCTCCTCCTCTTCTTTTTTCTCCTCCTCCGTCTCTTCCTCTTCCTTCTTCACCTCTTTTTACTCTTCCTGCTTTCCCCACTTCAGGATTACTAATTTGAATCTAATTGGAGGAAAATGCCTGTAGCTTTTTTCTTTTTGTATAAATTGAAGACGCATGTTTACAGTTGACCTACTTAGAAACCCTGCACTCACAGTTTTGTATTTGGGTTCCTAACAGGTGAATTATCGGGCAGATTATGAAAAAAACAAGTTGAATTATACCCTGCCACAAGATGTACCTCAGTTAGTAAAAGCAAGAGCCAATGCTGAGCTGTTCAGTGAGGTAAGCAAACAATGTGCCTAAAAGGAAGCTGGTTCAATCAATTCAATAAACATGTGTTTAAGTTCATTTGTTATGTGCATAAATGGGAGATGGTTCAGTTCAATTTAATAAATATGTATTAAATGCTTACTATGTGCATATCACTTTGCTAGATGCTAGGAATACAAGACACAAATGAAGTGCAAGGAACTAACTATATTCTACTGGGGAATAGAATGTGTATGCAAATAAGTATAGTATAAAGAAGATTGGGGAGGCATAGTGACTTAGCAATTGGGGGTGGGGGGAATTATGGAGAACTTCATGGAAGAGGAGGTTCCTGAGAGGGGCCTTGAAGAAGGGGTCTCAGGATTTTGAGATGATGGCAAAAATGAAAAGGAAGTACATTCTAGGCATGGTGGATGACTTGTGTGAACACAGGATATAACATGTCAAATTTGGGGAATAGCCAGTAGTTGAGTTTGGCTGGAATGTAGAATTTATGAAGGGAGGAGTACAAGGTAAGGCTGGAAAGGTTCATGGGAGTCAGACTGTGGCAGGCCTTAATTGTCAGATTTGAGTTACTGATATTTTAACTCGAAGTAAAGTTGAGGAGCAGGGTGTGATATCTGGCATGTCAGATCTATGGCTTGGGAAGATTATTTTGGCAGATATGAGGAGGATGAATTGGAGAGGGCAGAGACTAGAAGCATAGAGACCAGTTAGGAGGCTCTTGTAATAGCTTAAGTAAAAGGCAATGAGGGCTGGAATTAGGGAAGTGGCTGTGTAAATAATAGAGAGAGAGGGATGGTTGGGAGAGATTTTGTGGAAATTAGATCAAGAAGACTTCTTGAACTGATTGGAAATGTGAGCTGAGGACAACGGGAGTCAAAGATGACCTCAGAGGGGTGAACATGGGTGATTTGGAAGATGGTGGTGTCCTTAACAGGATTAGAGAAGTTTAGAGGAAGAAAAGGGTTTTTTTAAGGGTGTAGGAAATGGAGGAATATATGGAGAGGGATAGTGAGTTTTGGTTTGGACATTGAATTGGCTTTGCCTACAAAATATCCAGGCTATCCGGCAAGGAGTTGATAACAAAAAATAGGAGTCCAGGAGACAGACTAAGGCTTGGTAGAAGTGTCTGGGAGTTAAAAGCATAGAGTTAGTATTTGAATCCATAGGATGGGATGAGATCTCTATGGAAGACAGCATCAAGTGCAGAAGACCTGGGGCAGAGCTCTAGGGGACCCTCACTCTTTGGGGAAATAAGATGGGCAGTAATGCAATGGAGAAGGCTGAGAGAGAAGTCAAGCAGGTTGGAGGAGAAACAGGAGAGAGACTTGTGTCCCGGAAGCCAAAGGAGGAGAGATTATGGTGAGAGCAAGGGCGAGAAGGTGGCAGACGGAGGTGGAAGTGGGAACTTTGTCTGTGGAATGACAGGGCAGCTCAGTGGCACAGTGGATGGAGCACTGGGCCTGGAGTCAGGAAGACCAATCTTCCTGAGTTCAAATCCATCCTCAGATACTTACTAGCTATGTGACCCTAGGCAAGTCATTTAACCCTGATTGCCTCAGTTTCCTCATCTCCAAAATGAGCTGGAGAAGGAAATGGCTAATCACTGCTGTATCTCTGCCAAGAAAACCCCATATGGGGTCATGAAGAGTCAGACAAGACTGAAAAAACTGAACAATAACAACAAATGTGTGACGAATCACTACAGGACAAGCATGCCTTTAAATGAGGTGGTATATGGAAAACTATCAGGAAGGGTTAGGGGAGAAAATCACTCTAGTCTGCAACATGTAGTTGTCCTACTTTTAATTCTTCTTGGTTGCTAGGAGTTAAATTGTTGTATGAGTGTTGGTTTTGAACAGTTGAAAGACTAAAAATGTTGTCATTGTTCTCTAGTTTTGTCATCGTCTAAATCAGATTCCTTGGGGGAGAGCTCTGATTACCTTCCCTTAGTTATGACTCTGGGCCACAGAGAGGTTGAGGAGAACGAGGACTGAGAATCAGCTTTTGCAGTTTAAAGTTTGTTGGCAACCTTGGAAAGAGCAATTTCAGTTGGTTGGAAACCAGACTGAAAGGGACTGAGCTATGCATTGTGGTGAGAAGTAAAGGTCCCAGGTGTAGAAGATTCTTTTTGAAAACCTGGCAGCAAAAAAAAAGGCGAGACAAGGACAGTTTGGGAAGATGGCAGGGTCAAAAGAAGGTTTTCTTAAGGATGGGTTATACACTTGAACATATTTGTAAGTGGTAGGGAAAAGAACCAGTAGATGAGGCGAGATTGAAGATGAGAGAGGGAGAGACAGAGAGATAGAGAGAGAAACACACAAAGATAGAGACAGAGAGAGGCATGTGTATATATGTGTATGTGTGTGTGTATGTATATGTAAAGAGAGAGAGACAGAGAGAGATACAGAGACAGAGAGAGAAACACAGAGACACAGAGAGAGAGTGATAGAAACAGAGACAGAAACAGAGAGAAACATATATGCATATATATACATACTATATATGTATATATATGCATATATATACATACTATATATGTATATATATAAAGAGACAGAGTCAGAGAGACAAAGACAGACAGAGACAGACAGAAAGACACTCAGAGATAGACAAAGACAAAGAGACAGAGACAGAAAGAAAATATTATCAATCGGACAAGCTCCTGGAGGAGACAAGGGAAAATGCCCAGATAGGGGAATTACCCTTGGGAAGGAGAAGGGCTACTGCAGTAAGGGATGTGTGTTGTAGAGGGGTTTTTGTATATGGAGTGGGGATGGTAAGGGAATTTATGACAGATGGCCTCCTTTTTTTCAGTCAAGTAGGAAGTGAGGATATTTGCTATGAGAGGAAGGGTTGGGGAGGCATAGGGGACCTTAGGGAAAGGAGAGGAGGTTATGAACAATTACTAAGGAGGAAGGGAGAAAGAGTCAAGGTGCTCGCTCGCTTGGGCAGCACATATACTGAAATTGTAACGATACAGAGAAGATTAGCATGGCCCCTGAACGAGGATGACACACAAATCAGTGAAGTGTTCCAGATTTTAAAGAAGCAGAAAAAAAAGGCAGGAAAGAATGGAATGACTATGGTACAGCACTCAAGGCCCAAATGAGATCTGGGAATGAATTTACACAGCACGGTGGTAAGACTTCCTCCAGTGCCATTCAGTAGCAGAGCGTACATAGAGAAAGCAGGTGGTGAGAGTGATAGAGGAATGTGATCTGCTAGGGAGTTAAGGACGGCAGGGACAAGGAAGAAAGAAAAATACAGGGTGGAGGCCAATATGCAAGTAAATTAATGAATTACTCGTCAAGACTGTTCAGGGAGGAAAATTAAGCTAGAGACGGGGTGATAGATTGGGAGAATAGGGTGGGATGGAGGCAGCCGCTGGAAGATACGATAAGGATGAATAATAAGTTTGGGAGGACTGAGGCCAGGAGAGATATGAAAGGTCAGGAGATAATGATCACGGGGGAAATTTCAGAGTTCACAATAATGTAGGTGACACAGTAACAAAGCAGTGCTGAGGTTTAAGGTATGACCTTAAGACTATTTACTATAATGTGAGGGGTTTATAGTCTGCATCAGTAGAGGGAATAACCACTCAATGATATCATAGACCTTTTGAAGTATCAACATATTACTGTTATTTTATTTGGATCTGTAACTGTCCTTGAACTGTAATTTCATTGGCTTAGGGAAGCGCTGATGTGCAAACGCCTTTAATCTGTATAAATCAGCAATTTCTTTGTAACTTTTAGTCTTAGACAGATGCCTTGATCATGGTCACATAGCTCATATGTGGATGAAGCAGAATTTGAAATCAAGATCTTCTTGCCTCCAAGGCACATATTGCTAAGATTCTCATTCACATAGTAAATTTACCTGCCTTCATTTACACATTATAAATATTCATAATATCCACATTATTGATACTATTCACATAGTATCAATAACATTAAGTCTAGTCACCATCATTTAATTATTTTCAGTATTTGCAACATTTATATGATTGATTATATTCATATATCAATAATATTAAATTTAGTTGTCTTTAGATGCTACCAATATTCAGAATATTCGCATTATTAATATTTATGTACTATCAATGCTATTAAATTTAGTTGTCTTTATTTAAATGCATAGCCCCTGTTTTCATGGACTCTTAATAATGATAAAAATAGCGATAGTAAAAGTTTTAATTCTGAAGTCTAATTCTGATAGCCCATTTTTCTGTATCTTGGGAAAGACAGAGGCTTTCTTTCTTTTCTTTTTTTTTTTCCACTTTTTCACTTTGACTGGAAGCAATGCTGCCAATAGCTACTCCTATTCACCTGGTGTTTCCTTTATCAGGTTAAGTACAAAGAAGGTTGGGAGAAGACAAAGGGCCGAGGGTTTGAGATGAAGCTGGATGCCATGCCTTTGTTGGCTGCCAAAGCCTCGGGGGAGCTTGCTAGCAACGTAGGTTTTACCTCATTAACTTGTAAATGCATAAGAAATTGTTCCGATGAGGTGTTGGTGGTCATGTGGGGAAAATAATGATTGCTAGGTTGCATTTTAAAGTTGCAGAACTTCTAATACTTTCATCTTATTCTGGATTTGATAAACATTGAGAGATGCTTTACATTTTTTTTTTTCTTTGAGATCCTTCACCTTGCATTTGGAACAGCCTGGCCTCTTTGGATGGCCTACTTCTCCCCCCATTCTCCCTACTCACAAGAGACTTTCTTCTTTCTCTCAAGATTAAATACAAAGAAGACTACGAAAAAACAAAAGGGAGAGCCATGGGAAACAAAGATTCAAGGCTTTTGCACTCCCTGCAGGTGGCCAAGATGAGCAGTGAGGTAAACTATTTCTTCCTGTTACTTATAAGGTGTTTTAGGGAAAACTTCTTAGGTGAACATTCTTTGTCAGTCGCCATATGAGCCCGTGAACCAGTTTGAAGCTCCTGCTCGAAGCCCCTTCCTTGACTGAACTGTGGGAGAGGTTGGAAGGGTGCAACCTTTGTTCATTAGTCGTGACTTGTTGCTGTAATTTCAGAGCGACTCAGGGATGGTTCTTGAGAGTGAACAATAATTAATAAATAAAGCCCAGGAAGTTCAGTTACATAACAGAATGGGGTTTGGGAAGACTCATCTTACTTTAGAGAAAATAAGAGCAGACTTGGAATCAGGAGGAACCAGGGTTCAAATCTCATGCCTGAAACCTGATAACCTATGTGACTATGAACACACAACTTTTCTGAACTCATTTCCCTATATGCAAATCACACAGCGTTGTCGTGAGGATCAGATGAGATCCTGATTTTATAAACCTGAAGGCACTATAAAAATATCACTTAGTATTAATATCATGGTATCTCCTAATCAACAAACATTTACTACCACTACTACTACTACTACTACTACTACTACTACCTCTACTACTACTACTACTATTACTACTACTGCTACTACTACTATTACTACCCATGTTGTTGCCCAGCCATTTTTCAGTCATGTCTGACTCTTCGTGACCCCCTTTTAGGGGTTTTCTTGGCAAAGATCCTAGCGTGGTTTGCTATTTTCTCCTCCAGCTAATTTTACAGGTGAGAAACTGAGGCAAACAGGGTTTTAAGTTACTTGCTCAGCGTCACCCAGCTAGTGAGTGTCTGAGGCTAGATTTGAACTCAGGTCTTTCTGACTTCAAGTCCAACACTCTATCCACAGCTGTCTACTAAGCTCCTGCCCTGTGCCAAGCACCATGTTAGTCATTAATAACTCCCAGAAGATGTCTGGTTCCTTTAAATGAGCCTTACTTATTTCTCTATCCACTCATTCTACTTCTCCGCAGTCATGTTTTAAGTCAGACATTTTTTGTGCATGTATGTGTGTGTCTCTATGTATCCACCTAAGGTTGAATACAAGAAAGGGTTTGAAGAGAGTAAGACTCACTTCCACTTGCCTATGGATATGGTCAACATCCAGCACGCCAAGAAGGCCCAGGGTCTAGCCAGCGACCTGGGCTACAGGAAGAAGCTGCATGTCTATACTGCGCTCCCCGAGGACATAAAAACCAACTGGGCCAAAAAAGCCTCCAAGCTTCAGAGTGAGGTGAGGTCTCCATCCATCCTGTTATCAGCTATACTCTGTGCACAGTAACCTCAGACTTCTTAGATATTTCTTAGTCTTTGTCTTACCTAATTAAGTCTTGGATAGTTTATCTTGGTCTTAGACAATTCTTAGTCTTTAATTCTTTTAGAATTAAAAAGATGTGAGTATACAACAGCAGAGGGTTGATTCCTCAGAGTAGAAAGTCAAAAAATCCACTTTGGGGTCTTCTGTGATTCACCCAGAGTATTAGGACATAGGGAGGAGCTAGGATGGCTCCAGATAGGGAGAAAAAAGGTAAGTGAAAAAAAAGGAGAACTTGAAGATGCTGAACCTACTTGAGAGAATGAAAAAGGATCTGGGGCAGAGAAAATTAGGGGTTGGTGCCTGGAGATATTAGGAAGGTAAAGAGGTATTGGCAATGATGTGTTAGATGGGGGAAAGACTGGGAATTTAGTCACATAACAAGGGGAGGGGTCCTTTGTCAAAAGGACATCAAATGTTTATCTTTGATAGGGCCCCTGTGGGCACAAGCTAAATACTTGGGTTGGACACAAGGTTAGTCCTATTGTTTGATTGAGGGAGTAGGACCCAAAGTTTTTTGTTTGTTTGTTTTAAATGGAAGGCACCTATAAAATGTGGGGCTTTTTCAGTTCTCTGGTGATTTTCCTGTATCTGTTTCAATTTCTCTAATTACAACCTGGTGGTTTTTCTCTTTCAGTTGCAGTACAAGGCAGACCTGACATGGATGAAGGGAGTTGGGTGGATGGCAGAGGGGAGTCTCAATATAGAACAAGCCAAGAAAGCCGGAGAGCTGATTAGTGAGGTAACCAAAATACAATTCTTTTGGTCTCTCAGACCATGTTCAGCCCTGGAGACATTAAGAGAGACCTGATGAAATCTCTTAATTTCCCTGAACTCCCTCCATTGACTTTTAGACAGGATGAATAAAAGACCCTACACCATTCATTTGTCAACAAGTCAAGTCAACAGGCATTTATTAAGTGATTACTGTGTGCCAGAGACCATGCTAAGCACTGTGAAAACAAATAAGAGCAGAAAGACAGTGCCTACCTACTTTTAAGAAGTATGGGGGAAAATAACACAAACCAAAAAGTGAGAAATTAGGAGGGGAAGAAATAAGGTATGCAGAGCAGAGTATGGCAGAGAAAGTCCAGAGAATCAGGAATACATCCTGGAGAAGAATGAAGACATGACTGATCCGGGCATCCTCCTTAAAATGGAGGTTCTGAAGGGAGCCAGCCAATCAAAAGAGGCCAAAGAGTCAGAGGGTAGTTCTAATGTGTGAAATCCAGGGTTAAGAGGTATCTATGGCATAGTAGAGAACGTCCAGGAGAATCAGGAGTACACCCTAGAAAGGAGAAGAATGGCAGGATTTGAACCTATAACATATCTTACTGATTTTTACCCCTCTAATATACTTAGATTCTTTGTGATATATCCTATATAAAGTCAATGAAGTTTTATTCCCCCTCCTCCTGTTAAATAAAAGTTACATTTAAATTCTAATTCTACTTAAAAGATTTGTATTATACAGGTCACTAAAGTTCTTTGAAGTTCACATGAGAGATGTGTTTCTTACCGTAGCAAAAAATTTCCTTCTGATTGGGAGTGTGAGAAATTTAAACCTCAGTAAAACAAGCAGAGTAGAAATCAATAAAAGACTTTTAAAAGGCACTGCATTTGGAAATTTGTCAGGCCTCTGCCAGGCTTTAGGGGACACTGGAATTTTGGAAGGAATTCCTGTTCCTTGGCCAAGAGAGTTGAATACAGGCCTTCTCCAAAAGCATAAGCTTGGGTTGGACTTTGTTCCTTCTTATCTCCAACAAGGATAGTTATCAGGGAAGAGTGGGTAGTGAGTCAGGAAGATCAGAGTCCAAGCTGTGCTCTGACACATACTGTGAGACTATGGGCAAGTCATGTAACCCCTTGGTGCCCCAGGAAACCCTATAACATTATAAGTTACAGGTGAATTGGTGATCTGGATAAGTGGAGGGCATTCTAGATTGAGAGTTCCTTGTACTGAAAACCTCCCATGGTACTGACCATTCTCTTGGAGTAGAGATAAATCGGGCAACTCATGTACACAGAGGAGAGTAGAAAGAAGAAAAACACCCACTTGGGCCCTTGTAGCTCAGTTCATTATGAAACACACTAAAAACCACAAAGTGACAGTTAGATTCCCCATGTGCCTTAGGTGTTTCTGACTCAGTCTTGCTCATGGTCAGGGGGTTGAAATATTCTTAGAGGCAATAAAAATAAAGTCCTAATCTTGATTTCCCCAATTTCCTTTTCTATGCCAGTTCCATCATTTCTAAGATGAACATAACCTGGGGTATACAGTTAGATTTGGGGACCCCTCCCACCTAAAGGTAAAATGTCCCTTTTAGTAATGACAAATGCTAGACCCAGAAGGGGAGACTCCTTCCCTTTGTGAGTCTTCTTACAATGTACAAGTAGTTGAGGGTAATATTTAAATTTATGGATCAGTTACTCAATCAATATTTATTAAGTACCTACTGTGTGTCAGACACTATGCTAAACACTGTTTAGCAATGTCCCAGTCCTTTAAGGAGTTGTGAGGAATAGCCAATAAAGATCTAGTTAATTGAAATGGAGGTATGTATGCTCAATAGTATCTTTGTGTCATGGTATTTTCTGTTTTTGTTTGTTTGTTTTTTTAAACAGAAAAGGTACAGGCAGAGAGCTGATGCTCTGAAGTTCACCAGTGTTACTGACAGTTCCCAAATGGAACATGCCAAGAGAAGCCAGGAGCTGCAGAGTAATGTAAGTACTGAATTGCCTCTTGGAATAAGAATGTGAAAGTTGGAAGTACCTTAGCTGTCAGTCTCATTGACTGAGGGCTGAAAGGGACCTTAAAGGTCATTAAGTCCAACCTCCTCGTATTATAGACGAAGAAACTGAAGCAGAAGGATATCAAATGATTTGCTAAGACCCACATACCTTGCAACCAATCCACTATACCATATTGCTTCTCCCCAAAAATATGTTGCACCTTTTCTAGGTGGGAAAACCTGGTCTAGGGTGTGTGTGTGTGTGTGTGTGTGTGTGTGTGTGTGTGTGTGTGTGAAATTATTTGCCATGTGTATAGAAGAGTAGAGACTTCAACTTAAGCTTATAGTCAAGTGTTGTTTCTACTACCTATACCACCTTGCTTTCCTTCTCCACTGATCTCCACTACCATGAGTCTGATGGGCTCCCAGGGATGGGTGCAGTAGCTGTCTAAGAAGGTGAACAAGGATTAAAATGAGCTGTCTTTTTTTTTTTTAGTATGACTTTCAAACCTCTTCTACAGGACTCCTGGAGTCCCCAGTCCCTATCATCTTCATGAAACACACATGAGGATGTATTTGAGGACCAAACTGAAGCTAGATTTTAGTTTTGGTGAAGTTGCATTGAGTCTTTTCTCCCTTTCTTGGGTTTAACTATGTCTAATCCAATTCAGCTTGTATAGAGGTCATTAATTATGTGTTCAGGGTCTCTCTCTGTTTGGGCATGTGCTGTTTGACATTTTTATTAATTAACTGGAAAAAATAGAAGACCCACTTATCAAATTTGCAAGTGATACAAAGTTGGGAAGGATAGCATTTACTAGGGGGAAATTCAAAGTCTTACATGGGTTGAAAAAGTCAACTTTACAAAGTATTTTATAATATGGTTGTGGTTAGGCAACAGTTCATCTGAAAAAAGTCTGGGGGTCCTAATGGACTACAGGCCTAACAAATATGATATGACAACCAACAAAACAAATGTGATCTGAGGCTACATTAAAAGAGACATAGTTCCCAGGGCTAGGGAAAGCATGGTCCTCCATTCTGTGGTCAGGCCACAATTTTAACTATATTGTATTCAGTTCAGGGCACTGAATTTTAAGAAAGACATTGATAAAATAAAGAGTGTCCAGGGGTGGACAACCTGGTTGGCAAGGGGTATTGAGATCATGCCATATGGGGATCTCTTGAAGGCCCTGGTGGAAGATGGTGGTAGAGGGCAAAATAGTGTGCTACTGGCTTCAAGTATTTGAAGAGCTGTCAAATGGGAGAAAGATTAAAAATATTTTGCTTAGTTAGTACTAGAATGTAGAAACAGGAACAATGGGTAGAAATCACAAAGATAGTCACCTACCCATGATACCAAGGAAAAGACAATGTACTACTGAGTGAATGGTTGTTCCTGGCTTCTTTTACTTATGGAGTGATACAAATGATGAATATCATTTGCGCAAAGCTTCACATGTGCATCAAATGTTTATTGAATTGAATTGTGTTGACTCTACTACTGACATTTTGCTTTTGTTGGCTAGGTGGCTTATAAATCTGGGAACGAGCATTGTATTCATCAATATACCATCAGCAAAGATGAGCCACTCTTCCTGCAGGCCAGAGCTAATGCCCAGCATCTCAGTGAGGTACTGGAAGGGGGATTGGATGCTGTACTCTTTTTTTCCTTAAATGGGATCTTATAAGACCTACTTCATTTGAAATTCTGTGGACAACAGACTGACTCAGACAATTTATTAGTACCATCTAAGGTTACATGTATTATGTGCTTGGACTAGATCCTAATCTCATTCATTTGTGAGTCCATGAAAGACTTGGTGATATGGGGACCTACTGGCATGTAAAGTCCTTCTAACAACATAAATTGTCTATGGCTTAGTAACTAAGTCACAGGGAGTTTCCCTACCTCTAACTTTTATTTTATTTCTGATCAGCTCTTGAGGATGGGGGTGAGGAAAGGATGCTTAATAGGAGTTATTTGGTGACATAACAATTATTCATGTATCATCTAGTGAGAGAAATGTCCTAATTACTATAAGATTGTAAAGTCCCATGATAGCAGGGGCGCATGTCTTATGAGAACTTTGTATTTCTCTCTCAGTAGCTAGCACAATGTCGTATGCACAGATGCCTAATAAATGCTTGGGGACTGCATGAAACTGTGGATAGTTTAGAGACTTGTAAGTTATTCCCTACTAGGTGACTTAAGAATCAATACTTTTATTTCTCCCATAGTTTTAATGAGCTTCATTGTAGTTTCTTAGGTATTGGCAGGTGACATTTGGTGATTTAATTTCCCTTCCTAATGAGGCTCTTAAGAAGTCTGAAGCCAATCTCTCACCTAAAGATTAATTTTTTAAAAAATTGTTATCTCTTTAGAAACTGTATAAGAGCAGCTGGGAGAAACAGAAGGCAAAAGGATTTGAACTTCATCTGGACTCCTTGTCTTTTCTGTCAGCCAAGGCCAAGAGGGACCTCGCAAGTGATGTGAGTGGTTCCTTGAGCTTTTAGAATGGATAATTGAATCAGGGACTATTACATTTCCCACAGACTTTAGAGACTGTCTAGTCAAAGTCTTTCATTTTACGATCGATAAAACAGAGAATCAGAGAGGGGAAATCCGAGGATTTACAGTGAAAAGGAACTTAGAGATCATTTAGTCCCATTCTCTCCTTTTAAAGATGATACAAAAGCCCAGAGAGGTGTGAAATGTCTTGCTCAGGGCCACACAAGTGCCCCTGAAGCATAGTCAAGATTTGAACCCAGATTTTGTGACTTCAGATCCAATAGAATGTTGGATTTGTAGGCAGGAAGATCTGGGTTTGAATTCTGCCTCAGACACTAACTTTTTTTGTCTCAGTTTCCTTGTCTCTAAAATGGAGACAAAAAAAGCACATACCTCAGTCTTGTGAAGGCCAAATGAGATTACAAAAAGTACGACATAAATATGAGCTATTGTTATTATTATCCCATGCTGTCTTTCAAGTAACTTGCCCAAAATCAGGCCATCAGCCCTGGAAGTAGAACCCAAATATCCTGATAATAATAAAAGTAGTAGTAATATTATTTTACATTCATATAGTACTTTTTAGATCTATTTTTTTGTTTTTTTCATTATTTTTAGATCTGCTTTTTCATTTTTTATATGTAATATTTTATTTTTTCCCAATTGTATGTTAAAACACATTTTTAACATTTTTTTTAAAAGTTTTGAGTTCCAAATTCTTTGCCTTCTTCGCTCTCTCCCTCACCTCCCCACTCACTAAGATGATAAGCAATCTGATAAAGGTCATACATGTGCAATCATGTAAAACACTTCCATATTAGTCATTTTGTACAAGAAGATGAATAAAAAATAATGAAAGTGAAAAACAGTATGTTTCAGTCTGTTTTCAGATCGTACCAGTTCTTTCATATAGTACTTTTAAGTTGAGAATGCTTTCACATATATAACAGCTGACATTTGTTTAGCATTTCATGTTTTGCGTGTTTTTCATTTGATCCTCACAATAACCCTGTGAGGATGGTGCTAATAATATCTTCACTTTACAAATGAGGAAACTGAGGCAAACAGATTAAATGACTTGCCAAGAATCACAAAATTAGCCAATAGCTGAGGTGGGATTCGAACCCAGGTCTTTCTGATTCCAAGGCTAGTGTTCTATCCCCTTGTTTTTCAGTCATTTTTCAGTTGTGCCTGATTCTTCATGATCCCATTTGGGGTTTTCTTGGCAAAGATAGTGGAGTGGTTCACTATTTCCTTCTCCAGTTCATCTTATGGATGAAGAAACTGAGGCAAACAGAGCTAAGTGACTTGCCCAGAGTCACACAGCAAGTGTCTGAGGCTTTTATTTGATGCCTCTAGCTTCCACTCCCATTCCAGAGTTTTTTCCTGGACAGTGTATTTTTTTGATCTGCTCTACATTACTGAGTGTCTGACCTAATTGGTATAGAGTCAAGGCATAGACCCCTTTGGCAGTCTGATGAAGCCTATGGACCACTTCTCAGAACAATGGTTTTAAAATTAGTAAAGGAAATTCTAAATATCAGTTAGAGATTAATAAAAATTAAGATGTAAATTTTTTTCCTATCCAAGTTAAGACCACTAGTTAGGAAAGACCCTCTGTTATAGAGGAAACCTTTTAAACTCTTAGAGTATTTTGTTTGTACTTAATCAATTATTATTCTTTGTATTAGATTACCTTGAACACATGTTTTCTCTTCCTACCAGGTTCTCTTGAAGGCAAAGATTGTGGCTTTTCATCTTTGCATCTCCTTCAGGCCTAGTCTAGGGCTTTGAATATAGTAGATGTTCAGTAAACATTCATTGAATTGGATTTACAGAAATGTACTCGATCAGGCCTGATCTGGGTTTCAAATATTCTGGGGGTTTGTTTTGTAACCTATATTGACTGGAGACTGAAGCTCGACCATTTCTCAGGGAAAGTCTCATGTGTCCTTCTGTGCTTTCTTCACATTAGATAAAATATAAGGAGGACTATGAGAAGTCCAGAGGCAAATTGATTGGAGCCCAGGGTGTCCAGGGTGATTCTCAGATGGCTCATTCTCTCCAAGTATCCAAGCTGCAGAGTGATCTGGAATACAAGAGAAGATTTGAAGATGTCAAAACTCAGTGCCATGTTCCCATGGATATGATCCACCTTGTTCATGCTCAGAAGGCCCAACATTTAGCCACAGACATAGGATATAAGACAGCCCTGCATCAATTTACCGCTCTGCCAACAGACATGAAAGTGGAATGGGCAAGGAAGGCATATGGTTTGCAAAGTGATGTAAGTTGCTTGTTTTAAAGGACACTTCCCTGATTCCCATCCATTCAAAATAACTGTGTGCTTAAGGCCTACACAGTCTTTAGATAGAAACTCCTGTTTATAGATCCAGTTCAATATGTTTAGTTTCCCAGTGATTTCACTCTTACCCATGCAATCAACAAACTTAGGTTCCCACCAGCGAAGAAGTTGTGGAGCTATCTTCTTATTCATGGGGTATTTTCATAACAGTTTCAAATATTCATAGAATATTTCCATATTCACATTTTTTCATGTAGAAATGTGTGTGTTGGGGTGGGGCAGGAATTTTTGTTTGTGTCGTGTTAACTATGATGGAAAAAGAGGCTATGATGGAATGAATGGGATCTGCTTTGTGGGCTGTGGGCAGGGGAAAAGGCCTGGCAATGTAGAAGGCCCTTTATGAATGTTTATTTATTGACTGACATATAGTTTCACCTATACTACCCTTCCAGGAAATGGTAGCCTCAACTGTGAAAATTATTAGCTATTTCCCCCCTTCTTTGCTCTCCTGACCCCTACTTGTACTTTAAAAAAAAAATTTCATTTTTTTATTTAACTCAATATGACCCTATAATGGCCATGAACTAAAGAATCAGGACAGATGCTTCTGAGTATTGCACTTTGCAGGGAGACACATCCTCACCAGTGTGGTTACTCCATGGTAGATAGGTGAACTAGTTTCAACGAGGCATCCATTTAAATGTCCATTCCCATTAAAACTCCTTGTATAACGGCAAGTAAAGGAATATTTTGCCCCATGGAGATGTGTAGGAAGGAACTGAAACCACAGGAAGCATTGAATGTCTTGTGAAATTCCATCAAATAGTTTTCCACCTGCGTTCTGTTGTGCATTCTCATTTTCTTCTCCCCTGCATGTCATTTTAAAGAAGAAAACTGGTAAGACAGACAATGAGATCTGCTTCTTTCAGCTGCTGGAGTCAGGATTGAAGTCAATAATGAGGAAAAAGGTTGAGTTCCCCCCTCCTCCTCATATTGCTGGGTATCACATAAAGTCGTCCTAAGCAGGGATGGCTCCAATTTTTAAAAATTAATTTAATATATTTTTGAGGGAGGGGAGGCTCTACCTGTGACTGGGCAGAAGCAGATAAAACAAAAGCAGGAGCTAATTTGACTCAGTTGGTCTCTGGTCTATGTCAGGATCCTTTAATGGTGCTTTAAATGTCTGAGCACCAACAATGGTGAATTTTTTTTCTTTGTCAGAACCAATATAGAGCCGATTTGAACTGGATGAAAGGAGCCGGATGGATAGCCACTGGGTCATTAAATGTGGAACAGGCTAAGAAGGCAGGAGAACTCATTAGTGAGGTGAGATTTCGTGACAGCATGTAACAGAACTGGCTGCATTATATGTGCAAAATTCCTGTATAAAATTAAAATCATTTCCACTCAAAAGGCAAAGAAAAAGGCAATGCCACATGAAAGGACTCCAAACCCAGACTAGGACTGGTAATTAGAGGGAAACCACATACCAAACACACGCCAGTAGGAGCCTATATAGCCTTTGCAAAAACAAAGTAGGTGACAAATGATATTATGAATAATAATGGCAATCAAACAGCGCTCAATTGCTACCCACTAACTTACCTTTTTAATGAAGCAACATAGGAGAGATGATGAAAAGATACATTTATTATACTCAGAAAGCCCTGGTTTGTCATTTTATACACACATTTCTCCATTCCTCCCCTCCTCCCCTTACTCCCCCAACACCTTAGACATCCGTGGAGTGCCCAGCACTCTGTATAATTCAGCCCTTTGGGTTTCTCACCTGCATGTTAGTGCTGGGGCCATCCAAGTTTAGCTGGACTAAATGGACCCTTCCTTAAGGCATCCCCACGCTCTCTGGACTAATTGCATGACAGTTGAGGGAAGGGTGTTTCTCTCACATTTGAGGACAATCTAGTTGAACCGATCTTTGGGAGCTAGACAGGGAGATAGAATTAAGGTCAGCTCCATTCAATAAGCATTTAAAAGAAACTATAATATGTCAAGAAGCAGTGTGGCACAGTAGATAGAGAGCTGTCCACAGAAGACCTGGGTTCAAGTTCTCCCACTGACATATATTGGCTGTGTGACCCTGAGTAAGTCCGTTAACAGTGACTCAGTGCTGTAGGCGGCTCACTAAGAATATACATTGAAGTGAAAGTATCAGCCTGTGTTGGTAAAGGGAGTTTCCTCATCAGGCTACTCCCTATTCAAAATTAACCGTAGATATCCATCCCTATCACCACCATATGCCAGGCACTATCCTAGGATCTGGGGATAATAAGAACAAAAATTACAATCTGTGCTCTCAAGGAGCTTACATCCTATTGGGGCAGGATAAAGCTGGCATAGATTAGGGAAGACAAAGTGATTGGAGAAAATAGTTAGGGGGGGATCAGGGAAGCCCTCAAATCAGAGATGGCCCACCTGTGCTGGGCCTTCACAGAGACAATGAGGGGATCATCTTAGGTCAAACATCCCCAATCCAAATCTCTGCTCCTGTTTGTAATGGGCTTTTAGGCATCTGTATGATGGCCCTAGGGACATTCTGCATTTTTATAAGGACCTGAAGCCCTTGAAACCAAGCCTAGTGGTGACAAAAACAACTTATAGTCTAGTAGGAGTGAGAAGACATATGCAGATAAATATAACAGTAAGATACATTGATCTGCGGTTTTGGGTATTGCAGTCTGACTCCTAGTGGCCATTTTAGCCTGCAAAAATAGATAGTAAAAACATAAAGAGGTTTCCTTTTTCACCCCATGAGACACCGCATCTTCCTGGGGGTTGATATTGCCCGGTGGAATAGATTCCCAATTACCATGACAAAGTTGTACTTTTTAGTGCTTTCCTCTTAAGGCTATCTGCTCTCTGCTCCATAGTAGTCACCTAATACATGAATATTTCCTTCCTTCTTTCCTTCCTTCCCTCCCTCCCTCCATACTTCTTTCCTACCTTCCCTCCTTTCCTCCTTTCTTCCTTCCTTCCTTTCTTCCTCTCTTCCTTTATCCTTCTCTCCCTTCTTTCTTCCCTTCATTCCTTCTTACCTTTCTCTCCTTCTTCCTTTGCTGTAAAGATTTATATATTTGTTATATCTGGCAGCTAGGTGGCACAGTGGATAGAGCACTGGGCCTGGAGTTAGGAAGACCTGATTTCAAATGTGCCTTCAGCCATTTACTAGTTATGTGACCCTGGTCCAGTCACTTCACCTCTGTTTGCCTCAGTTTTCTCATATGTAAAATGGGGATAATGATAGCACCTACCTCTCAGGATTGTCATAAAGATCAAATGTGATAATAACTGTAAAGCACTCAGTATAGTGCCTGGCACATAGTAAGTACTATATAAATGTTAGTTATTATTGTTATTATTATTACTTGAGGACAGGGACTACTTTTACTTTTTCGTTGTATCTCTGCTAATTAGCACAATATCTAGCATATAGTAAGTACTAATTGAAAATTTGTTGATTAATTGATTTCTATAGCATACATGACTTTTGTTGGCCTGTTTTGTGCCATCTCAATTAACCAACAAGCATTTATTAAGCACCTGATATGGTGCTGGAGATAAAAAAGACAAAAAACCCCAAAGAAACCACAATCCTTGTTCACAAGGGGCAAACAAGCCCATGGCCCAATAGACCACATGGGTTCAAAAGACCTTTTGGTTCTACCAGAAGATGGTTCATGAGATTCAGGGGAGGCACTCTTGGGATGGCTGCCATGCCAAAGGGACAACATGGGCTTTGGCATCTTATAGGAACATATTTCTAGCTCTAGAATTTATAATAATGAATTCAAAGATCTTGTCCACATATGAAATGAAATGGAGAATTATGATCGTTTAGGTTTCATTGTTTAAAAATTCATTTTCTTCAATTGCCTGCCTATTTGCCACCCCTCCATACATATGGGTTTTTTAAAAGACAGAATTATCCCATACTGGTTTTAATTCTCTACCTAATTTTAGAGCCTGAACAAACACATTTGCTTAATTTCTTTGATGCTTTGCAAGATTCCAATCTTTAATTGTGTTAAGTGATTTTAAAGAAGATAATTAAACTTTCACAACATTTCACAGGTAGTCCAGCCACTTTTAATCAGATGCTCTGGTTACAAGTATATTTAGAACTGCAGAGTATCTCGGAGGTCATCTGATGCAACTCCCTCATGTTACAAATGAGGAAATGAGATTCAGCAAAGTTGAGTCACTTTCCCAAGGTCACATAGATAGTAATTGAGATCCTAGCACCCTTCTACTGTATCACCCAGATTCTCAAGGTGAACTAGATCTGTGCCATAGGGACAGACCTCTACTCTTTCAGGATGAAAACTGAATGCTGGTGAGAGTCATAGTACACACAGGCAACCACAGTATACTCAGGCATATTGACTAAAGAATTTTCTTTGGGCAGAAGAAAAAGCACACTCTAATCTTTCTGGCCCAGAGACAAGTGAGTAGCTGGAAATAGACAGTGAGAGAAATGATGCCATTACCTTGCTTGCCCTTTAAATAAATTGGCCAAGTGGAGGAAAAATATTGCGGCTTGCTTTTAGAAAGGGTGAATAGGGTGGTTATAAAAGGCATCATTTCAAAGTTCCTTAAAATAATAATTAGCCTACTTCATTGCAAATATGGTTTGCTTGTTTGTTTTTTTAAATTCATTTATACTCAGTTTTTCAGGAACAAACACTTAAAATCAGGTAAATGCCATTTTGACAACCTAACATTGAATTGTCATCATTTATATTTATGTCTTATTTTTATTTATAGCCCTCTCAGCACAAGGCCCTGTATATAATGTGTTTAAAAATACTTGTTGAATGAATGAATGTTTTAAGTTTTATATTCTGCCACGACTCCTTTTTTGAATAACAGTATTATTCTTGTCATTGTTAGCATAAACATCAATGAAAGCCTACTGTGGGACCTAGAAATGGGTCTAAATGGGACCTCGAAATGACTGCACAGTCTGTGTAAACTGGCATGTGGCATGTTAAGTGAGCTGTTTTTGACTTTGCCATGCTCCTGGGTGGGAAGAGAATAGAAAACTTTAGATGTTAAATGTGACTGTTCCAGAATTTTTTCTTGCTTAGAGGAACGAAAAATATGTAAACAACATACTACATAGTATTTGAAGCCTTTAAAAGCCCATTTCTAAGTGTGGCTCTTACAATGTTTTACTGGGATAACCTAATTTTGAGGTGTTCTCTTTGTATCGGGTAGAACTACTTTAATGTTAATTGACACAAGGTTATACTGAAATTGAAACAAATATTAACCCGAAGGCACCCAGGACATAAAGATGGAGGAAGTAGAATTATAATTATGTTCACAAATTCACTCTAATCTCAAGCAACCTATGATTTTTCTCTTTCAAATGGCATGAAAGAACCACACAAAATTCACAGCTTTGATCTTTTTCTGCTCAACAGAAGAAGTACCGTCAGCATCCGTGGGCTTTGAAGTTTACCAGTATTAAAGACACTCCTGAGATGGTCCAGGCTAGAATTAGTTATACCCAAGCAGTGGATGTAAGTTATAATGTATATACATTATGATTACAGAGTGGGATCCTCTTTCGGCAACCTGATGGAAGTTGAAGCCTTTCTTAGTTTTGCTCTCCCTATTGTCCTAAGGATGAGCAAACTTTTGTGTACAAATGAGGTGGACCTAGAATGGGATGACTTCATTGGTATGGAAACGGTGTTATTTTCTTTATGATGAGAAACAGGCATCTCTCCCCACCTTATAAAGACCCATCCAAATTTGTGCTCTCTGTATTAACTTATTTTGTGATACTCCCTCATTCTCCACCCCCTCTCTATACTAATCCCTCCTTTTTTTAAAGATACCATTTTTAGAGTAGGAATTTTCATTTTTGTTTTTTGTTATTGCTTTTGTCTTTTAGTTATAACATATGAATGGCATGCTTGGTGCTACAATGATACCCAAAAGTTAGGTATCATTAACACTGGGAAATGATTTGAACGTGCTCTGAGGATATTAAGTTTAATTTTCAAACCGTTTCTCCATTCTCTTCATTTCTGAGTTCTGATAAGAAATGAAACAAATTCAATCAAAATTTGGCTTTATGTCTATCTATACAGCACAGAGTGAAATAATGATCTGACATTTCTCCAGTTTACCTCACACATGGAAGTTCTTTGGACTTTAGTGGGGCTCATCTACAAAATGATGGGATGGGACTGGATTATTTTTAAGGCCCCTGCTAGCTCGACAATTCCGTATTTGGAATTGTAAAAATTCACTGTAAGGCACATTACTCTAGTTTGGTTGCCTGCATTGAGACATTTTTTCACTTTGCCTTGCCTATGCCTTCTTCACTATGTCTTGCATAGACATGCCCAAAATATTTTCAAACCATCTTCATTTCCCACTAAGTGGTACATTTTGGAAATTTTAAGCAGAAGCCAAATTTCCTATTACATCTCCAAATTGAACAGATGTTTGTTGTCGTTACTGTACTTTGTTGGTCTGACATTCTAGAATAAGCTGAGGTTCATTTTAATGCTTTCAAATTGTAAAGGTAATGAATTGTGTCTATCTTTATTTTAGACTCAAAAAAATAAACATTGAAAACTGGGGAATTTTGATGGTGAAACAGAATCTTTTCTATGTTGAGAAAACTGTCAGATCCTTTAGTTAAACTAACTCTAGGGGGCACTGCTGTGATATTTAGAAACATGGACTCATTAAATAAGATTTGGGGGCTGGGACAGCCTAGTCCAGCCCAGAATATTTTATAGTTTAAAAGGGAAACACCAGAGACACTATATCAGAGGTACCCACATTTACTGCTAGGTTAATCCTAAGTGCAGTGTGAGCATGGTCTGGATTAGAGCAGACAAATAGGAGGCATTGTAGATGGAATCAAATGCAGTGAAAATTTAAGGAAATTAAAATTATTCAAGAAATGGTTATCTTATCTGGTGGCTTTTCAAGTCTGATATCTGCTAGTAGCTTGTATAGATGAATACAATCCTTATATGTTCCTTTTCTTTCCTCATCTTATAGTCATCTTATATATACAGTTGAAAGAGCCCTTAATTTGGGATCAGAGACCTGGACTGAAGCTCAGCTCTAGTCCTACCTGTGTGAATTTGGGCAAATCACTTAGCCTTTCTGAGCTCCTTTTTCCTCATCTATAAAATGAAGGGGTTGGACTGGATGACCTTTGAGACCCTTTCCACCTCTAAATTCTACGATTTATGCTGCATTCTTCAGTCGAGAGTTAACTTAGCAGGAGAGGTCTCGGTCTGTCATGTTCTGAGCAGTGAGAATGTAAGAGAAATGTTCCAGTGAGGTCGTGGAATATCTAAAGAGACAGGGGTGGGATATTGAGATCTACATCTAGGTAGACATTCGCATGACTTGGTCACTTGGTAGCTAGAGGAGCGATGTGGAATGGGCTCCATTTTTTAATCAGAAACTACTCCCTGTTTGCAGAGGCTCTACAGGGAGCACGGAGAAGACATAAAACATCATTACACTCAGACTACTGACCTCCCTGAAGTACTCCTGGCCAAACTGAACGCCATGAACATCAGTGAGGTGAGGATGATTTTGGAGACAGGTACTGCTCTTAAGCAAGAGAAGATTTTACATAGATTTTTTTTTAAAATAATAAGAACTTGGAGAAAGGGAGCACTTTCCTTGAAAAAGAGAAATCTCTCTTTGCATGAAGGACACTAATTCTAGGGAATTAGAATGGGAAAGCATGGATGTATAGGAAGGGTGTGTTACTTCAAGTTTCTCCCCAATCTAGTCTGTCCTCCTCTACTCAGCTGCCAAAGTGATCTTCCCAAAGAATAGTTCTGATTATGTCACCCTCTATTCATTAAACAGTGGTGGCTATCTATTATGTATGGGAACAAATATAAGATCTTCTGTTTTGGCTTTTAAAGCCTTTCACAGCTTGGCCTCTTCCTACTTTCCAGTCTTCTTATATTTTACTCTCCTCTTGATACTCTATCACCCCAAAACAATGGCTTTCTTGCTGTTCCTTCTATCTAACACTCCATCTCTTGAATCCGTATCTATTTATTGGCTGCCCTCTCAGAATTCCCTTCGTCTTCCCCTCTGCTTCCTGTCAAGAGGCCTTTCCCATTACCTCCCCCCACCCCAAGTCCCTTACCTCTGAGATATCCTCCACTTACCCTGTATATGTCTTATAGGTACATAAATATTTGCATGTCATCTCCTCCATTAGAATATAAACTCCTTGAGGAGTTTCTTTGTATTCTCAGAACTTTGTACAGTGCCTGGCACAGAAAGAACATTTAATAAATGCTTGATGATAATGATGATGATGATAGTGGGCTAATGAGTCATCAAAAGTTTTAGAGCTGATCTTGGAGCAGATGTGCAGATGTATACCAATGAAAACACTATTGTTTCCATGTTTTTGAGTGACTAGTATGTGCAAGGCCCTGTTCTATGCCTGGTACATAGAGAACATTTAATAAATATTTGATGATAATGAGGATGATGATGACGATGGGCTAATGAGTTATCAAAAACCTTGGAGCTGATTTCATAGCAGGTGTATACCAATGAAAATATGGGTGTCTCCATGTTTTTGAGTGTTTAGTATGTGCAAGACCCTATTTGTGACCATATTTATTCTAGGGGGTTGAGTCATGGTAGAGCAGAGTGAAAATTTAACACATTGTCTATGCTTTCAAGATGCTTATGATTTGGAGAGGGAGATAAGACAGTTAAACATGAAAAGATAATGATATATGATAATATAAGAGATGGCACAAGGCCATATATTGGGCAATATTTAGCTTATTTATATTTATATAATATAGGCTCCTTTATATATAGGCAATATTTGCCTTCTTGACAACAACATGGCGTATTGAACAGAAAACCAGTCATGGAATCAGGGAGACCCAGGTTCAGGGCTTGCCTCTGACACATGTTGGTTGTATGACCATGGGCAATGTACTTAGCCTCTTAGTGCCCCAAGCAACATTCTGTGTAAGTTACATCTTCAAGAGGAGTTCCTCACATTGATGGAATCATAGATTGCCCCTTTCTCTGACAAAAAAATAAAGAAAAAAGAGAGTTTATAATTTTAAGCCTGAGGAATCTATAGCTGTAATGGGAAGCCAATGAAAGCACATTCCAAATTCAAGTGTTTGTTGAATGGAAAAGTCGTCATTCAATAATATTTGTTGTATGGATAGATGAGCAAATTAATGAATTTATTTTGGTAACCTAATGGTTAGGAAGACTTCAAGTCAAATGAAGAAATTAATTTATGTTCATTTTTTCCCCAGACACGATACAAAGAATCCTGGAGCAAGCTTAGAGATGGTGGCTATAAACTGAGGCTAGATGCCCTTCCATTCCAGGCTGCAAAAGCGTCAAGTGAAATCATAAGCGATGTGAGTTTTTGTTGTAATTACCTTGTCGATGTCAAGTACTGAAATGTTTTCTCTCAAATCCCTGCCTCATTGTCTGTATGTATGGATATTCTCACATGTTCTAAACCGATGAGTTGACTAACTCTTCTTTCCAGAATCCGTTGAATCTCATAAAATAATCATTTATTAAGCACCTACTCTCTGCAAAGCACCGTGCTAGGTATGCGGCATACAGAGACAAAACTGAGAACAACCCCTGCCTTCATGGAGGTTACATGTAAAGAATTAAATATATACATGATAATTTGAGGAGGGAGAGAGAGCAGCAATAACTCAGAGGATCAGAGAAGGCTTCCTGTAGGATGCCTCCCTCCCATATAAGCTGGGTCCTCCCACTCCCCAGCTGCTGCCTTATCTACTTCTGCCACTGCCTCTCTTTGGCTGCCATCTCTGGGGCTGCAGGTTTGTCTGAGAGGGTTAGATGGATGCATAGGGTTCAACTCCCCACCTGTACTCAGAGATACTCTCACTTTCTGAACCTACTCTTAATAAAAAAAAAATAATAATTCCTCTGTATATACCGACCTTTTTAGTTTACAAAACACCTTCCTTTATAGCAATTCTATGTGATAATTGATTTGTCAAAGGTCAGACTGGTTAAGTGGCAGCATTAAGGACTCAGACTCTCCAAGTTCAATGTTGTTTCTCCTGCCTCAAGTACATATTCATCTCTTAGAGAGAAAACAAAAACAAAAACAAATAAGCCACTTTTTTCTTTTTTGTAAGAAAAAAAAAGCACTTGATTGCTTTAAGTATAAACACAGGCCCCAAGGAGATGGAATTTGCCATCCATCTATCATTGTCTTGAAAAAGCCCCCAGGAAGAAATTGCAAACAGTTCAATGCACCTTCTTCTACCATGCAGGACAACCCAGGTCCCAGCAGGTAGAACCAGACTGGAATTTGATTTACTAAAGATCTACTGTCATTCCCCAGAACAGAACAGAGCCCTTTACTCTTCGTGAGCCTTGCATATGAAAGAAGACTAGACCTCTTGACTTCTGCACCACATTTTCTTTTAACTCATTCACTCAGTGACTGTCAAAAGAACAAAACATTTTCGCCCAATACCCACCTCTTCCATTCTGTATCCCTTGTCACCTATGTGTTATTATTTTTTCTCCTCTCTCTCTCCCCTCAGTACAAATACAAAGAGGCGTTTGAGAAAATGAAAGGGCAGATGCTTGGATCTCGAAGCTTGGAAGATGATATCAGCCTCTCACATTCGGTTCACGCAACCTCAGTCCAAAGTGATGTAAGTTGAAAAAAATGTAAATGAATGTGTCAGCCCACCCATAGTAATATTTCCAGGGAATCCAAGGCTGGTGATCTATTGGAACAAATTATGTTTGTCTTCGAGATTATTAAACACCTGAACCTTGGCTGAACTTCAGATTCTATGTACAACCAACCCCCACCCCAAAACAAAACAAAACAAAACAAAAAACCCCCAACATCAAAAAGGAAAAAAAAAACCCAACCCTTTGGTTTTTTTTTTAAGTTTTTAAAATGTCCGCATTCTTAGAATAGGGCAGTGAAAAGAGTGCTAGAGTCAGGAGACCTGGGTTCTAGTTCTGGTTCTTCCACTGATTAGTTTACCTATGTTGTCGTTCTTCATCTATGAAATGAGGGTGCTAGATGGATAATCTCTAAAACCCCTTTCAATTCTAATATTCTATGGTTTATACAGTTATTCGGATATCATAATGATTATGCCTTACAGTAAATGCTTTACAATTCATCTAGTGATTTGACATCCATTATCTCATATGGGGTGGATCTGTGTGCATGCCTCTTGGACTCTTGGACTCTTCTTCTGGAACACATGTAGCTTGGCCAGCTGTGTGTGAAACATGGCTTGACTTCTCTCTGCCTCATTTGCCCTTGATTTAAGTCTTTCCCTTCATATTCGGAGAGGCTATCCCTAGAGGAGACAATGTTGGGCATACTCTGTTTAATGTTGTTAATTGGTTCTAGGGAAACATAATGTTAGGAGAAACAGCATTACAGGGGGCAGTTAGTTCTAACCATAGAAATAATATGACATGTTACAAATGAGTGATCAACCAGATGATTTTACAGTGGGTTTCGTGATCCCAGGATAGAATTTTGTTATAATGCCTTTAGAGTGTTAGTGTGTAGTGGCAAGAGCACTGGATTTGGAATCAAAAGACAAATCAGAAGTTCAAATCCTGGACCTGCTGCTTACAGTAAGTGTAATGTTGGGCGAGTCTCTTAGGACCTCAGTTTTCTTTTCTGTGAAATGAGGGAAATGGACTAGGGGCTGCTAAGGTCTCTTCTCCTTCTAATTCTATGATCTTTTTAGAAAATAATATTTTATTTTTCCCCAATTGCATGTAAAAATAATTTTAACATTCATTTTTTAAGCTTTATGTTCCAAATTCTATCCCTCTATCCCTCTTCCTCCTCTTCTCTCCCTGAGACAGTAAACAATCTGATATAGATTATACATGTGCTATCATGTAAAACATATTTCCATCTTAGTCATTTTGTGGAAGAAAACTCGTAGCTCTATGATCTGAAGATGTTGGTTAGCACAAAATATTCTGTACGGCAGGTCAGGGCAGATGACCCAAACTCTGTGCTTTGAAGAGAGTCAGACAGCTGGGGTGGCAGGAAGGCAATCAGGGACAGTAAGGGGAGACCTAAGGAGGCAGGCATCTGGTGCTAAGTCATGACCTGAAATCTGTATCAGTACAGTGAACACATAAAGCAGAGGGAGACTGGCTGCCTGAAAATGACTTTCGTTGTGCTTGTGGTCCACTCCCTCCTCAGGCTGCATGTTGCCCCTAAGTGACCACTTTTGTCTTTCAAGTTATCCAGAGGCAATTATTTTAATTAGGTTTCGTGATGCCATATGATGACTGATGAGAGTGTGTGGGGGTGGGCAGTTTAACTGGCAGAATATTCCAGAAGACTTCTCTTCTGGAGACATGATAACTGACCTTGTTTCTAGAGGGCAGGATTGAGATCATAGATGGAAATTGTAGATTTACAAATGAGTGCATTTTAATTTTTTTTTAAATAACTTACAGAAAAACCCAAACAAACACCTTCCTAACAATTTGGGCCATCTAGTAAAGGCACAGATTGCATTGGGACTTAGTGGATTCCATCAAACTATAAGTCTTTGAAACATTTTTGGAGAGGTTGTAGAGAGTATTTCTTGTTCAGGCACCTTTGATAATCTCTGAGGTCCCTTCCAATTTTTTGATTAACCCAATTTAAAATTTTGCTGGTGGAAGGAAGACATAGGCAGTAGTATTTGCTCTTGGTCTTAGGGATGGCCTGGCCAGGTGTACCTGTTACTTACCTTTCCCTCCTATCTTACTACACTTCTCTGTGGTGCACAGGATTAAGGGTTAGTGGAAGGCTTTGGGGATTATCACAATAATGATAAGACCTTTCAAGTACATTTCAAGACATTCAAGTTCATTTTAAGATTTTCAAAGGTTTTTTCAACTTTCTGCACCAAAAAATAGTAAGGCAGATAGAATGTTTTATTTTTCCCATTTTAATAACAGAGAAATTGAAGTTCAGGGAAGTTAACTTGGCTATGGTCCAATGACTTGAACCTGGGTCTTCTGATTTTTCCAGGGCTCTTTTTCTCTATATCATGCTGTGTCTCTCCCTCTAAGTCCAATTTGAGAATTTTGAAATTATAGAATAATCCTTGGACCTGCATTGCAATTTTTGCCTGTTAGGAAATAAGAATTCCCACTGACCCCTAAAGCAATTATCTAAACATGGTTTCCCAGAAAATATAAATCACAGATGGCTAGAAAACTGAACCCATAAAGGAAATGGGGAAAAGGCAGCAAAAGCTTACCAGGTGTGTCCTTTTGTATGAAGAATTATGAAGAAGTATGAAGAATTGCCGGAATTGGATGAGAAATTGCTTGGTACTTCTTCTGTACCCTCTATCGTTTGGGGCAAGCATAGAACTAAACTGGGTCTAAAGTCGGGGTCATCAGCCTCAGTGGGCTAGGGAGAATGATTTGCTGTTTCTGGAGACTGTTCTGTTCTCTTAATATTAGTTGCAGCAAGGAAGGAGCATTGGCTTTGCCAAGAATCCCTCCTGGGCCTTAATGAATGGGTAATTACATAATGTTTGGACTTTAGAATGGAGACAATAAATATAGTAATAATGCTATTGAAACTGTTACTGTTGGTGTTCCTGCCTCTCTAGGTGAACTACAAGAAAGGCTTTGAACATTCAAAGACTCAGTTCCATCTGCCGTTGGACATGGTAACCTTGGTGCACGCCAAGAAGGCCCAGAGCTTGGCCAGTGACCAGGACTACAAACAACTGCTCCACAAGTACACATCCTTGGCAGAAGACCTGAGGTTACGCTGTGCCAAAAAAGCTTACCAACTGCAGAGTGAGGTAAAGGCAGAAAGACCTCGGGCCATTTTACTTCTAGGTTTGATCATAAACACTCCCTTGGGTCAATGGTAAACCTTGAAGGGTGTTCAATGGCTCTGAAAGTAAAGAGTAAACTAGGAAGAACATACTATTTATCTCTTCTTATAGAACTCTATATAGGGGTTGCTGAAAAGCCTGGAAAGGGTCTATTTAAGTATAGTTTCCCTTAGGAGCTATTTATCTGTCATTCAGTCACCAACCATTTAGTAAGCATTATGTGCCAGGCACTGTGCTGAACACTAGGGATGCAAAGAAAAGCAAAAACACAGATTCTGCCCTCAAAGACCTCGCATGCAAATGGTGGGGGACAATATGTAAAAGATTGTATATATAAAATACATAGATCTCTCTTTCTCTGTCTCTCTCTGTCTATTTCTGCCTCTGTCTTTCTCTCCAGGATACCTTCATATGTCTAGATTTGCTATTCAATTAGTAATAATGAGGAGCCCCAGAACACAGCCCCTCTCCTCTACCTCTCCTTTCATGCTAAATATGACCCTTTAAATCTTTCCCTCCCTTCACACAACTTTGTTACCAGAAGAGAGATAGATTCTCTGTCAGCTGGGACCAGGGAGGGAAAAAAACAGCTTCCTCTTCATGCCCTGGGTCCTATTTCAGGAGGTAGCCTTGAAAGTGAAGCTGTATACACACTACCCCTACTTTCCACTGCCTGCCTTGCTCCACTCCCACTAGTTTCTCTCTGGGAAAAGGACACTAGAAAAATTTGGTGGGGAAGGGAAAGAAGGAAAGAAATCAGACCCACTGAGACTCACCTAAATCCTAAATCCTCTATATGAGTCTTGGAAATGTTTGGAGTTCCTGGATGACATTTCTAGCCTGGTCATTCCTACGCTCTCCAGTAGGAGAGTACTGTAGGGCAGAGTATTCATGGATTTTTGCATTCTTGGGAATATCCAGAGCATACTTTCTGCGAATTGGGAGGTTTCCTTTCTCTATCAACATCATTTCCCCCAGTTGACATATTCTTAAGGCAAGAAGATTTATCTGAGAAGAGTAGAGGGGAGAGACAACTGGGATTATTTAGGACTGTGTCCCCAAAACAGAGCCTTGTCAGATATATGTGAGGGTTTGTCATCTGTGTGTGTTTCACACCTATTTACAGACTTTGCTGAGTAACACAAACTGCCAGGAAGTTCACAAATGGGGTAGGAGCACCTGACAAGGTAGCTGTCATACTCACTTATTGGAGACAGATCTGTCACACAAGCACAAAAGCCCTGCTAGTTTCTCTTTTTTTCATCGTGACTGGACATGGAAAGCAGCAGTCCTGGCTGGTGCCTCTGCATCAGGAGTGGAAGATGGTTCAATTATGTAGTAAATTTGGGAAGTTCCAAACCATTAACACAAATGATAAATGAGTACACACACACACACACACACACACACACACACACTCTTATTTCTTGGCCAGAATATTCTGAACTCTTTGTTAGCAAAGTTCTGAATCTTGAGTTAATTAATGCTACCAGGTACTTCACTTATAGCTCAGTGGTTATCAAAATTTTTAATCTGAGGACCCTCTTAAAAATTATTGAGGACCCCACAAAGAGCTTTGGTTTATGTGGGTTATGTCTATCAATATGTGGTATTAGACATAGAAACATCTCAGTATTGTGATGACAATAAATTTTCACCTTGCAGACCCCCTGAAAGGGTCTTGGGGACCCCCAGGAGTCCCTGGATCATACTTTGAGAACTGTTATTGTAGTTCCACAGATTTGGTGGTTGCTTTTTTTGGTATGCTTTAAATAGTGTAAACATTTGCCCTGAGTTGTTTATAAGTACAATCTAACCTAGCTTTTGTCTCCCTACTATGCATATATTTATTTATTTTAATTTGCATGACTTCCCTTCAGAAGGCACTCAACAACTAAAGTAAATGACACTGGTGTTATTTTTTTCCCCTGCTAAATTAAATGGCTACTCATTCCAATTAGATGGTTACTGATGAGGCTCAGTTGTAAACTGAATATTAATCTGAAAAGACCTAACTTGGGGGAGGGAAGTATTTGAGTGAGGTGTGAGGTAACCTGTTTGGAGTGTTGTTTTGTCTTTAAGATGGTCTTTAATGGATCCCTTGGCCTCTCCTGCTTTACTTTGATTTTGAAATGTAATGAAAATGAGTTTAAACTTATGTTTGACTAAGTCTTCTGTCTCTCCCTCTCATCTTGTTTCCTGCAGAATTTGTACAGATCTGACCTAAACTTTATGAGAGGTGTTGGTTGTGTTATTCCAGGGACTTTGGAGATTGAAGGAAGAAAGAAAGCATCTGAACTCATCAGTGAGGTAACCAGCAATTTTCCTTGGATTGGGTTAATTGCTTCTGGGTATTAATATTATCAGTGATATTTGCCATATTGTGGGAAATATCTTTGATGAAATACATTGCTATGTTATTTAGATGTGGTGACTCATTAGATTAATCTTTAATTTCACCCATTTTTATTGGTGTGCCCATTTGAGTCTTAGTGCCATTTAAGACAGCTTTGTAGATAATTTCAAACCCTCCATTACCCAGAACAAAAATTATTTTACTAGCCTATAAGATGTGGTTACCTGGTGTTGCTTTGAAGGCTGGTGATTTCCTGTGGGCTTTGAAGAAAAAAAATGCTGGATTCTGATCTTGGGATTGGGAGAATAAAAAGCTTTTCCTTTTGACTTAAAAAAGAATAACAGTTAGATTTCTTGGGTGGGTCATAGGCCCATACTCTAAGTAAGCATGGGAGCTCTCACTCTTTTTAGCTGTGTGTGGGAGAACATGATAGAGTTCACAATCTTTATCATTTTCAGTGGATTCAATTGGTATCAATTGATCAATTGATGAGTCTTGACCCAGCTAAATATTTATGATAATATGAGAACTACTTCACTGAAGCCTTCCTTTCATTCCTCATCATGGTGCTCAAGTGACCTTGGATCCTCAAAGGCCATTCCTACAGAGCACTAGCCAGAACCTGTCTACTAAACTTAGAAGTCTAGATGTGTAATTCTGGAAAGTATGGCCTACCCTCAGAGGGGTGGCCAGTAGGAAATGATTTTATTTTGAACACATAGCAACTCATGTAGGTGGTCTACAAAGGTGTGGAGGGCTTGGAATCTGTGTCAGTGGAGGAGTGCCCCCACCAATCCTTGAATTAATTGAAAAGTTCACAAGGAGTTCAAAGGGAATAGGATGTTACATATTCTCATAGTTTTTTTTCCCATGACTTTCTATTATTATGCCTATTGATATGGCTCAAGAATTAAGTATATATATATATATATATATATAATAAATTTAAAATATTAAAACACTCCTGTGCACAGTGGTTCTGAACAAATTTAATATCTAAGCCTTTAATTTGTCTGTCCCTTTAACATTTGCAGGGAAGGAACAATGTAAACTTCCCTTTCATGTTTAGGAGCATCTGGTCCAACCCTATACTTTTTTAGCCATTTGCTTTCTCTTACTAATGAGTTCTAAACTCATTAGATTATTCCCAAGTCTAAGGGGAGAACTGAACTCAGTGGCTGAGAGAATCTTGGTCTTTGTCAAGCATAGGTTTATGGCCAGTATTAGAAGTCAGACCAAGAAACTAGGCCTACTTCTGACCTAGCACCTAATGGAGCCTTTCTTTCTTTCTCTTTTGTGGGAACTCAGAGTAAATATCGCCAGCAGCCCCAGTCCTTCAGGTACACAGCTGTGACAGACTCACCAGGACTCCTTCATGCAAAATTCAGCAATCAGATTACTAATGAGGTAAAAAAAAATCTCTACTGAAATCAGGGGTGGACTTTTAACGTTGCCATGTGCTGATAAAAGGAAGGGGGGAAAAAGCAACAACAAAAGTTTGAGAAGAAAAGAATCTCATCCTAAGAAAAATATTAAGACCAGTTGACATATATATGGCACTTCAAATTTTATAAAATACTTAACATACTATAGTATCCCTTCTGGGTTACTCCATTACCTTAGATCACCTTACATTTTCTCATTTGATTCTTTCAGGCCTTTTGCCTTCTAGTATAATGCTCTTCTCAATTTACTAATAGAGCACCTCTCAGTTGTCCTCTCTATTTTTGATATGGAGGTTAGACTTCTACCTAAAGACCAACAATAATTAAAGGATTTTGGATAATGTCTAGATTTAGAATTCTGTCCATGACCTTAGATATTTTAAGAATCAGTTGGAATTTGGTGCGTTCTCTCTCTCTCTGTATGTGTGTGTGTGTGTGTGTGTGTGTGTGTGTATACATATATATATGTGTATTATATAGTGTGTATGTACATATACATACACATATGTATATGTATGTATGTGTGTATTATAAATAGTGTATACGTGTATACACACATATATATATTCACATACACACACACATATATATATTTTTTTCCTACCAAGTGGTGACTAATATTTACAAAAGGCAGCTCAGGACAATAATAAGGGGAGCATTTGGCCTAATCTCTGTTTGGTTCTTGCCTCGTGAAGTGGCTTCTTTAATCTAACTAGTCCATTTTCAAACACTTGAATCATTAGTGTCGGGAGATGGGGAAAGATGCAGCAATTGACAATGATTTTAACATAACCTCTGAGTTGTACAAAACTAGAAATTTATGAACTATCATCATCATCATCACCATCATCATTATCTAAGGCAGCTGTGGTCCAGTAGAAAGCACTAGATTTAGAGGCAGAAGATTTAGGTTCAATTTCCAGTTCTGTCTCCTATTAGCCATGTGACTTCAGTCAAATTTCTCTTCTGAGACCATTTTCTCCTTGGTAAAATGAGGATGGGCAGGTAAGTAATGCAGTGAGTAGAGCTCTAGTCCTGGAGTCAGGAAGACCCGAGTTCATATCCAGTCTCAGACACTTACTAGCTGTGTGATCCTGGGCAAGTCACTTAACCCTGTTTGCCTCAGTTTCCTCACTTGCAAAATGAGCTGGAGGAGGAAATGACAAACTACTCCAGTATCTTTGCCAAGAAAACCTCAAAAGTGGTCACAAAGAGTTGGACACAACTGAAAAGACTGAACAACAAACACAAAATGAAGGCAATACCTACTCTTCTCCAGGATAATGACTCAGGTCAAATGAGATAACATATGTAAGGCATTTTGCAAGCCCTAAAGTGTGATATAAATGCTGGCTTTTTATTAAAATACTTTGTAAACAGCAAAGCAGTAGACACATGTCAGTGATGGTCGTGATGATGAGAGACAATATGGTGTGAGGGATTATGGACAACTGGATTTGGAACTGGAGGATCAGAGTTTGAATTCCAACTCTGCTCCTTGTTAGCTGTGTGACCTTGGGTAAGTCAGGTCCCCTCACTAGATCTCAGTTTCCTCATCTATAAAATGAGGGGGTTAGACTAGATGATCTTTAAGGTACCTTCCAACTCTAAATCCTATAGGTCTATTTGGCAATTTTACTATACCTTTTCTACATAGGGGAAAAATGTCACCTGGCTCCTTTTTCTTTTTTCTTTCTCTTCTTTTCATCACCCCAATCGCATTGTTACTTCTTGCATTGCACCTTTGTCCCTGATTGTATGTGTAAGTGATTTGCTTGGTTTGTTCAGGACTTGACTTGCCCTTTAGTGAAAGAAATATGAACAACTGTCTTACTGAAAAGGCTAAAAGTGGCTTCCTCCTTTTTTCTTTTCTAATAAATAATTGATTATAATGTTAATAATAGCAGACAGTGCATTGAATTTGGAATCAGAAGATATGAAGTCAAAATCCAAAATCTACTAGTTATTATTTGTGTGACTTTAGGGAAGTCATTTCACCACTGGGCCTTAGTTTCCTCATCTGTAAAATGGAGAAAGAAAGATTGGAGTAGATAACCTTTAAAATCCCTTCTAGCTCTCAATGTGTGATCCCATGAAAATGAAGAAATGTGTCTTTTTTAAATTGAATTTTGTTTTGTCAATTAATAAGCTTTATTTTCTCTCCCTCCTACATTTTTCCCTACTGAAAAACAAAAACTTTATAAAAAATAGGCATAATCTAGCAAAACAAATGATGAATTGATGTCTCCAAGCCATAAAATCCAAACTTTATTTTAATAAATGGAAAATATACGCATTTTGACAAACTAATAATAATAGCATCTCATTTGCTCCATGGCCCTCTTTTCTGTTTATATCCTATGGGATTTGAATAGACTTTCAGAAAGTATATTGCACTATTTATACTACCAGAAGAGATGTACTTTGGTGTTCACAAAGGTCTCAATGACTGTTTTTATGAATCTTTCCCCCACTAGCGCCTCTATAAAGCAGCAGGGAAGGATACAAGTCACCAATACACAGTGACCCTGGGTCTTCCTGAGTTTATCAGGGCAAAAATAAATGCAGCCAACCTTAGTGAGGTAAGTATTTATCTTTGAGTTATTGTAGTGGCCAAACTTGGCTGCGTGAAAAATGATGAAATTCACCTCTCTCCTTTCCTTGGAGTAGTGGGAGGCAACGAATGTGGAATATTGCTGATGCTCTCAAATGCTGTAGCTGTTGGGTCTTTTGGGGTTGGGTTATGTCATTAGAGGTCTTTAAATAAAAGCTGAGTAGTTATAGTTACTGGCTAGCTTCATCTTAGTGGGGTTAAGAGGTTAGACCTCTCTGATCAGTGCCTTTCAATCCTGAGATTCCATGAAATACAGAAATGACTTGGATGTAAAAAGAAAAAAATCAGTAAAACTTTGCCATAAATAAATAAGCAAACAAATAAATATATGCATGTATGTAGCCAGTCTTAGTGATATCAAAATTTATCTTTCACCCAAGTTTAGTTGTGATCCAAAGATACTTATTCCTGCATCTTCAGAATGATGTAAATTTGATCATGGAGGTTAAGCCCAGAACCTTATTAGAATGGGTAACCTCTTCATGTCCACATTAACCATATCTTTGTACAAATGTGCTGAGTACAGATGTGGAGGGAGTGGTAGCATGCACACTAATGAGATGTTCTATACAAAATAGAGAGCTTTGGCATGTCAGAAATTGATTCATGCACACAGAACTACAAATGAGAGAGGGGATTTTCTTTGTTCATTGATTCATGTATTTAAAAAAAAGAAAAAGAAGAAAATCTACATGTGTTCCCACTTTAGGCAAAATACAAGGAGTCTTGGCATAATCTATGTGCTCAAGGCTACAAGCTGACAATGGAAGCAATCCCTTTCCAGACTGCAAGGGCCTCCCGAGATATCGCCAGTGATGTGAGTTGAATGATATGACCTTCCATGTCACCTAATTTCTGTTAACTTCATGTAAAACAATGTCTACGGCAAATTTTACTGAATTAAAGCAAATCTATAACCATGTGAGACAAGAATGTCACTTGCAGAATATATTACTTATGAATGAGTGTCTTTGTAGGAGGGAAAAAAGGCTCTGCTAATCAGAAGCCAAACACAGTCAAAGACCTTCCAGGGGGAGCTGGGCTGATGTATTTGTAGTCACAATGCTAGAGAAATAAATGTTCTTCACCTGTAACTCCAACCCTGAATCAGGTAGAGAAATCACAATAATTCAAGTCATCAAATTTTCATATTTCCGTCCCCATACTAGTTTTAGAGACTAGCATTGTACTTTGTTCATTGCAATTCAATCCACTCTGATGATAAAGTCCATAGCTTTGGGACATGAAGGTGACTTTTCCTTTCCCATAAACAAATCATAGAAAACAGGGACTTCAAAGGCATAGATCTTGTCTTTAGGGTTTAACGCTTTGCCAAGTGCACCAGGATAAAACACAGCTTTCTCATTTGCAGTTTTTGATAAATTTCTTTTGGTCATAGGCAAAGTAGTCAAGTAGGGCCCCTTTCTCTTGGTTTCAATATACAGCTTCTGATCAAGCAGACAAATAGAACTATTCTTTGGTTCTTCCACCCCCAGGGAGGAAGGTGCTTTGTCAAGCTAGCCTGTGTTTTGTTTTGGTTCAGGGATTTTCACCCCAATAATAATCACCCCCTTGTACAAAAAAAAAAGGAAAAAATGTGATTTTGTAGGATTTAAACACAGGTAATTGGAATTTAAGCAAGTAAAATGCAAATGGCTGACTGATTTTCTTTTCACTCAAAGTGTCAGTATAGACATGACTTTGTGAAGGAGAGAGGGAAACTTATTGGAGCCAGAAGCATTCTGGATGACCACAGACTTCAGCACTGCCTGCGAGTGGGGAAACTACAGAGTGAACAGCAGTACAGGAGGGAGGCCCCAGGCAGCAATACTCAGTACCACCTCCCCATGGACGTGGTGAACCTGGTCCATGCTCGCAAGGCTCAGGCCCTGGCAAGCGAGCATGATTATAGGACGAGGTGCCATGACTTTACAGCCCTTCCTGAGGACTTGAAGCTGTATTGGGCCAAGAAAGCCCATGCACTACAGAGTGAGGTAAAGTTTCTTTTCCTTTCCTTTCCTTTCCTTCCCTTCCCTTCTCTTCCTGTCTTCTTCTTCCTTCTTTCTCTTCTTCCCTTCCTTCCTTCCTTCTCCTTTACCTCTATCTGTCCTTTCTCTCTGTCTCTGTCTCCCACTCTTTCCCTCCTTTCATCTCTTTCTTCCTCCCTCACTCCCCATCAATCCCCAAACTGGTCCAACCTTTTCTTTTAGAATGTATTTATAGTATCCCCTCATCTTTCCTCTCTAGGTTGTTTATTACAATTTCACATACACCTGTTTGTATACATATGTATATATAATACAGAAAGAGGAGGAGGAGAACACAGATGGCTAGATAGGTGTAGATATAAATTTATCTATACCTATAGCTATTTATACATATCTAACATATATGTGTATATATACTATATGTGGAGCAAGAGGTTTTTCTATACGCAATATTTCATATTGGATAAATTGTTAACTTTGGAATCTAAAAGATGTATGTTCAAATCGAGCGTCTGATGCTTAGCAACTATATGACACTGGGAAAGTCAATTAACCTCTTTATGCCTCAGAAAAATCCCTAAGAATTACCTATTAAGTCATATATGGATTGTCCATCTGCAGTTGGTAGAAGTAGCTCTCAATCAGATTATTGAGTTTATCTAGTCCAATACCCTCATTTTCCAAATGAAGGAAATGGAATCCAGAGACATGAAGTGTCACACAGCTCATGTGGGCTGCATCTAAGGAGAGCTTGAACCAGAAGCCAGGTCCCTCGATGCCTTTTTCATCATAGCATGTTGCTTCAGGGTGGTTGTGTCAATAGCGTCTTTGGTCGGAACAAACCTTGTTGATAAGTCACCAAGAAAGGTTTAGAAGCAAAATCTTCAAAGTAGTCCTACCCCTGGAGGACATAGATGTCCCTGTTCTACACTGTTCTCTGGACACAGCTGTCTGCATTTTTCTGCCCCACCATGCCCAGGTACTAAAAGTCACAGTTCATTTATGACTTGTGTATTCGAAGCTATGGGGCCATCAAGGAGAGGTGGAGTGCACAGGACTCTGAAGAACGATATGTGTGAGTCCAAAGCCAGTTTCTATTATAATAACTAACAACAACAATAATAATTGGAGAGGATAGAATGCTCAGTTCTTGCCTGCAGTTCTGGGTAGCATATGGAAACCAAGTTCAGTGGTTCCAAAAAAAAAAAAAAGTGTTTTGGAATTGTGCTTAGAAACCATCTTGGGGAAGTTGATTTCTTGTTACTCCTCTCCCCCTCCCATCTTTTATTATGAAGCCTGATGCTGGCATGTTGTTATTAGGTTCTGTCTGAATAGTTGAAGCAGGACTGGGAGACGAAATATCAATAGCCCGTCCATTTATGAGCGAGTCTGAGGCACAATCAAAGCATTAGGGAGCCTGCATCTTGCTTTCTTACTTACCTGCAATCGTACTGTTCAGCTCAACAAAAGGCGAGTTGAAAGAGCTCTCCCCACTTCATGTCTTTTATGAAAGGAGCAATGCCTAGCTGTGAAGAATCCCTGTTGGATTATTCTCTCTAACTTAGAAATTTATCCAATTTCCTCTGTTCTTTATCAGAGTGGAAGGCAAAAGCGTTGCCAGTATAGACTGAAAGATCCCAATATAAAAAGCAAGCTACTGGCATGGGGCATAGAAACCCGCTCCTGAACCTGAGTTAAGGGAGACCTTAGATGTCTCTCTTAACCAGTTTGGTAGCAAAGTAGAATTTGCACAGGGACATTAACCACTAGACAGTAGATCAGAAAGAAGCCTTCTTTGTGGCTAACTGTGAGGAACGCTGTAAACCCTGAAATGAAAGGAACGAGTACGGCAGAAAGCCTGATTTCAGGAGTGACATTTTTCATTATGGCAGAGCTTCTCTCTAAATTAAAGGGATGCCATCAGCTTCGTTTAGATCCAAAATTTAGATTTTCTTACAGGTTTCATTTTTTTTTTCTTTATAAAAACCTAATTTCCATAAAGATCATTTGCTGAAACCAATTCTATCATAGGTGATTCTGGGAACATCAAGACAGGGAGTACGTAGGGGACTTAACTTTTCTCCATCCTGGGGCCAGGGGCATGTGGCAGGAATAATAATATCTTATACTTCTGGCATATCTTTCATTACATTTACTGTTTCCAAATGGCCCTGATTGTTTTTCCCAGGAGTACATAGAGACAACACATTCTCTTTTGACTATAGCTATGATCTTGAAGGCCCTGAGAAGAAACTAGAGAAGGAGTCTGAGGCTTAGCCCAGCTTTGCAAGAGAAGCCTGGGGAAACTCCGTCATGGACAAATTGAAGTGGTCTGCTTAGAACTATCTAGTTAAGAAGAGGCAGGGTAGTAACGAGCACTTGATTTGGAACCAGAAGGTTAGGATTCAGGCTGCCCCCCTTTACTGCTTGGGTGACCTTGAACAAATCACTTATCTTTCTGAGCCTCAGTTTCTCAGTCATAAAATGAGAATGTTAACCTAGATGAGGATTGGCAAACTGGGGCTGTTAGGCCAAATCTGTACTGTCTGCTTGTTTTTCCATAGCCTGGATTTGTGGAACTATGGCCACAGGGTGATAGATTGGCAAACCCTGGTCTGGATGGTCACTATGGTCCTTCCCTGTGAGACTTTAAGGTGGACTCAGTTTTCATTCTCTCAGGTGTCTTAGCATGACTATTGGATTGTCCAAAGTCATGTCATTTTATATCAAGGGGATAATTTCTTTCCCAAGAGCACTAAATAAAACAATATATTTTATTAATTGATCAGCCAGTCAATGAACATGCATTTCCTAAGGGCCTTAAGGCACTGTGTTAAAGCCCTGGAGATACAAAGATAAAAATGAAACTTCTGCCTTCAAGGAGCTTATATTCTATTAGGATATACATAATAAGTATATAAACTTGCAGTCTATCAGCAAATACATAATAAATATATGAGATATATACACATTAAATATGAGGTTATTTCAAGGGTAAAGAGGAGGAAAGAATAGCATATAAATACCCCCTACTATGTGCTAGGCATATGCTAAGCACAATTTTACAAATATTATCTCATTTTATTCTCACAACCAGCCTAGGAGTTTGGTGCTATTATACTTCACCTATTTTACAGATGAAGGAACTGAGGCAAACAGAGGTTAAGTGTCTTGCCCAGGGTCACACAGCTAGTGTCTGAGGTTGGATTTGAACTCATGGAGATGAGTGTGTCTGATTCCAAACCCTGTACTCTACCCACTGCATCACCAGCTGCACTAGTAGCTAGAGGTTTTGAAGGAAACTAGAGATTTCTAATAATCTCATGGGGAAGAAAACAAAACCAAACGAAATGCTGGTTTGGAAATTAGAGGACCTGAGTTAGAGGATCACCTTACATTGTGACCTTGGGCATGTCAATGGCTTCTTGGTGCCTTGTTTTTCTTTTATGTACAATGTGGGAATTGCACTAGTTGATCTCAAAGGAAAAAAGTTGGTTGTTATGACTGCCACTTTTACACTTTGGGTAACTGAGGCTCAGAGAAATGACTTATACTTAGCATATGAACTCTGTTTTTGAATGTAGAGCTCAGAGTAGTGACAGTGATGTACAATAAGGCAGGTAGTAAGGCAGGCAGTAAGCAGTCAAGTGGCACAGTGGATAGAGCGCTGGGCGTCACCTTCGTGAGTTCAAGTCTGGCCTCAGACACTTGCTAGCTGTGTGACCCTGAGCAAGTCACTTAATCCTGTTTGCCTCAGTTTCCTCATCTGTGAAATGAGCTGGAGAAGGCAATGGCAAACCACTCCAGTGTCTTTGCCAAGAAAACCCCAAATGGGGTCATGAAGAGTCGGACATGACTAAAACAACTGAACAACACCAAAGGCAGGCGGTCTGACTCTTTGCTGGTTTGAGTTAATTGGAGTTAATCTGAGCTTTAATTTGATTTCACTCACACAGGCCATTGGTATCTTATGCTCTAAATTAGTCAAATTCACTGATAGGGCCTCTTTTTCTATCCCGGTCAAGTTTCCATGACTTAATTTCTATAAGAATGCACCCAGACAAATGGTCCAACTTGATGGCAAGAATGAGCAGAGAGAAGGAAGACTCTGGAATGTTGTTAGCAATCATTACTGCAAGTATTATTACAAATCAAGGATCTTTCGAAAGAGTCTTAATAGTCAAAGATGTTATACTGATATCAGATGTCATACTGATAAAAAGCCAAGAAAATTTTTTTTCCTACAGTCACGCTACAAATCAGACCTGAACTCCATGAAGGGACTGGGCTGGCTGGCGCTGAGATCCCCACAGATAGAAAATGTAAAGAAGGCTGGTGAACTCATCAGCGAGGTACTAATAAATCTTTCATGGCCTGGCACATCTGTAGGAATTGTTTACCATTAGAATGCTTTGTTACAGGAGGGTGGTGTTGGGGGTAAGGAGGACAGAGAACATTACAAGCATGAGAAAGCGCCTGTGCAAAGTCATGAAGACAGGGAATGGAAATGTCAGCATTCCATACAGTAATACAATTTGACCAGAATGTAGAGTGTAATATCCTTTTATTCTGAAAATATTTTCAAATTATACCATTTTGAAGGACTCTTAGGCTCATCAGCAAGATGAGCTAATAATTTATTCCATACATTTAGACACGCATTACCGAGTTGGGAGAAAAGTTATGATTGCCATTCACAATGTTTATTCGCCATATAAACACCATGAGAATAGGGAAAAGAGCAAAATATATTTATCCAAATGGAATAATCAATCACACTGCCCCAGGGCCTCACTGTTTTTCTTGGGGGATAATCCCATAGGTAGGTGATACAACATAGTAAAGTCCTCTCGATACTTGAGTGACTAAATCCTTCTAGGATAAAGTAGGAATAGGTATGATTGATTTTATACTGAATTCTGTTGAACGGTGAGCATGTTAGTATGAGATGCCAGGGCAGTTTGTACTTTATTACCTGTAGCATCTATCTTCAAAAGACTTAAATGTCTCAAAGCTATTTCTGATTACATAGATGCAGCCTGTGCCTCTTTCCCCTCAAGGCATTCTTGCTGCTATTGCCCATAAATAGGGGAAATGTTTCCAAATAAGTCATTGATATATTTGGTTCTGGATTGATTGTAGTAATACTGCATTCAAAAAGTCAAACTCCTGTTTCATGAGAATCTTTGTCTTTATTCCTTGCAGGCTAAATATCGTCAAAAGCCGGACAGTATCAAGTTCACTACCGTGGTTGACTCCCCAGACCTGGTCCATGCCAAGAACAGCTACCTGCAGTGCAATGATGTAGGTTTGATGTTGTACCTGATCTCAGCCATTCCTGATAGATGGCTCTCTGCCACATTCATTTCAAACACACCTTAATTTTCAGTGGAGTCCAATGGAGATAAAAGTTTAATTTAACTCAACTGGAGACAAAGAACAGAAAAGTTAAATGTCTCTCTGCGTTCAGTCTCTACATTTGCTACAGTCTTTTCTCTCTCATTCTCTTTCCTTATTCTCTGTCTGTCTCTGTCTGTCTCCTTGTCTCTCTCTGTCTCCTCGCCTCTGTTTGTCTTTGTCTCTGTCTCTGTCTCTGTCTCTGTCTCTCTCTCTCTCTCTCTCTCTCTCTCTCTCTCTCTTACACACACACACACACACACACACACCCGTATCTCTGACTTTTTCTTAATTAGAAAATTGAGCTGTACTCAATGAGTTGAGCCAGAAGTAGAAAACATTCCTGACACTGGGAAAGATGTAAAATTTACACCCAATGACAAAGCCACTTTATTTTTCCTGTTACATATAGTTAAAGTCTGCCTTTGGATTTGAGAGAGAGAGGATTAGAACTGAGGGCATTCTGTTTTCCCACTATAAAGCCAATAAGACACCGAACCCTTTCAGATAAAATATCCATATCTTTAAATTTAATATTATTTATAAATCACCTCTTCAAAAAATCTTCAAATATTCTAATGAACACATGCATGTATACACATGCTTGAAAGGCAGCAGAGTATAATAGATGGAGTTGGGCGTGGAGTCAGAAAGGCATGGGATCAAGTCCTGTCTAGTCTATCATGAACAACCTGAGTGATTGTGGGCAGGTCATGTATTCTCTCAGTACTCCCAGGAAATCCTTTAAGACTATAAAGTGTAGATGAGACATTGATCTGTAATGAAATTAGATGGGTATGTGTCAGCCAGTCAGTGTTTTAGGCTATTTCATCATTTGGTAGATGGATAGTAGTAGAACACTAGAAGAAGTATGGCTTTAAAGAGATCTGTCTAAAATCTGCGCCGTCTGTCTGTGCATTTTTCTATATACCCATTTATCTGAGCAAAACAATTGAGTAGCCATCGTGGCCATGACACTGTTAAAAGCTCTGAGACATGCAAAGAAATGTGTATATTGTTATACTGATTTTCACACGGATTTGTCTATGATGTTCTGAATTCCATGGAAATGTAGCACCACAAGCTATAATCTGCATTTAAACGGGAATCTGTTTTGGCTTGACAGCGTCTCTACAGAGCTGGGGACTCAGAATCAATGCACAGATACACTTTCCTTCCTGATCACCCTGACTTCATCCGAGCCCGTCTCAATGCTCTTCATCTTAGTGACGTGAGTGAATAAACACGTTTTTCCTCTTCTGTCTTTCTATGTTTCAGTGATCAAATGGGAATAACACATGTAAGGTGATTTGCAAAACCTTAAAGTGTTATCTAAGTGTTAGCTCCTATTACGTTAGCTATTATTCATTAAAACTGGGTTTTATTGATTAGGAAAAAACAAACGGACAATAATGAATTAGGGCAGGGCAGCTTAGTGAAAAGAGCCCAGAACCAGGAATCAGGAGACCCATATTCTAGTCCTTGCCAATCACTCACCATATAGCTTTGGGCAAGTCAGGTCCTTTTTTCTGGGCCTCATTTTCCCTCTCTGTAAAATGAAAGGGTTATACCTTTAAGGTCTCTTCTAGGTCTAACATTCTATGATTCTGTGTTTGACTTCAAAGCCATCACTGCTATGTTTAGGTTTGGCCAGGATCAGCTTCAGGTACTGTCTGTAGATGTCTTCATTTATTCTCCAGAATGTTTTTTCCTTGTACTGTAAACTGAACCTTGTTAATGAGGTGATAGTTCTGTATCTCATCAAAGTTTTTTGTTTTGTTGCTCATTCGTTTCAGTCATATCTGACTCGTCATGACCCTATTTGGGGTTTTCTTAGCAAAGATACTGGAGTGCTTGGCCATTTCCTTCTCCAGTTCATTTTACAGATGAGGAAACTGAGGCAAACAGGGTTAAGTGACTTGCCCAGGGTAACATCTGGTAAGTGTCTGAGGCTGAATTTGAACTCAAAGAGATGAGTCTTCCTGACTCTAGGCCTGGCATTCTAGCCATTGTGCCACCTAGCTGATGCTTAGTGACCTTAAAACAGATCTACTTTTCTCTAGAATAGGAGTTCTTAACCTGAGATCTATGGATTTCCAAAGAGTCTTTAAATAAATTTCAGGAGTTCTATGAACTTGGATGGGAAAAAAATTACATCTTTATTATAAAGCTTCATCATTATTATAAAGGCAATGAGTAGGTTTAATCTTAGAGCAGGGTTCTTAACCTTGTTTTAAAAAAATTCTTTTTGACAACTATATTTCAATATAATGGATTTCCTTTGTAGTCACATATATTTTATTTTATGCTCTTAAAAACATTGCTGTGAGAAAGGTTCACCTGATAAGGGTGAACTGCCAATGGGGTCCATAACACAAAAACATGGTCCAAGAGTCCCTACTCTAAAGAAAGTGTTGGCCTCAGAGTCATTCCTTTCACCATGAAATTACTTTGTAATTGCACCTAGTAGGACTTTAATAAATCCTTGTTGAATGGATGAATGGATGAATGAATGAATGAATGATGAATGAATATGAGTCCGCATTTCCCCTGCCTGTGGCCAAAACCCTTTTTTGTTTCCCTTAGACATATGCCCTGTGAGTGCATAATGGAGGAATCTTGTTTTTAAGCCATACCAAAGGCTGCCCTGTTACCAGGAAGGATTTGAAGTTACTGATTCTAAGTGAATAGGTGGCAGCTTGTCCTCAGGGGCTGTGATCCTATGATAACAGGTAGTGAGGCTGATGAATCAAAGGAAACCTGTCAGATCAGAATAACATGGTCTGAGTGTGTCCAAATGTGGTAGCAATGGGCCACCCAGAGTTCAGCCATTCTTCCGTCCCCGTCCTTCCTATTGTGTCCTGCGGCTCCGTGTGGTTAAGCAGCTGTCACTTTTCACCCCAGAGGTGGCTACTTCTCAGAGGATGGCAAGATGCTTCTTCTATTTTATGTGTGTATCAGTTTGTGGAGTTTGTAAAGCACCATGGGATCCTTTGCAGTGAATCATGCTTTATAAATATAAGTTATTATTATTATTTGAAGCTTTTGATGGGAGCCAGAAGGATAATTTTAGAATAGCAGCTTAGGTGGGCCTATCTCCCCCTGGGTCAAAGAGTCCTTTCCTTTGGCAATGCTCCGGCAAAAGGCTTCTCTTGTTAATCTCCCTGAAATGTGGGAAGTGCCTTCATCGGAGACTTCTCGTCACCTGCTTGTGGCAGGTTTGGAAACCAGGATAAAATAGGCAGCCCTTTGCAGGGGATTCTTAAGAAGGGGAGGCCCGCACAGGATCTTGAACATTTGCCTCTAGCGACCGCTACCAATCATCAGAGGCGGTGAACTGAAATTGCCAGCTGGGGAATGTGGCTATGGAGAACTCGTGAACCTCTTATGAAAGAGTACTTTTTGGGGGAGGCCATGTGGGGTGTGTACAATTGGATCAAGCACAGTACACGGAAGACTGTAGAGGGAAACTGACCTTCCTGGGCAAAGAAAGTCATTGATATTTGTAAGGCAGCAGAAATAACTAAAAATCAAATGGCTTTAATGTGTGAGGATGAGGACAAAACTGAGCATACTGTGATCAAGAAGAAGAGCGCCCAGGGTTCCCATCAAAGGACCCGCGCAATGTAAAGACTCCCAGTGGCAAGGCAAAAACCTCAACAGATTAAAAAAAGAGAGAGAGAAGGAGGTAGGAAATTATTACAACATAGCAAATAGTATACAGAGGGAAGTTACCCTGGGGGAAAGGGTGCCAGGAAAACAAATTGGGGGGGGTGTGAAGTTCTGGATTCCTGATCCCATTTGGAGCAAGCGTAGTTGGACCTTCTTTAACTAAGCAGGTATTATTAACTTAAGCCTTTAATTAAAAAAAAAAGTCCAGGTTATGGGGAAGACTAGAAATATGGGCACCTGGAGTTTTAGGCTGAGGGTGGGATGTCTAGGACCAATCTGAAGCGGACTTATATGCAGAATGTATCACCTCTGCAAAGAGCTGCCCCATTGAGTATGTATGAGGAGTCCTTGTGTAATCTCTGTGATAAAATCACTTCTCTCTAGGACTCAGTTGCTTCATTTGTAAAGTGAGGTCAGCACACTAAATGATGTCTACAGTTGGGCTGAGTGTATATGAACAGTTGTCATCTCCATGGTACTTCATGGTTATATAAGCCGCTTCACCCACCTTCTTATTTGATCATCATGGCAACCCTGTGAGATATGTACTGTGAGTGTTTTTGTCCACACTTTCCAGGTGAGGAAACTGAGGCTGAGAGATATGAAATGACTCCCTCAAGGTCACTTGGCTAGCAGGAGGAGGTATTTGAACTCAGGTCTCCCTGACTCTAAGTCCAGCATTTTAGCCACTCCGCCATGTTGTCTCTATAATGGCATGGTGGTAAAGAGTTTCCAGGTTCAGTAAAGTGAAAACCATTTTGCTTCCATTCTTTTCAGGAACCGTCTTGGTCAGACCATCTGAACAGGAGGTATAATGTAGAATGGTGTTCATTCTCTTTCTACCTCTTGTGGACCCCTGGCCCTTGACCTGGACTGTGGTATAGCTAATTCAGACATTTTGCCTTTCTGTATGCGTAGATAAGTGTGGTATGATCCACATGGATTTATATAGTTATATCCCCAACACTTGGCATAATCTTTGTCAGTTTGTTAGTAAATGCTAAATAGATGTTGGTCATTGGTATTAATGACGATGACTGTAACAGTACAGATCAGCCTTGGATTGTTTTGGTCGTCTCAAATAAATCGACCCAGCTAAAGACTTAGGGATGGTGCATAATGACATTACTTCTCCCGTTTCTCTGCACCACCTTCTCTGATCAATATTCTAAGACCCCTTGGGAAAATAAAACCCACTAGGACAAACCCCATTTTCAGGGGGCGAAACTAAAGGCCCCCTCCCCACGCAGCCCACCTAGGCCAGTGACCTGCCCTACCTGACTTCCAGAGCAGTCATCAGCAGAGCTAGGCTGAGGACACAGCTTTTCAATCTGCTAGGCTGATGGTCTAACAACTGTCTCCTGCTGCCTCCCTTCTCTGTGGATGGATAAAGGACAGCTATCCACTGAGATCTCCATGCGACACCTTTCATGGATCCCCTCAGTTATTTTTTGGGAGAGAAAAACCTCTTTAACACATGAAGGCTCTGAAGAGTTTGATGCCTATATTGGTGATGTGGAGCTCTACCTGAAGACCTCCTGAAGGAAATGATTACAAATACCTGGGGGGTGTGTAAGTACAACTTGAAAGGGAAAGAATGAAAGAGGACACTGATAGAGGAAGACATTAAATGCATGGGGCACATACTCAACCAGGGTTTTTGACAGTATATTAAATGCAAGTGAAGGCTCTTGCCTAGATGTTGGCACCAGGGGTGGAAACTAGATTTAGGGCACCTCAGAACAAAAATGAATTGTATGGCATCAAAGTCAAGCTGAATAGGTTCCCATAAAGCCAGAGGAGCTAATGAAAATACATATGCTGGGACATTAGGACCAAGATGTTGGAAAGGTTTGAAGAGTCGGGTTTTTTTCTTGCCTTGAAAATTTTCATTCTAATGTTCAGAGGCCACAAAGCCCAAGAGGCTATGTCAAAAGACCACATGGAGGGGTGTTATGGGTGATGAAGCCAGGCTAAGAGCTGGGAGACCTAGGTTCTATTTCTAACTAAAACTTGGGCAAATAAATTCACATCTCTGAGCCTCAGTTTTTTTTCATCTGTAAAAGGGGGAGAGTAATATTTGTGGCATCTCACAACAGAGTTATTTTATAGGTCAAATGTGAAAGACCTTTATAAACTATGGAATGATAATAATAATAATAATAATAATATATAAATGCTGATTGCAAAGTTTTACAGATTATCAAGGAGAACTTCAAAATGTTTTCCACAGAGTGGCTGCTCAATGAGTATTTGCTGAATGAATGACTTCAGGAGTGAACAAATTCTCAGAATGAAGCAGTGATTACTACTGTTGTCTGTGTTTAAAGGGTCCTGTTTAAAGTAACCACAAGGAAGGCATTTAGTACTTGAGATAAATTTATGTGGCACTTAAAACAACTTTTTCTCTCTCTCTCTCTCTCTCTCTTTTTCTTTCCTAACCTTAGAAAACATATAAGACCTCTTGGGAACAGATCCGAGCAGCTGGCTATGACTTCAGGCTGGATGCCATCCCTTTCCAGACTGCCAGAGCCTCTCGAGAGATTGCCAGTGATGTGAGGAACCCCAGCCCAAGCCTCTCCCTCTGCACCCACTGTCTCCGACTATGTAGCTTTACTGTGATTTGGAAACAGGCAGCTGGGACTCACAGAAAATAGTTCCCACTTGCTCCCTAGTTATATATCTCAGTGGAAACTGTTCTAGACCTTAGCCAGGAGTGGTTTGGAAGGGATGTAGTAAAAAAAAAAAAGTACATTCTTAAAAGAACCAATTAACAAGAAGCTAAATCATGAACTTTTTACCAAAAAAAAAGCCTCCTTCGAAGGGAACTCCGTGGGTTAGATCATTTAAAGCTGTACTGGGAAAAGCTCTTCCTTCTGGAGTCTTATATAGAAAGGAATAAGCATTTTATTTAGCACTGCTATGAGCCAGGCACTGTGATAAACACCTTTTTTTTTTTTTTTTTTTTGGCTAGGCAATGGGGTTAAGTGACTTGCCCAGGGTCACACGGCTAGTAAGTGTCAAGTGTCTGAGCCAGATTTGAACTCAGGTCCTCCTGACTCCAGGGCCAGTGCTTTATTCACTGTGCCACCTAGCTGTACCGACAAGCACTTTTTAAAAATAAATATTATCTTATTTATTTGGTTCTTACAACCACCCTGCAAGGTAGGTGCTGTTATTATCCCCATTTTGCGATTGAGGAAACTGAGGTAAATAGAGGTTACCTAAAACAGAGTAAACAGAGTTAAGTGACTTGCCTGGGGTCACATGTGTAGTAAGTCTTGGAGGCCAAGTTTGAACTTAGCTCTTCTTGACTCCAGGCCCAGCACTCTACCCTCTCTTCTATCTGTATCTATATTTATATATGTGATCTATACATATTTCTATACATGTAGAGATATAGGTATATATATGTGTGTGTGTCTATATCTATATATCTACATCTGTGTATATATATAGATATGTATTGATAGATATACAGATATGTATCTCTATAACTGTATCCATATTTGTATATCTATATGTCTCTCTCTATATACATATATATCTGGATATCTCTATCTATATAACTCTCTCTCTCTCTCTGCCTTGCTACCATGTATCATAGTGATTTGGAATCCACTGAGGTGGTCTGGCAGATAAGGGTGTCACCGAAGGAAACCTGAGTGCCTATGAACGAACAGTGAGCTCTCCCCTTCTTTCCTATAGTTCAGGTACAAAGAGGCCTTCCTGAGGGATCGGGGCCTCCAGATCGGCTACCGCAGCGTGGATGATGACCCAAGGACAAAGCACTTCCTCACCATGGGTAAACTCCAGAGCGACAATGAGTACAAAAGGGAATTCATCCAGAGTAGGCCCCGGTTCCAGAGCCGGATGGACCAGCCTGGGTTTATCCACGCCAAGAAGAGCCAGGAGCTGGCCAGTGATGTCAACTACAGACAGCACTTGCACCAGTACACCTGTGACCCAGAGCAACTCAACCTGAAGCATGCCCAGAGGGCCCACAAACTGCAAAGTGATGTGAGTCTGTGACTACAGGCTTCTCTCAGCCCTCTCATACCCTTTCGCTCTTTTCATAATCTCCAAAATCCAAAAGTAACAGAGGAATTTCTAACTTCTTTCACTCATTCTTCACCAACAAGGCACCAGCTGAAGCAGCATTAGGGTGGGGGTAGGGGGCCAGCGTAAGTGTACTTGTGGATAGAGCGCTGGACTGGGTATCAGGAAGGCTTGGGTTCAAAACCTATCTCTGACATTTACTAATTGTTGGATGACCCTGGACACGTGACAATCTCTCTCACTTTCCATATGTGTAAAATGAGGCTAGTAATAGCCGTTACTTTACAACATGGTTGTTGAGGGGTCAGATGAGCTGGTGTGGAGTCCTAGGTCTCGAGCTGGAAGGGGCCTTAGAAACCATTTAGTCTAAGCTCATTTTACAGAGGAGGAAACTGAGGTTCAAGGAAATGAAATTATTTGCCCAAAATTACATAGGGAGTAAGTGCCTGGGACAGGATTAGAACCCACTTCCTCTGACTCTAGGGTCAATAGAAATCTTCAGGCACTACTACTATCAATGTCAGCTCTGATTATTCTTTCATGAACAAGATTATGCTATAAATGGGTGATCAACTGACTGGCTTTATAGCAGGGCTTAAAAAATATTCCAATGGACCACATTTCAACCACAGTTTATAGTTGTTTTACTGGGGTTGGTTTCCAATGTTTTAATGCTGTTAATAAGAAATGACATGCTTCAGGGGAACATTACATGGAGTATAGTTCTGTATATTAACTACTGGATGCTGGGCAGTGTGAAACTTGAGCTGACGTATAAACATATAGAAAAAGGATTTTTACCTGTTTTTTGTGTCATGGACCCCTCTGGTGAAGCCTGTGGATCCCTTTCTCAGAATAACATTTTTAAATGCATAAAATGAAATACACACTATTACAAAGGAAATCAAAGTTTAAGGAAAATAAAATATACTTTTTTCCCCATCCAAGTTCATGGTCCTCCTGAAATCTATTTACAAACTCTTTGGGAATCCGTGGACCCCAGGATATGAACATCTGATATAGAGTATGATCACTGAAAGGAATTTTAGCGCTCATTCAGGCCAGCCACCCTTATTTTACAGAGGGAGAAATCAAGTCCCCAAATGGGAAAGCCATTGCCCAAAATTCTATGACTAGTAATGGCTAGAATAGAAGTATTCAGTTCTATGACAGAGGCAATATTAGAACTTAGGTCTCCTTACTTCCAACCCAATGTCCTTTCTCGCTGTCCCCTATTACAGTTAATTCCCCTAAAGGAAAGAGGGAAGGATGAGTACTATGAGGAACCTGTAGATCAGTATGTTATACTTTGGACATGAGGGATCTTTTCATTCAAAATGACATCCTTCACTGGCAAAAAAAGAAAATTCTTGACTCCCAGCTGCTTTTTTATATACTGTCTAACCCATTAAAATCACCCAAACCCCAGTGATGTTTTTCTTTCTCCACTCTGCCCCCCCACCCCACCCCCAATCCAGGTCAAGTATAAATCTGACTTGAACTTGACTAGAGGCATTGGCTGGACTCCTCCAGGCTCCTATAAAGTGGAAATGGCTAGAAGAGCAGCTGAACTGGCCAATGCCCGGGGCTCAAGATTTCAGGGTCCCCATGTAAGTATTTTGACTCAAACTTGCCTCAGCCTGTGGGGCAGCTGCAAAACCGCAAATTGCTTCTGGTTTCCTCTTCGGTTTATTTTGGGCAGTCACTCAAGAAACACGAAGCACCGCGCCAATAAGGTGCCTATTTTCCTGGGTCTGAGGTGACTGGGCATAGGAACCACAGCTTCAGCCTCCCACAGGGCGCCTCTCATGTTGTCCTCAAGAGGAAAACTGGGCGGCACCCCATCAATACTGAGCACCTGCAGCCTGAGTCTCCCCTTCTTCCACTTGCGCATCTATGTTGGTTGAAAGGGTCAGGGACTCTGCCACTGCAATGGCTTTTGTTTTGAGCTCTGCCTTCTTCAGAGTAAAGAGACTTTGTCCAAATGAGACGCTGGATTTTCCTTCTCCCTTCTCTTGCCTTAAGGGTTTTTGTTTTTTTGTTTTTCAGGTTTTTTGGGGGGGGGAAGGAGGTGGAGTGGAGAGGGGAGAGGGGAGAGGAGGGACATAGGAAAGGGGGAAGCAGTGAAAGTTATAGATGCTCCTGCGGCATCTTAGACTCTTCTTAGGAGGGCTTTGGGGTCTTTTCTTTTCCACAGGCAAGGACTGATCCCTCAGGGGAGGAGGACAATAACCAGGGGAATGTGAACCCAGATGCTACTGAGATTTTGCATGTAAAACGGAAGAAGGCCCATCAGCTTGTAAATGAGCAGCCTGCATGCAGAGTGTTTGACAAGGAAATTGGATATAGAAGTAGCCCCCATCCCCCCATCCCTCAGATCCCTCCAAAAGGGACATTTTAGATTCGTGAGGTTTGGAGGGCTGCCTAAGGTGCATGACAGTGCCCATCCCCTCCTCACCATTTCTGAAAATCAGCAGTATTACTAGGGTGTCTTTTTTTTTTTTAAACATTTTTGAACACGGTGTCACCATGAAATGAAATGTAGATCTTTATATTTTCAATTCAATATTTTAATAGCCTATATTGAATGTTGGTTCTGTCTAGCTCCTCATCCATGTGTGGTGCTGAATAAAAATGTTCAAACATGACCTGGGTCACTCTTCTCCATTCTGTAAGGGTCTGTGTTGTGACTGTTCTTGGGCTGGACCTATGCTTCAGGAATGATGCTTTCTAGACTACAAAGACATATGAACTAAAGAAAAAATCCTGAAGAACTTAGGGTCCCCTTCCATGATTCCCTTAGAAATGACAGAAAATAAGAGGGCAGGGAGAGTTACTGTGAAAATGCTGGCTAGGGTCATGGAGGACAAGACAAGCACAGTATAATTGGAGATGATTTCTGTTCAGCCACAGTGGAACTCTTTAAATTGCATGGCTATAACTAGAAGGGACTTTGGAGACCACACAATCCAACCCCCCCCCCCCAGATTGTGCAAATGAAGAAACCAAGGCCCAGAGAAAGGAAGTGATTTGCCCAAGACCAACACAACTAGTTAGTGGAAGAGTCAGGCCTAGAAAGTCGGTTTCTCGACTAATCTTGATCAATCCAATGCTCTTTCTTCCTCTCTGATTGTTTGCTTCTTGGGAGTGGACCTTCCTTGTTAGTTTCATCCAACAAGGCAATACTGTGATGAAGAGGAGGATAGAGATAAAGGTGTTGTAACTTGTGCCTTTATCAGCTGCTAGCTTAGGCACCATCTACTATGATCCAGATTCTTCTCGAATGGTGTCTTTGATCCAGTTGTGGTACTTGGTCACTAGAGTGTAGACTCCTGGTTTCTTTCCACATTTAAAGCCCCAGCTCACAATCCCATAGAGGTAATATTTACCATCCCTTTCACAGGTTAAAGGGCCACCAGAATCACCCTAGAGGAAAATAAGACAGTTAGCCTTGTAGTAAAAACAGAATTGTTTGTGGGGGTGTGCTCTGCCATGAAGGTGATGCCAAAGGTAAGAGGAAGGGAACGAGTAGTGATTCCTCTCAGTCCTAGGATAGGAGCAAAGAAACACTATATATTATCGCCTGGGTTCTGATCCCTACCCATGGCCCATTCCCTACTTCCTTTGCCTCAGACCCAACCACAGTCAAGGCTTCTTAACTATCCCTGTGGGTTGGTAGCTTCATGAGGCCATCCTGTTTGTGGCAATAGGGGATAGGGATGTAACGGATGATTCAAAATCATGGATGATCTAAAAACTCCACTTTGGTCATTAGCATCAATTTTCTAGAGCCTCATACTATACACAGCATAGCAACAGGACAGGAAAAATCCTTATGTAAATACAAGGAAGAGATATTGATATAATTAGGGCTAATATGGTAAAAATAGAAAGAGCACTTGACTTTGGTTGAATTTTCTACTTCACTACTTATTCATGTCTAGGGCAAAATTTTACTTTTCTGACCTTCAGTTTCCTCACTTCTGACCTGGAAATAATAGTACTTGCACAATCTACCTCACAAAGTTGATGTGAGGAAAGCACCATTAACCAACACATTATCCATGACTGACAGCATGGTGACATTTTATACCCACAGTCCCTCATCTCTCTCTAGTGAAAGGAGTGGGACATTTTTTTCATCTCCTCTCAGACCAAGTTTGGTCATTAAAATTATACATATTCTGTTTCATTTCATTGTTCTTTTGGCTCACATAATTGTGTATATTATTTTTCCTGGATTCAGTTCTTATGTCTTTTCAGGTTTTCTTGAATTCATATTTATCATTTTTTTTCAGTGCAGCAATATACAATTACTTATATTGTAACCTGTAACACATTGGTTTAATCATTCCTCAATCAGTGGACACCCACTTTGTTTCCATTTCTTTACTACCGCATTAGATGTTGCCTTGAATATTTGGTTTTATATGGCATAGTTCATTCTGTCTTTGACCTTCTTGGGGTATATGCCTAGCAGTAGATTCTCTGGGTCAAAACATATGGAAATTTTAGTCACCTTTCCGCCTGCATAATTATAAATAGTTTTCCACAATGGTTGGAACAATTCCCAGCTCTATCCTTTTTGTCAGTTTACTGGGTGTGCTTCCTCTTTTTTTCCATCACAAATTCTAAGATGGATATGTCACTTCCACCCAAAGTTCTGGGTTTCCTCCCCAGAAGCTAATTTTCTTTGTTCACCAGAATAGGTTTAGAACAACAGTTCCATTAATTGTTTCCTCTACCTTTTGAACCATGAAAATATCACTAGCAGAAGCCAAGAAATTATTAGCTTCTTTGTTTTTGCAAGAAATAAAAAGATCTATAAAGTATCTAGATAACTAAAGTTTCCTAATTGCATTTCATTCCTTGACTTCAGGCAAATATATTAAACAAAAAACAAAAAACTGACCAGCCCTTGTTACATGCACTCCATCCCTACCAAGGGAATTCTCATTCCTATATTTTAAGTAATGGCTCAGAAATACAAATCTTGCTCTTAGATATTATCTTAACAAGATTTTTAGTTCCCAAATTTGCTTTTCTCTTCTGAAGTCCTTCACTTCAGTTGCAATAGTGATGAAAATATCACCTGTCCTTCTAAGGTCTTCCATTTCTTGCCCAAGACTTTGTAACTCTTATCCATGCTTTCTGTTTTCTTTTTTTTTCCTGGCAGTATCCAAGAGAATTACCAGAAATGAGTGATAATATTCACAGATCTCTTCCCCAGATGAAAGGGACAGAGGAAGGGCATAGAATTTTAACTTAGCTTACCTATAGAGGGGAAGCCTGATTATGAATTTGATAGGGAAAAGTATTGATTTTAATGGGTATGATGAAGTTTGTGGAATATCTATGATGTTGAATTATCTCTTCTCTCCCCTTTAACATGGGCAAGGTGATTTTAGGATTTAAAGCTCATGGCTGATGACTGTGTCAGGGTGGAGTGGTAGAGATACAGAGTTGAGGGCAAATTGCACTATCCCCACACCTCCCTTTTATCCCCCCCACCAAGAAACTGAAACCTAGAGAAGGAAAATGACTATATTCAGATGAAATTGGGTTAAAACTGGCATTCAGGGAAACCTATAAAAGATAATAACAACTCTCAAGGATTGTCTGAGGAATATGAGGGCAAGAGATTGGGGAAGGTGTTTATAGGCTAATTTTATACATGTGACTCCCAGGTCCTTTTATTTTATTTTTTTTTAAACATAAGTTGCACTGACCGTTGCCCTTTCCTTGAGTCACAGCACAGTTTTATTAATGAAGCCTCATCTCCCCCTACCCCATTCAGGAAATGTGGCAATTAGAAGTGATTCTGAACACAAATAATTCAAAGTTAGCTACCCATACATATGCAAACAATAATTGTCAGGGCAAATTAGAGCCATAGAATGTTAAAAGGAAATGTGCCTTAATAAAATAGGATGCTGGGCTTGGAATTAGGTAGTGCTCAGTTCAAATTCTGCCTCAAATATTGTACCTAAAGTGCTTTGCAAACTTTCCATTACTATTTAGATATAATCTAGTCCAACCCCTTTATCGTACATAGGGAGAAACTGTGATTTAGGAATGCAGATGATATGCTTATGGTCACATAGTATATTAGTACCCCTCTAACTCTCAGCCCAGGGCTTGGTATACACTGAGACCTGTGGATTTTCATGGGACTTATAACAATGACATAAACAGTGTCATTAACTCCAAGCAGTATTGCTTGTTTATTCCATAACTTGTCATTACATGGATTCTGATATACTATTGTTCAAATGATTCTTGAAAGTGTTCAAATGTTCTTGAAACACAAAGATTATAAACTGAAATGACATGCTTAGCCTATGAGGATAATCACCATCCCATCCTTCAATGCAAGGGTTTTATGGAATTCATTGTATCTGTTGTTGCTCAGTTGTTTCAGTCATGCCCGACTCTATGTGACCCCATTTGGGATTTTCTTGGCAAAGATACCAGAGTGATTTGCCATTTCCTTCTCCAGCTCCTTTCACAGATGTGGAACTGAGGCAGACAGGATTAAGTGACTTACCCAGGGTCACACAGCTAGTGTGTGTCTGAGGCTGGATTTGAACTCAAGTCTTCTTGACTCCAGGTTTGGCACTCATATATCCTGCCACCTAGCTGCCCATTCTATCTATAGTACTACAAAATTTAATAAAAGACACCCTCCCAATCCCTCCCAACTAAATTGGATAAATGAAATGTAACATACTTGGCAGGAGTCCATCCCCTGTCTGCCTGCACAAATCATGGTATCATCGATCAAATTGTTATACTGGTTCGGAGCATTACAACGAGATTTGGCGATCAGTTGGACTTTAGCATCCAGGAGATGACGAGATGCTTTTCCTACATGAGAATAAAGGACAAATATTATTTTTGATGAAATATGGAAAATCTTACTACTATTAAGGTTATTGGAAGAAGTCACAAAATTTAGGTATAAAGGGAGAATTTTCCAAGAATCAGCAAGACTTCTGGAGGCTGTTAGACATGCTATCAAGCTAAGTCAATATGTTAATATTTCAAGAATCTGTAATTTCACTAGTCCAGAAACTCCCTCCAGTATAAAGCAGAAAGCAAACCCTCTATTACTTAGTAGATAAGTCTTAGGGAATTAATCACCTGGGACTGACAGAGGGCTTGTCCAAAGTCACACAGTTAGTAAATGTCAGAGGCAGAATTGGATTTAGGTCTTCCTGATTCCTCATCAAACACTTTATTCATGAAACTCTCCTCAAGATAAATAGCTCCACTCACCACTGCCCCTCAAATAAATCAGATTATCAACTTTCCAGAGTCATAATTTTCTTGTCAAAATATGGAAACCAGTTCACATTTTCATTGGCTTGTATTATCGGTCTCTGGATAAAAAGTGCCAAATAATCATTGTTGAGATCAATCATATTCAGAAAGATGAAGTAGAAAGGATGCTGAATTAGGAATTAGAACACTTAGGTTCAATATCTGACTCTGCCATTTGCTATCTATGTGACCT